TTTGGAGATCACCAAGGTCTCCTATCTGCTCAAACCTCAATGAGAACATGGATCCCAAGTTGTTGTATATAGTCGCTCGATTGGGATGATCTTCAGGAGTAGCACCTAGTGCCTCTTCGTTGTGCTTAATGGCCCTCCGGAGGTCGCCAAGATCTCCTATCTGCTTAAACCTCATAAGAAACCTATCTCCAAGGCTAATACCGGTATACCCGGCTACTCGATTCGCGTGATCTTGAGGGGCAGTTGCTAGTGCCGCTGCGCCGTGCTGTATGGCTTGCTGGAAGTCATCGAGGTCTCCTATCCGCTCGAATCTCATGATTAACATGTGTTTCAGGTTACTGTTTACTCGCTCCCTATCCGGGTGTTCCTTAGGGGTAGCTGCCAGTGCATCTTCGGCCTGTTTTATAGCTAGCTGGAGGTCGTCAAGGTTTCCCATCCGCTGAAACCTCCTAAAGAACATGCTTGCCAGGTTGTTGTACATGGCTGCTTGATTCGCATGACCCCCGGGGGTAGCTGCTAGTGCATCCTCGGCCTGCCTTACGGCTTGCTGGATGTCATCAAGATCTCCTATCCGCTCAAACCTCCTGAGAAACATGCCCCCCAGGGTATTGTGCATGATGGCCCTATCGGGGTAATCTGTAGGAGCAGCTGCTAGTGCCGTTTGCCCATACTTTGTAGCTTGTGTGAGGTCATCGAGGTCACCTATCCGTTCAAACCTCGCAAACAGCAGTGCGCTCAAATCGCTCAACGATCCCATCCGACCAGCGCCACCGTGATAACGCGCTCCTGCCACCTGCTCAACTTGGGCAATCACTCGGTCGAGGTCGCTGAGGTCACCTAGGTGCCTACATCTCGCCAGCAGCATGGTGCTCCACCGGTTCCGCGGCCTCGCCAGCTGAGGTTGAGTAGTCTGTAGTAACTCCCCCTGCCCACACCGCGTATCCTTGCAATGGCGTTCCCAATAACTAGCCGCGTAATCGAATAGGAAATATTTTTGGGTGCAACCATTGGACACCTCCTCAGTGGCATCTACCCATAACGGCTCCTTTTCAAAGTCCTTCAGCGAAAGATACGAGAAACAAATATCAGCCAGTACACAATTCGCATCATTGAGACAAAGGGTGTGTTTCCAACCCCCGTGGCCATGCAGCGGTCCTTTAACCAGGAACTCCCTCGCCGTTTGATGGACGAGGTAGACCTTTGAATCAATAATCCGCACGAAAAGCCCACAGAGATTCTTCACTGTCCTTTCAAAGCAGGGGTAAAGATCGCTTTCGAGGTCCCTCCTTGACTTATGATCCCCCCGGATATTAAGTGCAATATTCATTTCCTCCAGCGTAAGAGGCCTTGCAGCTGCTACCACTATCTTCAGGACCCTCTGGGCCTTGTCATAGTCCATGCTCTTGGAAAGAATCTTTGTGTAAAGGTCACCGAGATCGCAAGGGGCAGTAGAGACAATTCCAGTCAGCTCCGCTCGCGAGCAAGTTGTACTCTGATTCAAACTCTCGAGGACAAGTGAAACCCAAAGGAACGTCCGATCGGCAGATGATTTGAGGAGCTTGCGCAAATATCCCAACCCCCCCGGATTTTCCCAGAACGACTCAAGCTTCTGTACCCCATCATCTATGACACGCGTAACGTCACAAGTAATAGCGTCGACTTCTTCCTCCCCTTTCAGCCGGATTGTCGTTGCAGGTGAGCCAAGTGCTCTCTCCACACTCCGGTAGGGGCGGCTTGCAACGATAAATCTCAAGGAAGACGTTCCAGAATCCCAATCCCGTGACCGGAAAAGGCGGGTCATGTATCTGGCAAGCTGACCTTGCGTCGCTTCTTCGCACTCATCTAGAGCGTCTACCACACAAATTACGTCGCCACACCCCCCCTTGGTTACTGCCTTAACAAGGATATCCCACAGGGTGTAGACCTCGTTGGTGATCTTCGCCCCTTTAGTTGCAAACGCCTGTTCAGCGTATACGCTAAGGGCTTTTCTCTGGGAAAAAAGCTGATGCAGTAATGCACAGAGAGCAAATGTTGCACTCCTCTGTTCTTCGCTATCATCTTTGAAAAAGAAATAGCAAACTATAGTGTCTGGCTGCGCACCCAGATGTGTTGCGAGGAACGAACATATCACAGATTTTCCACAACCAGGGTCTGCCGAGAGCCAGAGGAGGCCCGATGCCCTTTTTCCCAACCAGTCCTTATACTTTGAATGCTCAGTAACCCAGGTGCACGTTCCGTTGGCTGGCTCCCCAACTCGAGCGCGGTGTGACTCGTACTGAGATGTGTACAGGCATTGCAAAATCTCTTTGTAGCTCTGGGACGCGCCTGTACCGCCGTGACTGTGATGGATAGTGATGTTGTGGGAGTTGATGCTATTGTGCGAACCGGCATTGCCGCTACCGTGGCCCGTAGTATGATTTTGAGATGTAATCCCATGAGGATAGCTACTTATATTATATCAACGATTGAGTACCTCAATATAGGGGAGTAAAATCCCAGGAGCGTACCATCGCAATGAGGAAGGACCTTCAGATGGTGTATTCGATGATGGAGCGCTCATCCTGTTCACGGGATCTTAGATTGCGAAAAATCGGGCCTCTCAACGCTAAGGGCGAAAGAGCGTCTGCAGGAAGGTATGATAGGAGATCTTCAACCAGTTGAGCAAGGATGGACGGCGGAGCTGCGCTAGGGCATAGAGACAAGCTAAACCTTTTTTCAAGAGGGTAAGAGAGTCTACGTTGAGCCCCGCACCTTTCTCGGCGGTTAAGCGCCCCCCCACATCTTACGTATTATACTTAGATAATATCATATCACCCGAGGACACGAGTACCATACTCCAGTACTTGTATCGATCTCCGGCCCTAGTCAACAGATTATGCTTACACAGCTCGTCGTACTCCCAGATCAATATTAATGTAACTTAAATGCTTACAATCGGGGATCCCACACCGCTGGTTCACCGTAACTCAAAACATACATCCCACGGCGTACGGCCGGCGAACCGAGAAAACCGAACCGTTGTACCGGTACTGTGCCGGCACCGACTCCGGGGGCGGTTTTCAAACTGATTCCACGGTTCAGAGAGAGCCGCTATCACATCGTTAAGCACGATAAAGCAAGACAGACCACTCGAGTAGGCGGTAACGATGAATATTCCGCAAGCCAACCCGCACTCCACACCCCCAACCACAGTAGATAACCCCGCCTTTCTCGTTTCAGCATTAACATAGTCGATCGGCTACGGATTTCCTCACAGATGTGCCAACAAATCTATATAGTGAACCAGGAATTCCCATCCCTATAAACACCACGGTGTGCCATGCCTAAACCTCTCTAAACCATGACAAAATTGGTCATCCAACCCGCTATGTCAGTAGCCCTAGGAAATTGAGAAAGTCCAACACCGGCGACCCAAAGTCTACAACCCCGGGCTTCCGCTAAAGAACTAGAGCCATGGAAAATCTCCTCGAGTAGAGGGACAGACAATGTAATACCGCATGAAATAATAATAAACGTGCGATTCTATCCCAAAACGGAATATTACATATGCAAGAGAAAACAAAACACATGGGTCCGATATAATATAAACCGGAGGTATCATATGAGTACATAATGGTACAGTAGAGTTAGTTTCCCAACAGGCGTGACAAGCGGTTCTGCCCTTTCCTAAACCGACCCAATTGGACATAGTACCATGCACAGTTCCTGATCGGATCCAGTAAGAAATGTAACCAAGCACCTGCCCTCCTATTAAAAGGTCGGTCACAGTACAGTACAAAAACCCCTCTTCGCCCCAACTTAACGCCAGCTTCTGGGATAACCTACCCCCCCCAGTAGCCTTTTGGAGCACGTTAAGGAAATCAAAACGGGCAACTAATATCGTGTCAGAGAGATAATTTCTGTGAGGATGATCTCGGGAACACCACTCTAGCAGCGACCGGTATTTCCCAATTTTACTTCTCAAGTCTTCCAGGGGAGCTGAAGGACTCAAGGTTTGCTGAGTTTCCCCCCTCCCCCCCCGGTGAATCACACCACCCAACGCGATCCAACCCCTTCATTTGCCCCACTTCCAAAATACCGCAGTCTATAAGCAGCGCTCTCAGCTAACATATGGCAGACCTACTACACCACAATCCTCTGGTTGCCCTCTGAGCAAACCGAAACCGTTACTACAGTACGGATAGAATCCTAACAGACCAAACGACCAATATTCCTTCATCTAGGCAATACCGACACCATAACAAGCACATATCCGAGCGCTTAAAACCCATAAAATGATCGTCGATACGATGCGATGCTCCATACGGAAGGCCGGCCCAACACAACCTACCGAACCCGACATGGTTAATATGCTATCGAGTGACCGACTATGACTCAGGTATTGACCGCAACTGATTGTATAGAAAAATTGCGCTGAGATTAAAAGACCCACGTCCTAATGCCTTTCGCCGTCATCCCGTTTCAAGTGATCGCTAGGTAGTTGATTATCGGAAGGTGACCAACTTGACCTGGCAAAACCAAACAATGAGTTTCGGTATCTAGGGTTCTTGCTGGCTTTTTTTTTTTTAAGTTCGTGGGGCGGCGAAGTAAGATATAGTATGACACCTCGCTTGAAACCGGAATTTGGAGAGATTGCTTGATAAGAGGCGATCACAGTGTCCGATGGCGTACGAGTAGCGATCCCTGCGAGGAACGAAGTTCCGATATAATCTACCACAGATATTCCACTACCCGGCATCCACGATGAGGTACTGTACATAAAGCCCAGCGTAAGCTTTCGAAAGGGATATATGCCATATCACTATCTTCAGCGAAAGTGTGCCAGTGTGGAACCAACGCACAACCATCCTGCAACAAAATACACGATGAGTGACTGACTAGCATCATATCGCACCATACCATATACACACCCCGAGTCTGGCACCACGACACCGCATTCCGCTGCCTACACACCGTCATCCGAGCAACTAGCCGTCCCCCCCGCCTAAATCCGCACCCCCGACACCTAACCGGTTCCGGAACAACCCTGGAATCACGAAACCTTGTTCGAAGATTCAACGGAAGCAATTGCGGTTGGGTGAGAAGTGTCATGGCGCTGCCAATGCGACCGGACTTTTGGATGCGGGGAAGGGATAGAGGATACAGAAAAGTTGTGACATTACTTACAAGTTATGGGACGGTGAAGGGGTCTGAGCATCCGGCGACGTCTGGATATGAAAGAAAGACAGAGTGAGGGGTGGTGACTATGGGCAAGTGTGCTCAGGTAGTGTTCTGAGATATCATATCTTAGGATGAGAAGTGTATTTCCGGATTCGCAGGTTGTTGAACCTGGTATGAACAGGGTGGTCCGGATACTCTATTGGAGGATCCAATATCGTGGTTTACTAGTCTAGTGGAATACACAGGATCACGACCTATTCCTCTCCCCATCAAACCACTCTACCTCTATCCAACCCCCCATATATGCACACATCCCAATCTACAACTTCTCAAACCTCGCCTTCCTTTTCCCCAGCATAGCCCCGACCGCCTCGCCAACATCCCCCGTCTGCAATGCGGCCGCATTCCACGCCTGTGTGTAAGCCAGCCCATCCGCAACCGTACGATCAACACTCCAGTTTACAATCGCCTTGGTACTCTGCACGGCAACAGGACTTTTACCAGCAATCAGGCTCGCCATCTCGAGTGCTCTCTTAACGGCAGCATCCTTATCGCTCTCGACAGCGCTGACAAAGCCCACCCGGAGCGCCTCTTCCGCAGAGAATATGCGTGCAGAGAGAGCGACGTCTTTCACCCAGGAAAGGGACCCAACGATCTTTGGCAGGCGAGACAGTGTGCCGATGTCGGCTGCTAGCCCCACGTCCACCTCTTTCACAGAGAATCTGGTATCTGCGCTTGAGATGCGGACATCCGTCGTGCAGGCTATGTCGATGGCGAGGCCGAAGGAGAAGCCGTGGAGGACACAGATTACGGCTGGTATTTGCCCGGGGGTTAACCTGGGTGCTTCCAAGGAGTGGGGGAGGGGGGGGGCAAGGCACGTTTTTCGCACTTCTCCGATGCCGAAATGCATTCTTGGAATTCGGCCACGCCGCGTTTGATTTCCCACGCTTTGCGCGCACCGTCGCTACCTGGGAAGGCGAGGTTCGTTTTCTGGATGTCCAGGCCGACAGTAAAGCTTGGTCCCGCGCCGGAAAGAACTATGGAGCGGACGTCTGGGGAGTGCGAGAGAGTGTTGAATACTTGGGCATATTCTATCCACATACTATATCATACGGTATTCAGCCTCTAAGGTGGAACACTGGAAGGGGGTGGGGATGTAAGTAGGTACTCTTGGTAGAATGCATTGAGCCTCTCGGGTCGATTTATTTCTACGTGAGCTACGTAAGGCTCTGGAGATGTCACGTTGAAGTGGTTGTATGTTCGGGACATTTCGATTGTATAGGGGTGTGTGTGTGCCCGAAGGGTTTTATCAATGGCGGGAAAGGGAAGGAGGGCGAGAGAGAGAGAGGGAGAGCAGAGCAATGTCGAGGGAGAAGGAGATTCTGTGGAAGCGAGCAACCGATATAAGCTCGGGTACGCGCCAGGGCGACCTCGGCTCGTGTGGTACGGCGTGAGGTACTACCGGTAGTACAGTACGGTATTGTACAATGGTACATGTACGTTTGGATCACCGTAGGGATCAATAGAGCCTCACGTTTTACCATTGCGGTAACTCCCGCCATGCATTTAAAGGACTTTCAAGACGATTGATCCAAGCAAATCCGAATATCGTGCGAGTAGAAATATTGAACCTCATTACCAGGACCAAAATCCAGAGATACTCCCTCCTGCCCCAAAATCCCTATCGCCACCGTACCCGAATCCCTCCACCCCCTCATCCCTTCTTTCCCCCCCACCACATCCACGGCGGCTTCTCTCCCAACACCTCTTTCCCCATCACACACCCACACCCGTTGTCAGATAAATTTACTCTAGCCACCGACTTAACTCTCGGGAGATAAGCGGGGCACGGAGCATCGATCATTTCCCCCTTTTCGTTAAACCCGACAGCACCATACTCTGGTAATTCCTCTTCTCCTTCTTCCCCTCCTTTCTCCAAATCCTTTCCCGACCCGTTCTCACCACCACAATCATCATTGTCATAAAAGGTGCCCTTTTTGTCCCCTTTCTTCTCCTCCCCCTCCTTCCTAGCCACTACCGCCGCTGCTCCGATCCCGGCCCCAATCTTCCGTCGCTGACCATCTCCCTTCCTCAACACCCCCAATCCCCGCATCATTCTCCCCCTGCCCGCAGCGAGTCTCCGCCTATCACGCACACGCACCCTATGGCGTTCGTGAATTTGCCCAACCAGTCTCGCTGCGCAGCAGATTATCAGCGAGAGAACCAGCACAGTGCAGAGGATTATCCCGAGGGCAAAGAACGTGGTGGTCAGCGGTCGGTTGTATTCCTCCATCTGGAGGTAGTCCGGGCCCGTGGGGGGCGGGAGACCACCGGTGGAATCTGGGAGGGCTCGAGGGAGGAGGGTGCGGGGTAGAAGCTCTTCAAGGGTTCTCATTTTGGGAGTGGTTGGCGAGACGAGTTTTGGATAATGTCATGAGATGGACTGATGGGAAGCCTTATGAGGGTGGAGGGAGGAAACAGAGGAGAGGGGATCAGAGAAGGATTAGTGGATTGGTGGGACTAATAAGAGAGTGTGGGGGGAAAGATGTGAGGTATCATAGCACATTTCAGGTGTGCTGCCGTATACCGGTATTCTGAGAAGCCTTAGTCACAGATTCCGAGACGGGCACTTTCGGGGCTTTATCAGGCGCTCGCGGTTAGATTGTCGCTCCATGTTCCCCTAAGAAGGGAATCACGTAGAGATGCCATCACTGAGACCAATGTCCTCAAGAATTTGAGCAGGTTATCTACAATGCCCACTTCCCAACCTCCCCGAGCAGCAGCCCACACCAAAAGCAGTATAAGGCGGATCCTTAGTGCGTACTTTCACGCTAATTATCCAAGCAAGATGTAGCCAAAGTGTCAAGTCGAGTGACAAACTATGACACCAGCAATCCCTAACTACTATCTGCATAGCTGCATGCCACCCAGAAGCTTTTCCCAGCCATATCGCACACAGAATCAAACCCCAAAAGCGATTCGCAACACCAATTTCTACCAAAATAAAATCAAGCAACCATTCCGATATCAGCAGGCAAGCTATCATACAGATGCGGGAAACAGCTACCAAGTTCTACGACCCGCTATAAGGCGGCGGGCCTCCCATTCCCGCTGAGGGCTCATCATCTGAGGGTCCCTGTTCTTCTTCTCTGTGGACAGTACCATCACCATCCCCGGCCTCGCTGGCGACGACGGATGACCTCCTCCCTTCCTGCTGACTAGAACCACTGCTCTCACTTTGATGCTCCTTATCCCTTTCCCGTTCCCTAGCTCCCTTCTTCAACCACGCTTCCTTATACCTAGCCTTCGAGTCCTCATCCTCATGATCCCACCCAGCAATCTTATCCGTACTCTTCACCTTCCTCAACCCTCTATCCTCCACAGGAGATGCGGAGCCGCCATCCCCCAGACCCTCATCCGCAAAATCCACTCCAATCGTCCCATCCTCGTTGAATATATGCCTACCCAGGACATTCGGTTCCCCTACTGGCCTCCAGGCGGCGGGTAGTGGGCGCTGGCACCATGTGCACACACGATGCTTCTCGGACGAATTATGTGGGTTCTCACAACCGTCGGTGGCACACACTCGTTTGTTGTAGACTAACTCGGAGCGTTCGATGGCCCGGCAGGAAGAGCATAACCACCCGTCCCTGGCAACACATTCGCAGGGCACTGGCGTAACGTGGTTGAGGAGATCCTCCGCGGCCAGGTCTGTGTCGGAGAAATCCGTGGCAGACCAACAAGTGTCGCAGAATGTACGGATGCGGTTGGAGTAAGTGCCATTCTGGCCAAAAAAGTCTGCACGGACTATGCATGTCTGTATTTGCCATGTCAGTCGATGTAATTATAGTGAATAGTTAGGAGGGAGGGGTGGGGGGCCCACTTCGCAGACAGGCATAGAACAGATTTTACAACTCTTGATTTTCTCGCCCTTTATGTGGTCCTCCTCGGAACATTCCAGACTCGTTAGGCTAACAAGGCGTTCCCAGTGCGCCCGTGACTGGAGTAGCGTCTCACGTATGGTGCTTGATGTGCGCGATAACCGTATCACTGTGTTGTTCGTCAGTTCACCCCCTCCCCCGCCTAACCGGACATTCCCGAGAAGGGTGGAAAAGCAAAACAAAAGCCAAACAGGAAATCACATACAGTCTCCGGTAGAAATCATCTTCGAAAACTCAGTAATGATAGTGTAATGCGAGAACAGCAACGCCAAAGTATCAAACTTTGGCGGGGGGTCGAGATCGTCGCCAACCGTCATCGTAGATTCCTAGAAAGGGGTCAGGGGAAAGGAAGGCAAGTAGGTTAAAGGTGGTCGTAAGCCGAAAACCCAAGCCGTTTGCAAAGCCAGGACCCTCGAAGCCGAAAGGTGGAGAAATGATAGATGAGCTCTCGAGCCGATCCCAGCTCCAACTTGGTTAAATAAATAGGTTTCCCTCTGGAGCGTAAACAAACCAGGGGAGATGCGATGTGGTGATACAGTACTACACCCAGTTGTTCGTTGTCAGACTGCAGCCTTCCTCACGGGCAGGGTTGGGCTACGGTGGATAAAGGCATGCACTGGAGCACAGTGCCGGCATGCGGCTGAAAGGGCGGGGCTACCCGTTGACCGGAGGGGATACTTGCCGACAAGCTAATACGAGTACCGGTATTTCGGGGGAGGGAGACCGTCTGCCCAGCCCGGTGTGACTGCCTCAGCTTTGCCAGGTTTGCGCTCAAACGGTCGTTGGGAAGCGATTCTCCGGGATAAAGTGCTAGTCTATACCATAACCTCGTGAAATCAAGTGTCCCCGGCCGCCCGTCATCCCACCAACCTACTGTACTCGTACGTACGGTACACGAGCACATTGCGAATACCGGTTAGTCTAGCGAGATCCAACACACCCAATCAGCCGGACGATCTTTTCTATATCAGGAAAACACTGATTCTTCTCGGGGGGGCCGACGGAGATATGATAGTGAATTTCATGAGATTTTACGCTACCGGCACCAGTATCGTTATCTATGACATGATACAGTCGCACCCCGCTATAAGGGATCTCTTATACGGGAAAATTCGCTATTACGAACGAATCCTCTACGAATTTACCCCCCCTGCTCCCATACTCGAGTACACACAGCACCCGCTACAAGGGATTTCTTCCGAAACCCCGCTGTAACGGACGAAAAATCCTGATTTTTTGGCATTCGATAGCGGGATGGACTGCAGCTGTAGGTTATGATACGAATGCTACCGTATTGCAGCCGTAACTGGAGCTGGCGGACATTCGTCATGGCTTAGTAATAGTATGTTAATCTGCCAAGCATTAACTTAATAGAGGTTCTCCTGCCAAAAAAAACCCCCACCTACGAAGAGTTTCAAACCCTAATAACTCCACTTAAGCATGAGATATTTTTATTTTCCCTCTATGATATTACTCAAGTAACGTGTAGAGAACCACCCGCTGTATCATGTAATAGAGCCATAATCCTCACCGGAGCGGTTGTCGAAAAGACCTTGGGGGCTCGATGTTGAGCAACATTTTCTTGGCAAAGCAGTCCGGCTGCAGAAGTCCCTCCCACCATCACATTAAGGTGCAAAGGGAGGAAGAGTACCGGTGTGGAAGTGTCTCGGTTGTCTTCCGGATTTTGGATGGTGTGATTGACCGAGCTGACACCTGTGCAATTGTGGTAACCGTACAACGTAATATTTGATCGGATAAGAGTGTAGAATTATGCTGATAAAGTTGACAGTAAAACACAGTGAGAAAGCAAGCGAAAGGAGTGGGGAAAACAGCACCCAGAAACAACAGTAAAGAAGGTGGTGGTGTTGGTTGTACAGGATGGGTTCTCGCTGTCTTGTCCCTCCACTCTCTCTGAGGAAGGCAAGGCCATGCCTCCAGGTGAAAAACAGCCACCTGCTAAGCCTCATCTCAAACAGAAAATTCTATGGGCAAAAACCCAGCAAACATGACCAGAAAACCCCTAAAACCTTCCTCGCACCACACCGGTACGCCAAGAAGGAGAAATCCGCAACTCCCGATTATCCTGGAGGAAGCGGAGACGTGTGAGAGCAAGCGCAATCGGTCTGTATCGGGTTCCCATCGCTGGGTAGTTGATTACGCTTGACTGCCAGATACTCGCTTGGGCGTATTCGATTGTTCCCGATAATACGCCCCACCACCCACAAAACGTCCGTGTCCATGCTATCCGAGGGACGCAAATCACCGGCGCGGGTGAAAGCCTCAGATGCGAGGAGATTCGGGAGAAGAGAACGAGTGACAATCCGTGAGACACACCAGCACCCACTCGCCCAGTAATATGACCAGATTAAGCCCCTCCGAAATTGAAGCCTATTGCTTTGCCAACGCTCAAAATTATTCATTCACCCTTCCTGAAAAGCACTCCGATAGTTTTTATGCACAGCTCTCACCCGCTAAATTGCTATCAAGACCGAGTAATAGTGGCACAAATTTCAGCCCGAGCGGTGGAGTACGAGTGGCCCCAGCGGTATTCTGCTTCCTGTGAGGACCGCAACGTCTGGGTAAATTACCGGGACCCCATTCGTATTTGACGGATGATCCAACTACTCCGAAAAGGGATTGGTCAATGGGCCAAAGAAATCCACTAAGCTGCGATGATATGCACCGTACCCTCTCACGAGTGCATAGAAACACACCAGCACCCCACGCTCATTCACAACCCCCCCAACCGTTGACCCCAAGGATCACCTTTACTCATATAATCATTAGCTATGCCACGGGCACCTCGCCGTTCAGTAGCATTTGCTTCGACACCACATTTCGACGGAAGCTTACCCACCTCCTCTTCATCTGCACAGTCCACTTCCTCCCCCTATCCACAGACGACGCAAACTCCACATCCCTCTTCTCGTACCCTCCTCCAGGGTCAGGATAGAAACCGTCAGCACAGAAGGAGCGGAACCCATCCACAAGGCAATAGACAAGACCACTACCAGAGCCAAAGTCAGGGTCAGAGTCAGGGTCAGAGTCAGGGTCAGAGTCAGGGTCAGAGTTACCACCAGAGGAGCAGTGACAGTGACGATTACAGCCTTCCCGATATAGACGAAGATGAGGACGACCAGGATGAAGACTCAGAAGCCGTGATCATGGCAATTGATTACAAGAGCCGGAAAATTGGTTGTGCATTTTACTCAATAGCGGATCAGAGGCTGAGCTTGATGGAAGATATTGAACTGCCTACTTCCGAATGTTTGGAAGCTCGTGAGTTACGACCCCTTGAGGATTCAACTATGTACTGATAGGGAGACAGTTAAGTTCCAAATCAAGCCTACCGTTTTGCTAATTGCTTCCCGGTTTAACGAGACTCTGGAGAAGACCCTGAATCCCGAGTATAAAGGTATCTATTATTGATTCCTACGCCACAAAGATACTAATACCAAGGGAAGATGAACATGCGACTCCGTATCACATCTCCATTCGCCCCACTGGAGAATTTTCCTACGAGGCAGCAAGGAATAAACTAAGCTCCATAAAAATCGGGCAAGCGGACGGTCCAATTCTAACTCTCCAGACTCCAGGCGATATTCACGACATAGCCACGGACCAGCAAAGACGTGGAAATTTGCTCCGGCTTGCTGGCTGGGTTAACGTTGATAGCAGAACTAGCGTTGGATGTTCTGGAGCTGTTTTGACGTATTTACAGAGGAAACAGGCAGCCACATCGCTGACTGATAAAGCGGTTGCCGTGGCAAATATCGAGATGTGGAGCATGAATGACACTATGTGAGCAATGATGATCCTTAAGCTTTTCCTCGGGGGCGTGGGCTGCTAACAGATTTAGGTTTGTCAACGCCGATACCATATGCGCTCTTCAGATATTTGAGGACGAGTCTCACCCGAACTTCCTAATGCAAGGCCCTCAGGGGCGGGGGAAGGAAGGGCTCTCACTCTTCGGTACGATACCTAAACTCTACCGGAAGGGTGGTATTTCCCAATTACCCCTAACCCGCCCATTAGGAATAATGAACTTGACACGCTCCCCCTTAGGGCATACTATGCTGAAGCAATGGTTCCTACGGCCGTCGCTCTCTATAGAAGTTATTAACGAACGGCAGGACACTATTTCAGCTTTTTTAAGGCCTGACATATCTCACATGATACAGGTGATTGGCAAGAGCCTACGAAGGATTAAGAACATTCCAAAGATACTCGCTAGTTTGAGAAAAGGTCCGGGCCGAGAAGGTCGGAGTGGGGAATGGAGCGCTCTGCAACAATTTTGTTTTTACGCGCTAAGGATCAAGACCTGTTTAGAGGAGATGAACGGAATCGGGGAATTGCCAATATTCAAGAAGGTCGGTCACTTGAAGAGCCCCACAGAACGCCCCTCACTTATACCCTCAAGGTCACCGAAAAATTTAATGTACCTTCTCTCCAAGAGGTTGGACAACTGATCACTGAAACCATTGACTTTGAGGAATCGGTCGCTCTGCATCGTGTAGTATTGCAGCGAAACATAGACGAAGAGCTGGACGAAATGAAGCAACTGTACGATGGCCTGGGAGATATGCTAGGCACAGTCGCCAGAGACATTGCAAGAGACGTGCCACCCGACGTTGCAACATCCTTGAACGTTATATTCTTTCCACAAATTGGATACCTTGTTGTCATCCCTGCTCAGGGAAGTGAAAACACCACATACGGGTTACCGGACGACAGTTTGGGAGGGCCTGCATACGCCCAAGAGGGATGGGACCTCCAGTTCTGCACCGAGACCAATTGGTATTATAAGAACCCACAAATGAGAGATCTAGATGGCTACTTTGGAGATTTGTATGGACGCGTGTGTGGTAAGCTTTGGCGAGACCAAATCTTCAGTTTTTCTCGAGTGATATTTAATGATTTAAAGACAGAGAAATCGAACTGGTCCATGCTATGAAATGCCGAGTGCTACAACATGATGCAGCTCTTGCCGGCTGCGTCACGGTCTGCGCAGAACTCGATTGGTGGGTTAAGGCAAATCAGAAAGCCCATAGATAGGTTGACAAAATGAGTATGGCAGTCTTTTAGCTATGACCGAAGCCGCGGAAAGGTATAAATTTACACGTCCAGCTATGGTCACGGACAACCTGATCGATATCAAAGGGGGCCGGTCAGTCCCACCCCGGCCAGATACGCCAGAACAGAGAGCGGCTAAGGAAGTAATATAGGCATCCGCTACAAGAACTTTGCGTCTCCGCATATATTGAGAATGATACATTCATTGTTGGGGGAGAAGGGGGACCGGAGGAAATGACAGCTGATGCACTCGACAGTGAAGCTTCGGACCGTGTAGAAACGTCAAGAGCCGGTAGCTCTAACGGCAATGGAGAGAATGTGCCCAGCATGGTGCTCCTTACTGGCCCTAACTACTCGGGGAAGAGTGTTTATCTGAAGCAAGTTGCGCTAATTGTTTACATGGCCCACATCGGCAGTTTTGTGCCGGCGAATGATGCTGTTATTGGCTTGACGGACAAGATATTGACTAGGATACAGACAAGAGAAAGTGTCTCCAAGGCATGAAGCGCATTGGGCATACATTTGGCTGTGAAAAGCTAATTCCTTCGAAGACTCAAAGCGCGTTTATGATTGATCTCCAACAAATAGCCAGTTCGCTAAGGCTTGCAACGAGACGAAGCCTGTTGGTCATTGACGAGTTTGGGAAGGGCACAGATTCGAGCGGTTGGTCTCGTTTCTTTCAGCCGTAGGTCATTCTAACAGTTTTACATAGATGGGGCGGGGTTGGCCTGTAGTGTATTTGAAAATCTCCTCAGTCGCGGTAAAGACCGGCCCAAAGTTATATCCGCTACTCATTATCATGGCAAGTAATCCAGTCATACCTCTTTAAGAGATTGCTAAGGTTTCTCCCTCAGAAATTCTCGAGAACGATATGCTCGCAGATCATACTCATCTCCAATTTGCGCAGATGAAAATACTCTTGGATCACAGAGCTGTGGAGCCAGAAGATCAGATTACTTATTTGTATAAATTGGAGATGGGCCGCAGCACCAGTAGCTTCGGAACTGTGTTAGTCACCCTGCTCCAGCTGAACTAGGAATCACGGGGTTAATTAGGTGGACAGCTGCGCAGCGCTCAACGGGATTCACCCAGCAATCGTGTCGAGAGCCGAAGACTTGATTCTGATGATAGCAAGAGGGGAAGATCTAGTGGGAGCCTGCGAGATACTAAGCGCAGGAGAGAGAAAGGAACTCGAAGAGGCTGTGATTAGCCATGCTCCCGTTTCCACAAGCTCGTTCTAACAGCCACGACACACAGGAAGCGGTAGCAAGGGCATTTGTGAAGGAGGACTTTGACGACGACAGCGAAGATGAAGACGCCGAGGAGCCGGACAGCAAGACCAGCGAAGTAAGAGAAACAGCAAGAATAAAACTAGCGAGGATTTTGCAACAAGTCACTACTTTAGAAGACTACATGTCGTAGAAAAGCCAGCTTAGCTATGAATGTTTCCCACGAAATGGGCCCAGCGATACAAATATAGGTTTTATGAGGGAAACTATAGATTATTAATTTTTTTTGCAAAGCATGAAATTATGCTACCTATGAGGAAATGAAGGCGAGCGAAATGAATGAAATGACAATTGTGAGCCAAGAATAATAGGACATGGCAACACAGAAAGAAAGAGGGGGGGAAAACCAACCCCTTACGCCACACATCCAGCCAGAGAGAGAGAGAGAGAAAGTAAAACATGGGACAGCGAAAGGGAAGAGGCGAAGAAGGGATATCTATCTGCAGAAAAAAGAGAGAAAATAAAGGACACGACACCCCACCCACTGAAGAAAAGGAAAAAGAAACGCCTAACCTAGAATGATGGCAACACATTCCCCAAGCTCTCTGAATCGATCATTACTATCCCGTCCATTTATCCCCCTATTTTTCATTACTATTATTTCGTTGTCTCTCGTCTGTGTCGGGATTAGATGAAGGGATCCAAATAGTAGAAGTAGGCAAATCACTTTGACCCCCTCCCTCCTCCTCCCTCTCCGCCTCCCCTTTTCCTTGACAGCGACGTCGAGCCTCTTCCACCTCCACCCCTTGCAATACCAACACTATTACCCCCCCGCCCAGCACCGCCACGACGAGCTAGATTGTGGGTAAGCGGTGGTCTGGAAGGTATGGGATGGCGGACGTTGGTTGGTGGCGGCGGTGGGGGTGTTCGCACGCGAGGGGGGGGGATCGATGGTGGCGGGGGGACACGAGAGTATTCCACTACTCGATCTCTGTATCCGGCGTTTGGGCCGGAAGTAGTAGAGGAGGATGAATAGTAAACGCCGGTGGCACGTCTAATGGGTGGACTTCTAGATCTTCGATTACACCAGTCCCTACCCCTATCGCGCTCCCAGTCTCGATCTCTCTCCCGATCCCTATATCGATCAAATTCTGAATACCCACCACGGCGATGTGGGGGACTTCTTTCCCCGGGCCTTCTCCGCCCCATCATCATTTCGCCGCCCCCGCCAACATCCCTCCTCCCGTCCCTATCCCTCTCCCTCTCTAGCGCCCTATACTCCCCGAACGGATCGAATTCCTCACTCGTACCATAATCCCCGGGCCTTATGGCACGGCCGTAGACTGGTTTCTTCCTCTTGCCCTCGAGCTCTGCCAGGAGGTCCTGCTTCTCGCAGAGCCATTCCTGCGACGCATAGTCGCCGTCGTTAATGCCGGAGAGGGAGAATATGCCAGGGTGCGAGAGCGGCGGGAGAAAGGGGCAGTCGTCGCCGAAATGCTCGGTGCCCGAGCAGTGGTAGCAGTTGGCCCTTATGGGGTGGAGGGAGGTGGGGGAAGTTCGGGCAGCAGTTGTGGTTGTTGGTTGGGAGGGGGAGGGGGCTGCTTGGGGGAATTTACGCCAGTTCTGTGAGAGGGGTCAATTGACTGGGTTGAATAGAAGGGGGGAAGGGGGGCAAGTCAGGCATACATAATCTTTAAGCGATATCTCGCCCGTCGGAAGCTCCGGGCACGCATTGGAGAAATGCTTATCCCAAGCGCCGCAATGCTCGCACTGTACGATTCCCGCCTTATTGTTAGCCCTTCTCCCTTGCCATCTGCCTTATCCCCAGGGGTGGGAAGAAAAACCTTTAACAACCGGCAAGCCCACCCCGCATGCCCAATGCCCAAACAAACATCGCACACAATTGTTTCCATGGTAATCCCTTTGCCAGGGCCCTCCGGTTCCTCAAAGCGCCCCGTATCAAGGCGAAAGCTAGCTGCCGTAATACCTTTCGTAGGCGCGAAAAGCGGTCTGGACTCTTCGTGGACGAACAGGGGCGGGGCGGTAGTGGAGTAATAGCGCAGTTGGAACATTGCGGTTTTATGATCAATGAGTATTGGCGATTCGCGGTGTTTGCCATGCTCGCTGTCACTGTTACCACTGCTATGAATGGCGGAGGCGGTTGCGGGAAAGGGGGATAGAGAGGAAGAGAGGCTGGAGGAGTCTGAGGAAGGGATACCGCGCCTGTCAGTAGTAAATATTGGGGCCTTAGTAATTGAAAGCGAAATGTAATCCTCTTCTTCCTCCTCTTCCTTAGCCCCGACTAGTCCCCCCCCCTCCTCCTCCAGCGCGAGGTTAATTTCCAACCCCTCATCCTCCTTCTCTTTTTCCCTTGCTGCATTGATATCAGAGGGAACACTGCCAAAGCTACCCACGCGCGGATGACCTATTGAAGCCTTCTTCTGCTTAAGGGCGGCCTTGCGGCAGGTGCGTTCCACGCGACGTCTTTCCTTGCGCTCCCGCTTTTTGGCAAGTTTCCACACAACCTTGGATGAGAGGTCCTCACGCCCTTGGGGGATGTCAGCTGGGCTCCCTTTCGTTACCGATTGTGGTTTCGGGTTTGGGGAAGAGGATGTTGCGTTTGTGCTTGAGCCAGCGGCACGAGTCTGTGTTGAAGAGGGAAGTGAGAGGGGACCGGTCGCGGTGATGGCCGAACAGGAGGAGAAGGGCGCAGCGGTAGATTCGGGTTTTTGCTGGCGTTGCTGTTGGGCCTTGCGGGTTGCAGAGTCTTTGTCCTCATCGTCCTCGTGTTGATATGCGCCTCCAGAAGGGGACGAAGAGGAAGACTTAATCTCTATAGTCACGGTCGACGCACCCTGGCCAACGCTCCGGTTAGCAGCGACAAATCCCTCGCTCCGGTTAGCAGCGACAAATCCCTCGCTCCTAGCAACGGCTTTCATAGCCTCTTCCCCCACTTCTCCCCCCTCAACCGCGCCATCCTTCCTGTCAGACCGACCCTTTCTTCTCCTCTTGAACCTAGTCCTTTCGGAAATCCCACCTTCAGATTCATCTCTTTTGTCCTCCTCCGACATGCTAGTCTGCGTAGTTTTTAGATCCTCGCTGAGAGAGTACTCGGCATTGTCCGCCTTATCACGATCATCATCACCGCTCTCATCATCACCATCACTCCCATCCTCATACTCACTCTCGAAATTTAGAGAGATAAAATCCTCCGAACCCTTGTCGGGTTTCGGAGGTGGACAGGGGATCACCACTTCCAGTTGCGAGCGATGGCGTTTCCGCGAGTCGGCGTTTATGGCGCGGACTGCGGCGGTATAGTTTCTCTCCATTCAGTACCTTTCCTGTAGGGGTCGGGGGGTGAGAGGAAAGGAAAGGAAAGGAAAGGAAAGGAAGAAAAAAGGTCGCCGTAGTGGTCGTGGCAGCGGTGGTGGGGGGTATGGAGAGAAGGGAAAGGGTGTGGACTGCTTGTAGGTTCCAGGAGGGATGGTAAGGTGGCCGTTGTTTCGCTTGTGACGGACGCGGATGCAAGTCATGTTCCCCGATGGACGACTATCAGATTAGTATTCTCAGAGGCTCGTCCGGGAACATGATCAACGAGAGGGAAATTGGTACGATCGGCCTATTACCCAGGAAGGAAAGCAAAAAATAAGGAAGAGAGTCGAGAGAAGGAGGAGGAATGTTTTCTTTTCATTTTTTACCATGTATAAAGTTGTTATAATGCCGGTCTGATACTTCTTTTCACCAGATCGGAGGGACTAACCTAAAAGTTTTGCCAAGAGATCACGGTTGTAGGGTTTATTATGCAATGGCATCACTGAAATGATAGCAATTGTCCGAGAAATCTGATGAGGGAGAAGAATGGAAGGGAAAAAGACCACAAGTCACCTTTTTGGGCCACTGCTATCAGAGAATTCTCTCTGTCTCTCTCTCTTTCTTTTTTCCCTTCTTTAGAATTGATAGGTTGTTTGTCGTGCGCTATGATGAGGTGAAAAGGGTTGGGATGGTATTAGCGGTATACCGGTGTCCATAGTAGGGATAACAGTGCTAGTTCTGTACAGTACTCAATTACATTAAGATAACAACTACTGGAGTATGTTACCTCCCTCCGGCCCCAGGAGAGAGAGAGAGAGAGAGAGACTGCACCTACGAGTACTTCCCGATGAGTGATAGGTACATATGATAGCAAGAGTGATATGGTACCGCTTCAGCGATACCCACCTCTAACATTGACGCTATCCACCTCAATAATCGAGTTGAGAATAGGGTAATGGAGGCTCCTAGTTCTGCCGCTGACCTCATCGTTATAGTATCTGCTCGCCAGAGCATCTCCAAGCAAATCGTGGAGGAGCGGCAGTAGAGCTGTAACACGGTACAGCACTGCACTGCACTGTACCGTAGACAAGTTCACCCCTGCAATCAATGGTACAGCACCGGTATTTCAGAAGTTTTCTCTTGCCATGAGATGCACTGTATTGTGCCCAATGTGCGAGTGGGGCACGGCCGGTACTCTCATCCCGTATGGCGTCGGTAACTTTTTTTTTTTTTCTTTTCCTCTCATGAACTGTGTGAGATGGACCAATGGATAGGATAGTGGTGCCGCCAAGAGTGAAATGGGGAATTATGATACTGTACCATCGCGGCTACCTGCAGGTACAGTACAGCACACCACAGTGCGTGGAGCGCGGTATGATACAATCCTCTCTGCTTACTACGGGTTTGACTGTCTTTTTTGTCCTCTTCTTCCTGGCGGAAAGAGTGATTCGTTTTGGAGGGATGTGCAGTGATCGGGCTGGGCTGAGGGTGTGTTGACTTAGCATAGCTGAGCTGAAGCTCTCTCGCCCTCCCTTTAGCTATGATATCTCTTCGTGTCTGTGCCGAGGTACCGTAGGGTCGAGGTGGACTACCGGTAGAGTAAAACATCGACGGAGTCCCTCTACCGGGCACTCTCAGAAAACGACAGTAGTCTAGGTTAACCTGCGAGTAAAAAGCAATGCAAAAGTGTGAATTAGCCCGGAAATTGATGCTCTAGAAGGGAGCCGGAATCACTCTCTTACTCTCTCTCTCTCTCCCCCTCTCTAACCCTTCGTTATCTGATTGTTTTTTTTGTTTTTTCTCTCTCTCCACTACTACGGGTACCCTATCCTCTCCAACCCGACGACCTTCTTACCTCCCCATTCCATCTCTCCAGTCTCCACACTTCCCTTCTCACGCGTCGTCGTCATCCCCCTCTCTCTTCTGCCTCCCTCCTTGTGCCCAATTGACCCTCCTTCCATCATCCCTCCCTTCAACCGCTCCCCCGATTATCGCCATTTCTCCCTTCTTCACTCCTCTTCCTCTTTGTTCCCTTCCATTCCTTCTCTCCCTTTCCCTTATCCCCCGCGTAAGCCATCGCCAAGAAGTAGAAGAAGAAAGGATAGACAGAGAAAAAAAGGTCCACGCTCGCTTTGATTCCCCCGGCCCTCCTGCTGCTGCTACCCTTAAACTACTTCGTCCTCTCTTCCCCTCGTCAATTCCGGCGCTTCTGACGCTCGTGTGCTTTTTGGAGTCTTCCGGTCCCGTTGAGCCTCCGGGACATCCCCCATACACCTCCCCTCCCCCACAACCTCCGCCATCCATTCGAGCTTACTCAACACAACCCCCTTCCTTCCGTACTCTCAGCCTCATCCCTACCTCCGATCCCCCCCCCTCCCCACCTCAGCTCGACGCAACCAGCCGCCCTCTACGGCCATACCCACCCCGAAGCTTTCAAGATTCCTTCCCTTCTCCTCCCCCGCACAACCCCTCCTGGCGCCATGTCGGATGCCTCTCACGGACGGAGACGTCGCTCGAGCTCGCTCATATACACCGAACCTCCAGAGACCATCGAGCAGCAGTCTGATCAGGCCGCTCTTCCGAATCTGAATGCGAGCTGGGTCAACAGTAAAGGTACGGCTAGTCGCGGCAACCATCTGGGGAGAGGGAGAGAGGCTCGCGGGTAATTGGTGGCTGACGGGCGATTATCGCAGGTGCTTGGACAATACATGTCGTCTTGATCATCGCTTTGAAGATATTCTACGATACCATGCCCGGAGTCTCACAGGAGACTAGCTGGACCTTGACCAATATATCCTACATGGCTGTGCGTACTTATCCCCCCAGATCCGCGCTTCCTACGCTGCTTCCGGGAGCTTGGAGGGTTATATTTCTACTCTACGGTGCTCTGTGCTGGAGCGGAGATGCTGACGAGTGGATCGGGGGTGTCGTAGGGTTCTTATCTTATGTTTCATTGGGTTCAAGGCATTCCTTTCGAATTCAACGCGGGGGCATACGATAATCTGAACATGTGGGAACAAATCGACAATGGTGATCAGTACACTCCGACGAAGAAGTTCCTATTGACAGTACCCATAGTGCTGTAGGTTTTTTTCTTTTCTTTTTCTCTTCTTTTCCTTCCTTCCTCTGTCCCGCTTCTTCATTATTCTTCACCCCTTTACCGGCTTCTCGGGAACTTCTAGCTTCCTAGGGCCTATGTCCGAGCGCTGGATGTCTCGGGACTAGCTCTGTCTTGTAAGGGGGCTGGGCTGACTTCTTGAGCCATAGGTTTTTGATGAGCACGCATTACACACATTACGACCTCACGTATTTCATTATCAATTGTTTGGCGGTACTGGCTGTTGTAATCCCCAAACTACCTTCGGTGAGCCCCCCCTGTTGTTGTCATCGGATGTGGCACTTTTGCGTATCCGAGAATCGATTCATACTATTGCCCCATCGCATGCAGGTTACACCTGGCCCCGGAGTTGCCTTACTAACTTTGTGTACAGAGCCACCGTATGAGAGTGGGTCTTTTCACGGTTCCCGAAGAGTAGGGGTCGTCTTTAGTACGAACTAAAGGTTGGTTTGGGCTTGCGATTCAATTCGCTAAAAAAAAAAATTAAAAAATTAAAGAAAAAAAATCCGGCGTTGAATTGTTTTTTTTATCACCTCACCTACTAATCTCCTTGCGTTTTGTATCCTCGCATCTTTTTTTTCTCCTTTCCGTGTGGCACTCTCATTTTCGGGTTGTCTTAGTAGGTTTTTGTCTTTTGTCTGGTTTTGCTCCAGGCACCGCTTTGGAGGTCATCTCTATACGAATCTCATCAGGGTTCTCTCCAGGTTTTTTTTTCTTTTTTTTCTTTTCTCCTTTCCTCCAGGGTTTTCGATCTTTGTTCTCGGGCCACGCTCTTTTTTATAGCTACTACTACAGCTTTTATTTTTTGTCTTGGTCTCCACTTTTTTGAGTTTTGGTATAGCGTTATATTCTTTTTTTCCTACTCTTTTTTCTTTCCTCTTGGATTGGGGCAGACGGGATGGGACACAAACGGATGTACGAAAATAAGAAGAAAGCATTAAGGATCACTCATCATCGTCATTATCTTGAAACTTTTTCCTTATTCGAGAGCGCATGTCATACCCGCACAGCCGGATGACATTGGGAAGTGGTTTATTCTTATCTTTTACCTCTGTGCTTTTTTGCGTTCTTATATTTTTTTTATTTGTTTCCCCGTATGTATGTACTTGTATTATATATAAAGGATCACTCGATCGATTTGACCGGGGGGGTCTTTATATCAAATCATTATTATAAGGGCAGACTCCCGGCCGGGTTTCACGACAAACCCCTACCACTAACTTTATACGGTAAAGCAAAAACGCGATGTCCGTCCCGAGCACGGTATAGCACCGCACAGCACAGTACTAGTGCCTGTAGACGACCATCTAATCCAATCCACAACCCGGAGCCAAAACGCCCCAACGAGTGATTTCTTGTGATAACGAGTCACCCACCCGACCATCATAGGTTCCAATGATGCTACCCGCTTCCCCCCGTGTGCAAGTACAATACGATATCGTACCCGCGGGCTCGGGTTAAAGTTCTCGATGGTGGTTTCGAGTACGAGAGGGGTGGGCCTGTCTGGAGGTTTCCGAGTTTGAATTTCTGACACAATATATGGCGTGTATGGTTATTTCTACCGCTGTGAGTGAGTGGCCGATTTGATTTTTGGTTTATGATATGATAGTCGGTGATGGTAGCAACCGTGCTGTTACTCTCCTTCTCCTAATTCTCCTGGTATGACGCCATACCGGCACTGTACTGGTACAGTATCGCGCTTACGAGTGTTGGCCATTTGACACAAGCACACTAACCCCGTATATTATAACATCACCTAGCATCTAATCCCGTATAATCTATTCATCGGTTTTCCCTCTTCCCCCCACTCGTCCGTTTGTTTCTTCTCCTCCTTAGAGTAGTGTACGCACTTTATGCACCATATACGGTACTCTGATACCACCACAACTCATAAGCTACCGTCATCACGCACCCCACATCAGACAGCGATCTAAAATGCCATCCATCACGACAAGAAAGGAACTCTAAATATTATACTAGCACTAGTCTACCACTTTACCGAGAACCATCACACCTAATTTCCCACCACCACTGTAGAACCCCACCAACGAGTTACAGTACTTTACGGAAAAAAGGCATCGTGCGGAGATACTATCTATTTATCCATCCATCCATCCATCCATCACCATTACAGATTCGTTACATTTTCAAAAAGGTCAGGATCGTAAGTAAGTACTCACGTAACATATCACCTGACTGACAATTTTGTCGTTCGTACCGTACTGAGTTATGATACGGTACGGGGGTTTTCACCGCTTAGGTGATCCCGTTGTATTATACTGTACGATGTGATATTCTCCCGACCGGCTGGGGTCCACCGCTGCGAGGTGTACCGTATCATACAGTACAGTACCGGTACATAAAGTCGTTCACGTGATTTGTTTATTTTTGGAAGGAGCGGTTGTGTGTGTGTGTGTGAGTGATTGGCGGTGAGGCTGGGCGTGAGGACCCGTATGATACTGCACTGTACAGTACTGTAAAGTACATGTGGTATCGCACTTGAGGTGCTATCGTTCGATGGGATGGTCTATGGAGTGGGGTAGTAGTTACCGTGGACGGACGGAAAGGTGCTGCGAACCACTTACGGTACTGGTGCCACTGCTGGTTACTAAGTATCATACTAATGTTGAACTTTTTTTATGGATGGTCATTGCTTGTATGTGGTTTGGATATATGCACTATAGCTATAGGTGGACACCACAGACACACACATACACACACACACAAGTAGAGGCGAGACTTTCACAGAAACCAGTGGGTATATATTGTATATCGGACAAAACAGAACGGGTAGTACCGGTATAGCATAGTAGCGATGGTAGTAGTAGTAATGGTCAGTAGTAGCTGAGTGAAACAAACGAAACAGGCCACGACAGTGACATCAAACTCCAACATGAAAAAAAAAAGGAAAAAAGAAGAAAAAAAAAAAAGCTTGAACCCGTATCGTGACATATTATCCCTCCCACTCCACCTAATCCCCCCCCCCCCCCAAGTCCACAGAGGCACACTAATTCCTAACCCGCTTAACAACCTGACACTCCAAATCCCCTTCCCCCTCCCCCTCCCTGTCATCCCCCCTGTCCCTATCCCCACCCCTCTCCCTCCCGTTCCCATTCTTCAACTGCCCCCGCACCCCGTTCCCCGCCACCAACGAACTCCTCTTCCTCCCACTCCCATTCCCACTCCCATTCATCACCATCTTCCTCCCGTCACGCTCGCCGTCGGCGACTAATATGACCTCATCCTCCTCGCCCGGGTTCCTCAAATTATGAAACGAAGCGTGGTGGCCGCAGCCGTCGCATGCGAAGCTACTCGCCGCTTGTAGTGGGTTTAGCATGAAGCGGAGGCAAGGGCAGGAGGTGCTTAGGACGCTGAGCTGGTAAATGTTAGTAGGGGGGCCGGAGGAGGGGAGGGGTGCCGGTGGGGGGGCCCTACGGGCGGGGAGGGAAAGGGTACTTTGTGGACACATTTGCCGCGAGGCACTTGGTAGTTCATTACCGACCAGATGTTTGTTGCGGGCTTCGCGGGGGGTGTGTGGTTTAGGGACATCTTGTTTGTTTCGCGAGGCGGGTATCTTGCTATGTGGAGTGCGTAGCGGTTGTCGGGGCGGTTGTTTTGTGCGCTTGGTTGTTGTTGGAAGGAGGAGGAGGGCGTGGATTAAAGTCATGTTATGGATGGGACGGGACGGATGAGATGGATGGCGTTGTTTGTTTTTGCCAAGAATTTTAGATTGAGCCGTGGTCATCACGTGTCACTCGGTTAATACTATAATAGTACTTTCTGGGCATTGGAGAGGGGGGGGGGGGGTATTCTGTGGGGTTCTAAGCCCGATCGTTAAATTAGGCGCCATACTGGCGAGATCTGGAGAGCTTCCTGAGGGTAGGTGTACCTCATCAGGGATTAGTAACGAGTGATACCTGATGAACTCGAAGATTGCTCGGACCTATCGCGGCTACCATGCTTATACGATAGGAAAGAAATCTAATGATCCTCGCTGGACCCCCCTCTCCACTCTAAACTCCACACTCCCTTCCCAGCATTGAACGGCACAACAATCTTATCCTTCTCCCCAATCTGACTAACGACAACCTCATCCCCACCCTTCCTTAGTAGAATTCCTGCCTCAGCACCAAACCCCCTCTCCAACCCCTTCTCCCCCACTTTGTAGAACCTTCTCCCAAAGTCGCAAACAAACCCCTTCAACATATCCAACTTCCCCACCTTATCGAACGCCTCAGCGACCAACTGTACAGCATACGGCTGCGTGAACACCCCAGCGGCAGTCCTCCCATTCTTTGCCCCAATCTTCATTTCCCGCGGGTGTGGCGCCGAGTCCGTCCCTAGGAAGAACTTTGCATCTCCGGATGTGGCGGCCTCAACGAGTGCAGCGCGATCAGATGGGAGCTTGGCAACGGGTTTGCAGAAGCAGTGCGGATTATCCGCCCACTGGTCTATTGTGAGGAATAGATGGTGGGCAGTGATGGTTGCGGCGACGCTATCACCACACTTCCGGACCGCCTCTACTGCCGCTGCGGTGGTGCAGTGCTCCAATACAATCCTTAATTTCGGAAAGCGGGCGTGTAGGTCCAGTAATGTTGGTAAGAAGGTCTCCTCAGCATTTAGGATCGTCGTGGTCTCGCTGGATGGTGACTCCCCGTGAAGGTTCAGCACTAGGTCGTGCTTTTCCATCGCGGCGAAGACAGGGTAGTACTCCTCGTACGAGACTACGCCTGCTTCGGAATTTGTCGTGAGGCCCTTCGGGTAGGACTTTACTCCTACTATCTTTTTTGTGGAAGCTGCGTGCTCGATTACCGCCGGGGTTATCGCGGGGCAGAGGTAGAGCGTCATAAGGAATGTTAAGGAGGGTTCAAGACTCGCGAGTCCGGAATGGTAGGAGAGCGCTTGGGGTACGGTTGTGATCGGAGGGACAAGGTTTGGCTAACGGAACGTCAATTCTGGTGTTTTAGGGGATATTGGGGGGGGGGGGGGAGGGTACCATGACATAAACCAGTGATACTCCGCCATTCTTGATCGTAGGAACGACGAGACGCATCATATCTCCTTCGCGGAGGTGAGCGTGGAAGTCCGCTGCTGGAGGGAGTTCAATTGTATCCATTTCCCCTCTCTTTCTCGGAACCGTAAATGTAAATATGGTTAATGTGCAATCGGTGGTGGTTGGAGATGAATACGTTAGAGGAGTTTTAGGCGGGGGAATCCCATTCATATCGGAAAAAGCTTGGCAAATGAATGCAGGGTAACTTACCAACCAACCGACACAGCGTCGGTCCCTACAGCACATGTACCCCTGCGCTACAATCAACAGAGGCTGACAACGAACCAGGCGGAAAACCTGCCTCCCCCCTCCACACACATAAAATAACTGTCGATTGATCTCCCTTGAATTCCATCCCCAGCCGGCAATTCCTTCCTCGTTTGAGCGAAGCGCCTGAAAGCCCCCCGCTATAGCTAATCCCCCGGGGGAGCAAACTGAACGAACTGCCAAAAAAAGATGGCCCTGGACTCACTGCTCAATCAGCCCGTTGTGATAGACAATGGATCGGGTACTATCAAAGCCGGCTTCGCCGGTGAGGACCTGCCGAAATGCTTCTTCTCGTCGTTCGTCGGTCGACCGAAACACACGCGTGTGCTTGCCGGTGCGTTGGAAGGGGATGTGTTCATTGGGTCAAGAGCGCAGGAACTACGGGGGTTGCTCAAGATAAAGTACCCGCTTGAGCATGGGGTTGTCACGGATTGGGATGATATGGAGAGGATATGGCAGTATATTTACAGTGAGGAGCTGAAGACTTTGTCTGAGGAGGTGAGTTTGGGGCAGGATACATATGACTATGAGATAGGGTTGGGGCGGGACATGGGAGGGAGCTAATTGTGGGTTTGGGGAGGAATAGCACCCGGTGTTATTGACTGAAGCACCTTTGAATCCTCGGACAAATAGGGATACCGCTGCGCAGATATTTTTCGAGACGTTTAATGTACCGGCTTTGTTTACTTCTATACAAGCAGTCCTGTCACTGTATGAGGCCCTAGCTCTCTATTAGCTTTGATAAGCTCCATTTGTGATGCTCTTAGCTAATTGTGGATCTCCAGGTACGCTTCCGGTCGAACAACGGGCATCGTTCTCGATTCCGGTGATGGTGTTTCCCATGCCGTCCCTGTATACGAGGGCTTTGCGATGCCCTCCGCTATCCGCCGGATCGATGTTGCCGGTCGTGATGTGACGGAGAACCTCCAGGTCTTATTGCGAAAAGCCGGAGCAATATTCCACACTTCTGCTGAGAAGGAAGTTGTCCGGTCGATGAAGGAGAAGGTATGCTACATTGCATCGGATCCAAAGAAGGAAGAGAAGGAGTGGGCCGGCGGTGGGGCCGCGAGAATCGAGGAATACAGACTACCGGATGGGCACATACTCAAGGTGGGACTCCCGATTCGCCTTTTTCAACTGGTTCTAGTACGGGGGCGAGGATGGGTGCATGCGTGAGAGCATTGCTGAATTGCGTGCGTTTTTACCAGCTCGGTTCAGAAAGGTTTAGGGCACCGGAAATTCTATTCGACCCTGAAATCATCGGTCTCGAGTACCCGGGTATCCATCAGATTGTGGTTGATGCGATCAATAGGACTGACATGGACCTAAGAAAGTCGTTGTTTGGGAATATCGTCCTGTCTGGTGGCTCGACGTTAACAAAAGGTAACGTGTACAACCCACCCCATTCTAGGGTTTCACCAAAGTGCCCGGCGCATCCGATTCGACCGGGACCCAACAGCCGTACAGTAGTGGTGTTTTAAATATATAATTCTTCTCGCTTCTCTACCGGGGTTTAACGGCTGACGAACGAACGAACCCACTGTGTGTTTAAACGATAGGATTCGGCGATCGACTACTCTCTGAAGTCCGGAGACTAGCGGTTAAGGACATGAAAATCAAGATCTTTGCACCCCCTGAGCGGAAGTACAGCACGTGGATTGGAGGTTCAATTCTTGCTGGTTTGAGTACTTTTAGAAAGGTTAGTACTTTCATCATTTGGAAATTCCATCACACCACACCACGCCACACATCCCACACGTGCACTCTTTATTATTATTATTTATTATTATGGATTTGCACCTACGTTTTCTCTTTCTTCGTATATACCGACCTCATCACATCACGCCTTTTCACCGGTTGTTGATCTCACGGTCACTGGCCACCATCCTGCGCTGTTACGTTTCATACCGCTGCCCCGCATATCTGTTACGAGAGGGAAATTTCCTGCCCCCCCCCCCCCTACCCTTTTGTTGCCTGTCTGCCTTCCTTCCGTGTTGGAACTCTTGTCCTTACCCTCTCTACACACCTTCCTACACCTTCCTCCAATACCGCACAACCCACGTGGGAAATCCCGTGCCATTGCTAATTACACCGCGACAACTAATACGGTTATTTCACAGATGTGGGTTAGCATCGACGACTGGCACGAGAATCCGGAAATCATCCATACGAAGTTTACCTAGACCTTTTTCATTTCTTATCATCTCCTCTTCCCTTCTCTTAGTTGGCGGTTGTTGTTGTTCAATAGTGAGCGAAGCCAGATTACCATAGTTTGCTCGGGTAGTTTAGCCTGCCTACTTACTGCTCCCGGCACCCTAACCTAGAAAAGTACGGTAGACAAGGGGAAATATACCGGCATACCCGCAAACTACCTCTTCCTTCTTCCCTTGTTCCCTTCCTCCCTCCTCCCCTAGAAACCAATAAATTTCAAGAGAAAAGCCCACCACACCGAGTAAGGCGTCGCTATATCGCATTGCATTACACCATTCATACCACATTACGTTATCCTTTTTCCCCAAACTCCCGGACCAGGGCACGGTAGTCTAGCGCCGCAACGGCATACCGTATCACTACACAAGCAAGTACAAGTACAGTAGGTGCGGTCCTGTGCCATATGTAGTACTCATAAGCACCGTAGACAGTGCAGCGGAAAGAAACAAGGGTTGCAAGTAGAGCACGGTGCGTATCATATACCGGTACGGCAATAATAATAATAATAATAATAATAAAATGCGGGGTACGGCACGTCTGTCATGGATTCCGCTAGCCGTAGGGGAGCTCCGGTTTTACCTTGCGAGGGAGGGGAGGCTTTTTTTCCTTTTTTCCTTTTTTCCTTTTTTTTGTTTCCTTTCTTAGGGGAGTGTTGCCTCGCGGTGAGACCTTGGAAGGTACTCCACAATACCGCACCGCACTGCGCTGTATTGTACTACCGGTACTATTGTGGTATCATACCGTGCAGTGCTCGAGCACCATATTGCAAGGCCGAGAGGTTGTGGGCGGTACCGGTAGCGCTATCGGAGATTGGCGGGGTACAGTACGAATACTAGACTCTGGGTTGGTGTAACTTGACACAACCCCAGGGCGAAATTTCTCAAGTCTCACGGTGCGAAGAACGATGTTTTGTGGGGCGTCAAAACTGAATTAACTTGTGCGATACTTTAGTGTGTATGATATGATACTCATATACTATTGTGATTATGCTCCGGTAACAAGGCGAGACAAAACATAGGGACGAAGTAAAGTGATAATAGAGCGCAGCAAGATGGTAGATACAGTATGTTTCTCATTTCTTTAGTCCTTTCCTTTTCCTTTCGAAAGTAAAGGACCGGATGGAATGAATGAATGAGCGAATGCAAGTGCCACAGAAATAAAAACTCGATTCAAGTAAAAAGCAAGAACCCCCCCACATATTGCCGGATATCCAGTTCATATCCTAATATCCCATGTTTTTTTGTTTTTTTCTTTTCGGCTTTCCTTCCTCCGATACCAATGCTTGTAAACAGGCAGAAACAGATTATCCACTCCAATCGATAACTACAAGAACAAAAGAAAAACGTACATGGAAAAAAGTTATCAACGCCGTGCACAACTCATGCGTCAGACTCCAAGCAAATACCCATTAAATAAAGAAAAAGAGAGGGAACAGAACAGAAACCCCACAAACATAAACTTTTTTCCCTCAATTATTAAAAACCCTCCTCTTCGACTCTAGCAGTTCCAAATCTAAGAGGAAGATCTAACCCTAGCAATGCTCTCCCAAACTTTATCCGCACCACTCCTCAGGCTGTGCGAGGAAAACCTCGGCGATGAGCCGGCAGAGCTGGTGCTAGACCTCGGACTAGAGTCCGGCGACCCAGCGGGGCTAACGCTATAGTGCGACCTGGTAGCAATGGCCTCTGAGGGGACGATGTTGCCGGCACCGCCGCGGCCGATGGAGTATACGGGTGCGTGGTGCTCGTGGAAGAGACGGTCTCGCTCAAGCTCCTCGTCAAAGGAGAACATTGCTCGCTCGGATTTGGGCTTGATGTTGCCGGCGCCACCGCGCCCGCCAAAGAAGACGCGGGAGTTTGGTGGGGTGGCAGTTGCTGGGAGGGCTGTCGCGACAGCTGCGGGGAGGGAGGAGGTGCTTGGGAGACGACGGTAGTTGCCTGCGCCGCCGCGACCGGCGTGGTAGTAGGAGCCTGCGCCGTGGATGGGGGTGTCTTCAGTAATTTGGAAGGGCATTCTGGTTATTTGGTGGTGGTGGTGGTGGTGGTGGTAGTACTGGTCGTAGAAGGAGGAGGCAGAAGCTTTATTTATATGCTTCTATATGGCAGGAAGTATCGCCGCTTTATAAGATATGGTAGTACCGGTAGCAAATAGTACGGTGGTGGATAGTAGTAGATAGCTTTGGACGAAAAAGCTCAAGTGCGTAAGCTGTGGAATAGTAGTCTGAAGGTCTGAGTCAATGGCTCCAAAATAAAAGGGTATCCAGAGAGGAAACTAAAGAGGTCTTTATATCCCAGGTCAGGCACGCCCTGACGATCCCACTAACGGCAAATCTGGGGCAAATTCTGTCCCAAAAACTTTTCTGTATTCGAGTATGCCGCCGGGCTGTGGCTCACCACCCACATCATCCACCCCTCATCGACCTCGCCTGCGGTATTCTTGAAGGGGTAACGATCTCGTGATGGTGGGATGAACGGTTGGTGGTGGGAAGGTGAAGGGATGGCTCAAGAGTCAAGACCCATCCATGAACCGGCCAGCCATGAGCTAATTCTTGCACGGGCAATACTAGCTACCCCATACCTGTACACTGCAAGCATTTGCGAATGGGAGGGAGCAGGCGCCGAGTAAGGCTCCGGGTGTACCAGGCGCAGCAGGTGCGTGCGGTACGGTACTGAACTGTACGGGTTTAGGAAAAGGCTTTCTTTCTCTCTTTCTTTTTTTTGCTTTTCCTTTTCAGAATCTGGATCGATGTGTTCCAGCAACCGAAGGAAAGTAGGTAGGCATGCAAAGCAAGCTACCAAAGTCCACGGGAACAAGCCATCCCAGATCCAACGCGGATGAAATTGAAATTGGCTGAAGAAACAAAAGAAATCTGAGGCAGGCAAAGAAGGAAGGGTGCATGGCGCGTTAGAAAAAAGGTGTATGATAACTTAGACTTTTTTTTTTTTTTTCCTCCCAGCGCCTAGAATCCTACAAGCCCCAGGCCACGCTGAAAGTGTGGTAGACCGCCCGCCTGTTCGGCGTTTTCGCTTAGAGATGCAGATAGGGTTCGACTGCAGCCAACTTTGGCATGATAGAAACCAATTTAGCTATGGAGGCACAAGGACGTAACTTCAGGGTAAAGAGTTTTGATTTGATAACCCATCGAACATCGTGAAAATGACGAATATCCCCCCCCCGTAGAATTTGTCGCTTCCCATCCTTTCCCCTCGCCCATAATAGAAATGGAGAAATAATGAGGGAGAAAAGAAAAGAAAAAACCGAGAGCTCTTGTAACATTTGAGGTCAGATGGTCGGGTACCTTTATTGGAAGCACAAATTACCTAACAGCAAATGTGGCCAGCAGACCGCCGCTTCGCTCCATTCGCACTAAGAGTCTCTTTGTATTTTTCACATCCGGTACCCTTTTTCCCTCTGTTCCCTTCCCACATTCACTGTTCTTGGTTGGTCCTAGAGAGATTTTCTCTCGTAATGGACAACCCGCAGTTGGAAAGGAGCAAGTTTGGCCCCGCCCTTTTGGTGACGGGAAGGAGAAATGGCGAATTTTGGCATGACGAGAGGAGAAGGCTTTTTTCCCTCTACGGGTGCATCATCATCATCATCATCAGCGAAGCAATCGAGAGAAGATTGGGGATGCATTACCGGTAACTCAGTTTGAAGTGAAAGAAGAAAATACACTTTCGTGATGAAAGAATCATCAAACGGACGCAAACTCAGCGCCTCAGTGTGGCGAGCTGAAATGGTGTGGAGGAAGGGCTGTGAAAGATTTTGTCAAGAACTGTCAGATCCACGACGTCATCCCAGGCAAACAAGCGAGAAAAAAATTATTACCAATAAAAAGAGGTAAATAATTGCGCACAAAGATTTACAGGAACCAGGCAGAAAGTTGCCGAATAATTAACCTGAGTTAACCCGCAAAATAATCCCTGGATCGGGATGTTTCGTGTAGTTACGGTAGCTTCGAACATGTTCTGTTGACCCGTCATCCGCGAGAACACCTTGCCGGCAAAGGTAGTGAACAGTTAATCTGGGTTAACTTGCACAATACCGGTAACCTCTGAACTGTACGAAAAACATCTCCTCCGGCACTCTCCCCACCGTGGTGAAGGAGAGGAAAAAATTTCTTGCCCACCCGGCATGATACCGGTAGACTACGCATGCTGAGAACTTTTCATGCCTCCCAACCCTTTTCACTCCGGTACAGCAGTGCCTGCCGTTAACCGATGGGTTATAGTTAGAGAGGCGAGGTGCGGTGGGGACAAAGGATCGGGGGGCCTCCCACCTTCTCAGTCTTGACTCTTGGGTGACGGGGAGCTGACTGCAAACAAGGCACCTCCACTCTTTCATGGATTCTATGAATACAATCGGAGTAGGAGGCGCAAATCGACCCACGATGCAACGGGCACCGCACACAGTTGCCCCAAGCTGCAAGGTACCGCTAAGCTCTCATTCCTGGGACCAATGGCGAATTTTTTTTTTCTTTCCTTCCAAAACCTTCCCTAAAATGCGGGGGAAAAAAAAAGGATCCCAGTTGGTGCCTAAAACGGAAAGGACCTGCCGAGGTTCGGACTTCCGCGAACGGAATTTGTTGGTGAGCTCCCCCCGTCAGCTTGAGTTATTTCCACGGTGCCCTCTACCAGGACGTCTTCTCTGGTTCTATCATACCTTTCTTGAGGTGAGTGAGATCTGTGAGTGATCTTCGTTTCAACCTGCTGGGAAGTGCGGGATCACTTGATGCGATGGGCCTACCCTACTCGTACGTACTGTACCCACCAGGGAAACAAACTGGAAAACAAAAAGCAATATGAATAAACATTCCGGGAATGCGGTAGCCCATCTTGCATGGGAGGCAAGCAATATATTTTTGTGCGTTTCATTTCTTTCTTTCTTTATTTATCACCGACAATGACAAGAGAGGTTCTTGTGGCCCTCTGGTCTTTCTTTGAACATCGTCATCCCCCGTGCCCATCGAACCCCGTAAATTCGAGCCCTAGGAAAGGAAAAATGGGGCACAAAAAGCTGAAAAAGAGGCGAATGGCCCGCCGAACCTTTCTGGACGGGAAAAAAAAAAGAAAACAAACGGTCAGAGGTATGGTACCCGTATAGTACATGTAATAAGTCACTGGCGCGACAACTCGCTCGCTCACCGAGCCGTTCTTCGTGTGGCCCTTCCTCTAGGGTGCTCGTACAGAGAAAGCATCGTGAGATTCAGGGAGGCGTCAAGCTAGCTCTTGGTGGACAGAAAAGTTTTCACCAACGCAGCTCCTGCATTTTCATACACATCAGTACTTGTAACGAACATCGTGACATCGTGACCATATGACGTCTCTTGTTTTCCCGTTCCTCCGGAACCAGATCATCGAATTACCCGAAGGGGTGCATGCTTCTCACCAGTCATCAATAGCAGATACCTGAATATGGCCCCCTTCTTACTGTACGCTCCCAGTAAAAGGATCCAGGAAAATAGAGACCTGCGTAGAAGTTTCCCATCCCGGCCAAAGCTAGGTTTGGCGGTATCGCCGGCCTTTCTCATCAGGTTGAGTTTCTTTGGCGTGAATGGTGGGTACCGTATCTGCCATTTTCCATAACGGAGCTCTGGTCAGCAACACCCTACCAGCACGGCAGACAGTTCAGCTACAAAGTTATCCTAAAAGTGGCTGGAGAAATTGGATGAAGCCCGCTTGGAACCGAAGCCCGTTTTCTGTGAAACTGCCGACAGACGTGCTCTTCTTTTTCATTGTGCATTGGCAAAGTGGGGCCTGGAGAAAGGTTGGGAAAAATAAAGTAGGAATCCACAAGGAAGGAAAAAGAAAGGGTACGGGCAAAACATACGCGAAGTTGACCCTCCATCCACGACGGCTGGTTCACCACGGGTCGTCTGTGAACGAACGCATCAAAGGAGGCCTTCCCTATTGGGATGAAGTGTGATCGTTAGTCAAAATTCGGCACGAGCCCCATCGTACGAGTAGTCGTTAAAGGGAAAATAGCCGTGAGGAAATCCATGCTGCATCAAACTGATCATTGGCGCGGCGCTGCCCACCCGCCGCCTTAGTGTCGCCTGCGGTGGCCCCTGCCAGTATTCCTCCGCAAAAGCAAAAGACTGGAAAGGAGCTCCTCCACTCTCGGTCGCTCCCACCCCTCGAGCGCACAACAAAGAGGAAGAGGTACTCGGGGAAAAAAAAAAACATCGTGACTTTTTTGTTGTGGACGACAAACTCACCTCTGTAAGAGCCGGTACCAGACTCTCCCACCCCCCCAAATGGAATTGATGGAATTGCCGCATGGAAAAGTACGCTGTATCGTCAAAGTATCGATTGTCAGCAAGCTTCGGTCTAGATGAACGCTTCAACTGTCAGAGCTCAGACTTACTCATTTACTGTCGCTCCACCGGACCTGATGTTCTTCAGGACTACACGAACAGGTCAGCCCTTGCCTCCCAACAAATTTCCGGAGCATCCCACTCACTTTTCTCTTCCTCCTCCCTTTTCGCGGAGAAGATGTACAATGCCAACGGGCAATCTCCAATCTTTCTCGCCACCGATATCATGCTATCCAAATCTTCAACAATAAGCATCGGCAACAGAGGCCCGAATATCTCCTCACTCAACAAGCTGTCTTCCGGACTAGCGATTTTGACTAGAGTTGGCTCAATGAATAATCTCGATTCATCCCGCTCTCCGCCGTACAAGATCGTGCCCTTGGTATTGTTCAGCAGTTCCGTGATGCGGTGATAATGTCTTTTATTGATAACGCGCGCTAGATCTGGCGACTTCGATGCTCCCTCTGGGAAGAACTTCTTCAGGGTTTGGATGAATGCGCCGACAAACTCGGCTTCAAGAGAGGGGTGTATAATGACATAGTTAGGACCAATGCAGATTTGTCCCAGGTTGTGAACTTTCCCCCAGGCAATTCTCTTTGCGGCAAGCTTTGCGTCTGCTGATTTAGTGATAATGCACGGATTCAAACCTCCACTGGATACCACAAAAGAGGTTGGTTAGTCTGGGCCTTTGGTCCCATCGGGATTGCTATCAGTTCGGCGACAACTTACAGCTCAAGAAGCACCGGGGTCAAATGTTTTGCTGCTGCGGTAGCAACAATGCGACCAACTGCGGCATTTCCTGTGTAGCAGATCTTATCAAACTTCTGGTTTAGAAGCTCAGTCGACTCGGGGATGCCACCGTTGACAACGGCATAAGCTTCGGGGTCGAGGGCGCCCTCTAGGATTCGGGCGATGATAGCTGCCGAATTTGGAGCTTGCTCTGATGGTTTGACAACGGCGGTGTTTCCAGCAGCAATCGCACCTATGAGGGGAACCAAAGCTAGTTGAGCTGGGTAGTTGAAGGCTCTGTAAACCGGGGAGTTGAGAAGGTTAGCCTAATGCCAGGCATGGTAAGGGGAATATATTTGTCAAGAATATATATATTTGGTCTAGGTGAAAAAGCAATAAAACCAACTGTAATAGAAACCAAGATACAGCACGTGCAAGTACATACCCGATAACCAATACTGTTCCCATGGGTTCTTTCCGAATACGCGGAGACAAGACAAGCCTGTGCAGAAACGGCAGATCCACCTTGTCATCCGCAGCCCATTTTCTAAGATTTTTGAGTACGTAGAGGATCTCAGCGCCAATCCAATCTATCTCTGATATCATGGCCTCAAAATAAGGCTTGCCGAGGTCAGCCTTAAGGGCTTGAACGAGTTGGTGTTCATTGTCTTTAATGCCCCAGTAGAGTTTGCGTAGTTGCTCCTCACGATACGCGAGTGGATGCGTCTTGAGGGATGTGAAAGTGCTTTGAAGCCGTGAAACGGTCGGGGCGATGGTCTCCACCGGAGTCGAAATAAAGGGAATTAGAAGGTGGGAAGCCATTTCAGACTTTAGGTTGAGTTCGGAGTCTACTTGTCGACACAGTGGGGGGTTTGGGGTGATCGTGTGTGCATATAGTGATTCTTGGTTTGAGAGAGTTCGTCAATGGTCAACGAAGCCTTAAGATTATCGGTTTGAGAGTGTCAGGGGGGTGAGCTCTTTAGTTCCAGCCCAATCAAAGGTGTTGCGGAGGTGAACAAAAGGTTGTTCGCGAGTCCGGAATGGTCTGGCTTGTGTCCTCTTTGAACTGTGATAGTGGTCCTCCGTCGATGTGGTGTCCGAGCCGAGGCAACGAGGTAAATAACCCTTATCTCGACCGACAAGATGAAGAAAGCAACACGCGCCCGGTTGTTTCTCGCGGATTCCAATAGCTCGCCGATCTACCGTTATGGATAGTCTCTTGTATTTAGGCAAGTTAATGTTGTGTCGATCTCGCCGCGTTTGAACACAGTCCAGCAGCAGAACGTGGCATCTGATTTGCGGAGCGCTCAAACGTTATGATAGGATAATGGTTTTTCCGATCAAATTTAGCAAACCCAACGTGTACCCACAAGTTGGACTAAAATTGAGCTTATTCCTCGGACGCCACGAGCTGCGCCATGTTCAAGTCGACCGGAAAGCGGAAGCCAGGAACGAATCGACGTTCCCTTGTACGACAGTGTCTCCCGTAGTTCGCATCCGAGCTGCTAGGATCCTGTGTGCGATTGCCGAGGGGGTTGTGGCATTTCCGATTCTCAACGGCCGTGACAGCAGCAATTCCTCCGCGGAGCATTGTGGAATGAAAGGAGTTGAAAGGAGCTGAAAGGAGTTGAGGCACCTCCGAGGTTCTATGCCATTCCAAGGTATGATATGCTCATGATTGAATAGCGGTACTGTACTGGCATTCCAACCAATACCATGCGGCACGGAAGGTCGTTATCGTTAACCTCAAAGTGTGAAGATAAGGAACCCCGCAACAGCTCAAAGAAGTCTAGGGCCCCTGGGAACCTCCTCGGTTTCCCCAGGGGCCAGCCACGGGAGCTAAACGCCTCTTGCAGAGGTGCTTCCGAAAGATCTACTATCCTAGGCAGGGTTCGGGTGCCGGTGCCGGTGCCGATACGGTAGCTTGAACGTCGGTTTGTATGTACTCGTATAGTGTCAGTACTGTACTCGAGCATAGGTAGTGAGTAACAACCCGCATTATCACGACTATTTAGTCATCTATCATACTAGGTTAAGGTATGACATGATTCTCAAGCCCCCTTATTGGTATTACACTATCGTAAGCGCAGAGGGGAATTCAGAGTAGTGAGGGCAGACCTTACCAGTACCCGAGTACGCCGTACCTTTCAAATATGTCTGCTTTGCGTGAGAGAAAAAAACTTGAGTAGCGACTACGGTAACCGGTGACTTGAGGCTATCTTGGGTATGATCTTAAATTACTATATAAGCCGAAGGGGAGTTCCCCAGACATAGTACCCGAGTAGGGAACGTGCTCTCTCATACTCTTAGGAGCAACTTTTCCACATAATTTCTTTTGCTCCACCTTTCAGGAACCGGGCGAAGAGGGGTCCGATATGTATTGCAACCCCTCCTCATTCGTGGTGAGCAACTACCACTCCATTTTTCTGTGTTCGGAGACGCGATATCGGTTTTTCCATTTATCATATCATCATAGGATACTTTACTGCCTGGTAGAGGCTCAGCTTCGGTAGCAACCTTTCACAAAATATCATTCGGTTCAAAAAATTCCCTCCCAGTCTCTATAAATCCTGCATTTTCACCCACCATTAGGATAAATTCGGTCAATAGTATTCAAGGTCACTCATTGAAAACAATTAACAGCAACATTTATTGTGGTGAAGCGTAGAAACCTGTGGGAGCAAGTCCTAGAGTCGAGGAACCTAAGACACACCTGCCGGTATCTGCCCCTTCATCCAAGCCGCCCGATAAATGAGCGAGGGATATCACTCCGTTCCCACACAGTTCCCGAGAAGGGCGACATCAGTGACCGAGTCATTATTGTACAAGCCACGTACCAGTAGGAGGTCCCCCCCGGAAAGAAAAGCATACCTCACGGGCCATACGGTAGGTATTATAAATGACAGACCCCGGGACAAACAAGTTGTCCATTCCCCCATCATTAATCTTCACCAACAGGATTCAACACAACGCTCCTGGCTGAGCTTCTCTACAAATTGGTCGTTTTTTTCCTGTTATCTGATTTCCCTTAGTGCATAAGTTCCATTTTCTTCCTTCGTAATTGTTTATCATTTTTTTTTTTTTTTAGGGGGGGAAACGGAAAAAAAACATCACATACTGCCAGGATGTTCTGCATCTCCGCCTATCCTCCTCATCCTCATTTCCACCGCTATGGCGTACCCACCAGCGTTCGAACTATCCAAGAATGTGACCCACCCCAATAAAACAATAAGCACAATGCCAAGAGTGTTCACACTCCCCGAAGACCCACTGGGTTAGTGTTGGAGGTCTTTTTAAAAAAAAAAATCGAAAGAGGCACTGCTTTAATCAGGTTATAAGAGTACCATATTCTGTTTATGATAATACAGTACAATGGCACCGGACTGGGAACTGGGTGAGACACAAAAGTGGGTCGCTTTGTGTGTGGATTTTGCTTGTATCCTCAGCGCAGAACTTTTGATAATATCAAAACCCTGGAATTTGGCTGAAATGAGGTCATGGGAGATGTCGTGATTTACAGGGGTGTTTGGGATAGTGAATTTCAAGAGTTTTTACGGTATGCCTTTGTCAAATGCTCGAGCTTCTTTGGCTCTTGGCATTAGCCGGAAAGCCCTACCATAACCGAGGGCAGCTGCCCGAACCGTCGGATCAACCACAACGAATCAAACCAACCTAGGGTTTAACCCCTCTACAACACAACATCCGCAGTCACATCCACAACCAATCTTGACCATCAAATATTATCGCGATGAGCAATAAGTTCGCCACCGCCAACAACGACAGCGACGATACCAACTCAACCGCTAACGCATAGCCGATTTTTACCACCAGCGTATGTCCCTTTCACCTCCCCTCCCGAAAATATATGCCTTGGGGAATTATATTGAATCCATCGAATTAACGTCAAGTTGCTTCCAGGTAAAATAAACACAAGACACCCCACAATCATGGCTCACGAAACAGTTTGGTACTCTCGCCCTCGCACCTACGGAAAGGGTAGCAGATCATGGTATGTTTTTCGCAGGTACGGTGTGTAATTTGTGGAATCCGGAGCTAATTATTCGGGGGGTAGCCGCGTCTGCGCTCACAGGGCCGGTTTGATTCGTAAGTACGGACTCAACATCTGCAGGCAGTGCTTTAGGGAAAAGTCCGCCGACATTGGTTTCGTCAAGGTATATCTCCCCCTATGGGTTCATTACTGGGTGGGTGGGATTGGGATTGCTGATTTTTGTATTAGATGCGATAAATCGAGTCGGTGGACGGCTGGAGGGAGGGGACAGTGTGAAGGGGTCCCGGGGGAGCTCATAAAAACTGGGAGGGGTGTTTTTTTTTTTCCTAGGTTTCCGTATACGGAATGTTACCAAATAAATGAACGGGAATGTTTAAATGGGATTGGTGTTTATGTGGATCATGGATTGGCAGATGTGAAGATCCCTGAAGCCCTCGAGGGCCGGTATTGGCGACACTTTGGCATGCGGCTGTGGCAGTTTTCTTTGGTTTTTGAGGCCGGAGTTTCTGCTTGGTATGATATTTTGATAATGCGGACTTACAGGCATCGGCAACTATGGTGGCCGTGTTCGCCAATAGCTCGGCCCACGCTAGTTGGACACCCAAAGCCTCGTATAAGGCCTTCTAACACTATTATGCGCCACGTCCCAAATTACAAACCCCTAGATAGCATTCCCAAACGAAGCTCCAAAGTCCGAACGCCCCCACCCAACCAATCCCCCCAAACTTGAACTGCTCGCACAGTAAGTATGATAGTGGTAGCAAGCAAAGAAGAAAAGCTTCTCACGTGACACCATGTCAATGCGAAAATTCACGCGTCCACCTGTACAACCCTAACCCTATAAAGTAGACTCCGGCCCCTCTGCTAAGACACTTAATCACCTACCGTACGGGCATTATACTTTAGTTACTCACCTCCCTTGGTTCATTCTTCTGGCACTGCTCCCCGCAACAGCAAACGACCCTTCCTTTATCCCTCTCTGGTATTCCCCGGAGCTCACCGGATGCCACCAGTAGTAAGCTTCTCACTTTCCCCACCAGCCCCGCTAGGAGTACCGGTAAGCTATATGAGCTAACAACCCCAGACACCGAGTCCCCTCCGCTTCATCACCGGGCCCTCCCAGAAACCCAAATCTCCCGGCCCCACCACCTCAAATCCTACATCAAGCTCGGCAGTCCTGTGCCTCCCCTCACCGCCCCCCGCTCCAACTTCCACCCCCGGACCCAGACAAACAGCAGCCCCAAAACCACAATTTGCCCCAGCGAAACGCTTCCACATCCCGACACCCCGATCCCTCCCTGCACCAACTCCCCCCCGGCCACTCCCACCACCACCACCAGCAACAGCAGCCCAGTCCTTGAGAGCGCAAACACCAAATTCAGCATCTCCGCCATTCCTGTGCACAACCCGCCGCTTTCACATCCCACCACCGGCTCCGGCCAGCACCCCAGCGCCCGCACGGGTACGCTTTAACTATGCCCCCGGCAGCAGCGTGCAACCAACCACACCAGCACCCCCGCGCACAACCCTTCTCTTCAAAAAATCCTACCAGCGCGACTCAATCGATGCCGACATCCACAGTGAAGAGGAGCCCGTCAGCCCCCTCCAAAAGAAACGAAAACTCCACACCGGCGGTGAAGACATAGAAAATGCATCCTCACCACCACCCTCACCGCACGAATCCGATACCGAGGAACTCCAGGTGGAGAAACCACGGAATAGGTTTTTATTCACGCCCGCGACTACGCCGGCTGCTACGCGTGGTCATACGATAACTAATTACCATCGCAGCATCCAACCCCCTCCTGGAGGAGGAGGGGGAAGAGGGGTGGAGGAGGCAATACCCCTGGATTGGTCACCCGCCAAGACCCGTGCCGCGAAGCGTTGGACTAGCGGAGGACTGGCGGCTGAGGTTGCCGGCTGGGTTCTTGAGAAGAGCTCCCTCAGCACTCGTGCCGGGGGAGGAGGTAGGATTGTAGTTGCCGGAGTGAAAAATGGTGATGGGGTATTTGTTGTCAGGGGAGAGGGGGAAGGCGAGGGGGGTTTCCTACTCCCGACTGTTGGGGGTGGTGGCGTTGGCGGTGGATTGGCAATTGGGAGTTCGGTGGTTTACGGGTTGCCGTGGTGGGAGGTTTTGGTTGACGGGGTGAAGTTTAGGTTTTTGGTCACTTGGTGGGCGGAGGTGAGGGAGGAAGGGGAAGGAGTACGGGGGTTGTTATGATGATTATCATTATGGTTGGGGTCGGCTGCGTGACGAATGTATTCTTTTACGGTAGATGGGGATAGACAGACACCGGAGCATCAACATGGTGCACCTTATTTCATACATTGTACAATATATATATATCTAAAGAAATGACACCCGCAGGATATTGAAGTCTGATATAATACAAACAGCGAAGCGCCGGAAACCCCCCATCCCTTCCTCGTGAAACAGAGCACCAATGCAGGAATAATAAACAAAGAATCGAAAATACAGCTGGACGGACAGACAGAAAGCAAGGTCAAGTAAAACTCCCCTTCGTCAGCATCCCCAATACATCCTGCCTCTCCTGGCCCTGCTTCTTCCTTTCCTGCTTCCTCCTCAACTCGCGTTCATTCTCAACCTTGGCCCTAACCTGCTCCCTCTGATGAAAATTAATAGAGCTAGACGCCTTCCCGCCTCTCTTGATCCCTGCTGCGCTCTCCATAGATTTCCCACTACCGGCGGTAGTGGTGGAGGCACCGGAGGAAGACCCTTGGGAATCACCGCTGGCAGAAGACATGCTTGTCGTGGCTCTGCGCAGCAGACTTGGAACTCGGAACTGAGTTTCGGTGGCTGACTGGAAAGCCATTTTCGCGCTCTCACTCATGGCGGTGCTGGATCTTGAGGCGGCGACACGGTCTATAACCACTGTCGCTGCTGTTCTGCGGCGTTTGTGTATGGGTGCCTCTGTTGGCTCGCCCTCGGAATCTGAATGTTCGACCATTCCACTCTCGTTTTCTTCAATGAGGAAGGATAAAGTCTGTGGGCGAAAAGGGGAATCAAGTTAGTCATAGCACATCACTCGGTGGATTTTGTAATGGGTGAAAGGTTTCAACTAACCTCTCTGACATCCGCGAGGGATGGTTTCTTGGGTCTGGTGGTTCTACGGGGATTAGGGATGATGGGTATCCCGTTACTCTCCCCAGCACCGTGTTGTAATCCAGGGGTCTCTCCGTGAGGAGCTCTTGCTTCTGCGACTGCTGGTACTTCTCGTGGATCGTGGCTCTGGCTTGGATTCTGGCTTTGGCTGTCTTCAAGAAGACCCAAATCAATGAACAGATCTTCCTCGCCCTTATCAAGAAAGTCCATTTCGTCGTCGCGGTCTCTGTCTTCAATTGCACTCAAGAAAGCTAGCTTCTTAGGACTTGTTGCAAGTTTCTCGATATTGCTATCAGCCATTAATGCCTTCCTTAATTTGGCCAACTGCCGTCTCTTGGCCCTTCTCCTTGCTTCATCGTCATCATCATCCGAGTCGTCGAGGTCGAAATCGGCACCACGCTTCTTTCGGAACAATCCTGTCTGAAGGTCTTTGAACAGCTTGTTGACATCCTTCTCATCCTGAGCTTTGTCCCTCTCAGCCCAGAAGGCTGCGATATCATCTTGATCGACAACCTCCATTCCATCATCATCTATCATTACCTCGACGTCACTATCATGCCCGTCTCCCCCCTCATCATCACTGGCACCCCCAATACCTGCATATTCGTCATCAGACTCTTCGGCCTGTTCATGTACCATCTCCTTCGCTCCACTCTTTGTTTTATCAAATTTTTCAGCCGCCTTCTCCCTCTTCATAGCCTTTCTCATGACATCAAAAGCGGTCTCTTTCCTCTCCCCAACCTCTTTTGATTTTCTTTCGCCGTCGCCCCCGCTTCCGTTTTCATCTCCCTCAGTTACAATGGCAAGATCCATGCCTTTTTTCACGAGCCTCCCTCTCTTCCTCCTGGGAGGCTGTGAGTCAAGCACTTGCATAGTTGATGATGGTTCATCCTCATCAAATCTCGGAGGTGCCGGACTCGAAGACTTGACAAATCCGTCATCTTGTGTAGGATCGGGAAAACTCGACATTTGTGTAGATGGCTCGTAGTATAGGTCCAATGTTGGGAGGGAGGGTCCGTCAATCGGCTCTGAATCTTTGTCGTCACTTTTCTTGAGGAGCCCCAAATCCAGTATGTCGTCCCCGAAATCCAAGGGACCCTGTGAATTTGGAATCCCTTCTCCGGGATCCTGTCTTAGTGCTTCCACCCTCTCCCTGACTTTTTCCGGACTCGCACTGACTCCTGCACTTGGGGGAAGCCCACTTAGCCCATTAAAAAGCTGTGTCATGCCCACAGGAGGAGGCTGGGCAATTTTGTTGCGAAAAATAGAGGGAATCTTGGACTCTGCAATCTTCTCCTTTTCAGACCCAATCGCATTGTCTTCATTCTCACCATCTTCGTCTTCGTCTTCTTCCACAATGCGCGATATCTTCTTTCGTATAGCTTTTCTCTTGAGAGTCTTGAAAGGTGCGAAATCACCATTACTCTCGTCCGAATCCTCGCCCGCCTCTTCATCAATATAAGCGGCTGGCATCTCGGATAATCGGGGAGTTGGTGACATTAGATCATTATCTTGAGGATACAGTGAGGTGAATGCTGGGCTTCCCGGGCAATCCACAAGTTCGTTCTCATCCTCATCAGAGAAGTCGGTGGGTTTAACGGCCCCTTCATCCTCCCTACCAGCTTCCTCCTCCTCAGAGCCGGATATTATTTCCATGATATCTTCCTCTTCGAGCCAGTCGCCATCATCATTCCCTTCGTCGGAGTCCATGTCATCTATAGCGGGACCCTCTTTCTTGACACCATCTTTTTCTTCCTCCTTCTCTCTCCTCTTAATGGCCAAGGCCTCCTTGCGTGCCTTCTCCATATAATCAACAGCTTGCTGTTCGGTTTTGGCTTTCTCTTCGGCAGTGAGAATAATCACACCTTTTGCCCTTAACTCCTCGATTCGCTCTTCTCGTTCTTGCACTGCTTGCTGCCTACTCCTTTTCCACAGTTCCGCTTCAAGCTCACGAGCGGATAGTCTAGGTTTCCCGTGGACCTCAACGGGTGGCTTCGCCCGCCTCACCCGACGCAGTTGATCAACCATTTTCTTACGCTCGGCATTGGCAATTCTCTCTTCATCCCCCGGCTTTACAATTTCAAGCTCCGAATCTGAATCCGAAATATTACCGGCAATATTGTTTGGGAGAATAACCCTGACAGGCGGTAGAACTAGTTTGGCCTTTTTCGGTGGTATCACGATTGCTTTCCCCTTCCCTTTATCAAGTGCGAGTGCGGGGCGTGGTGTTCCCTGCTCACCAGACCCTTCAAACGTAGCCCGAGCTTTCCCTTTCCCTTTCCCTGACTTCTCACCCACCTCCGGCAACGGAGAGGAATCGGGGCTGGATTGGTCTACAGGTTCGGTCTCGGATCCGGTAACAATCGAACTAAAGCTAGATATTAGTAGGTCTGAAATAAATGAGAAGGGTAATCCATACCTTGAGTCAACAGTCACTTGGTCCTTCCCGTTTCCATTCTGCTTTCCCGCAGGAGTCCTGAAGCCAAACTTCTCGAAGAGGCTCTGTTTGGTAATTGTTTTCTTTGTCCGTGCTTGATGCTCGAGATGCATATTTCTAGCCATCCTCTGAGACTCCCGATGCATCTCTTCCAATGCCTTCTTCCCGGACCTCCGCCTCGGAGGTTTTTGCGACAAAACCCCCAGATCATCATCGTCTTCTTCTCCTTCATTATCGTCCCCAGATCCACATCCCAATTGAGCATCAAGCTGTTTCCTCCTTATCCTCCTTTCTTCCTCTAGTCTCTGCTTCTCGGCCTCAGCTGCTTGCCGCTCCCTGCGTTTCTTCTCAACCAATTCCAAGAGCCTGGCATTCCTCTTTGGATCCGCTTCAAGCAAATCACGGATATTTTCCCCATCCCCCCCTTCATCTTCGCTAGCTGATACAGGAGTAGTGCTTTTGGACCGTGATGGGCCCTTTTGCTTGGGGGATTCTGTGGATGGTGTAGGAGTGGCCTTCGGAGATGCCTTCGGAGGTGCCTTTTGGGCGCGTTTACGCCTTGGTGTAGGAACAGGGAGATCGTCATCGTCATCCTCTGTCTGTGCAGGAGGGCTCGAAGAGGAGGATGGCCTGCCCCCGTCGTTACCCAATTCCCCATTGGAAATCAAGTTCTTGGAGGCCGTCCCGCCACCCGCCAATAAACTCCGCTTCACACGCTCATATGCGCCATCGTTGCCTGCGGTGGTGTTGTCTTCGGTAGCCAAGGGGGCCTTGGCGGGGTTGGTAGGCTTTGTGTCGGATGTACGCGGCATCATTCGACTCGCAAGTTTGCCTTTTGGTTTGTAGTCCAACTCAATCTCGCCATCATCGTCGTCATCATCTACGGCATCGTCATCCCCATCGCTCTCCTCACCCATGGCTGCTAGCATTGCCTCGACTCTTGATTTAGGCGTGAGAATGGGCGAAGCAGAGCCATCCCGCGAGGGTGTGCCCGGGGGAGACATTGTCATGGACGTAGCGGAGGGTGATTCCAGCGAAGCCATGATGGGCCACTCTGGTTGAATATCTTTTCGCAAAGGAGCGTAGGGCACCCGTTGCCGTATTTGGTGGAGGAGGATAGTCCGATAGAGGCAGCACGAATTGATCGGTCAAGGACGAAGCAGGACGCGACCAGGGGAAATAAAGCGACGCGTCTGAGCAATGAACGCGCCAAGATTTTGATTGGCAATTTCGGGCGCAACCTAAATTTCTGGTATGATACAGTGTACTGAGTACTCGGGTACGGCATGATACGGAGATACGGTACGGTACCTATTATACGCATACCGGTACAGCGCCTAAGCTTTGCATTTTTGCTAGCGGGGGTGCTCGGCTAGCAGGGGTGGGCCACTTTTCAGTCAAAGTTGCCCAATCCGTAGAGAGAACTTAGCAATTCGGCGCTCCTACCTTGTAGCCCAGATAAGCTTTAATGTGGCAAGGTGTCGGGTCACGTGATAGTGATCCTGGGGTAGGACTGTGGCACTTTGTGGATGATATCTCCACCAGCGATGTTGGGGTACGTCCCGGTATACCTCCCCTTCCCAACGAGATACCGGTATCGTGCCGTGTTGGAAACTTGGCTGCCAGCTAGGCCAGAGCACAACATCCAGCGCGACAATCTACAGCGAGGAGTCACATTTCCAAGAAGCGGATATGACGGTGAGATATATGTTTGTTGTCCGGGTAAACGAAAGAGATTTTTTATTGCTCGCGCATGGAAAACGAATGAGACACCTCCCCTCAAATCGACTCTGGGAACAAAAATCGATGAAACATCTTCTAGCGCCCACACTGGAAATGATATGCGCATGCGAGACCCTTCGGGGTACTCGGACGGTACTTGTACAGTATCATAGGCGAGCATATCTCTGAATGGTAGCCTAAAAAAAATGGGCCGGGAGAACAGCGAATATTACTTGTACTCGAGTAGACTTGATCCACAGCGAGATCCTGTTTTCGCTCTAATCGTCTGAATTGGTCTCTGGGTGCATAAATGCATAAAATATTCGTCCAAGCCGTCTCCCCTGTTCCCGAGCACCGCTTGTACTTGTACCTCGCCATCATGGGGAGACTACGATACCGTGTGATACCGATGTGTAAGGACCGACGACTACCGCTAATCGCGAGTACTTTTAGGAACTTGCATACGGTAGGCGACTCATCTCGTCCGCTACTCCAGTAGCAGTTGGCCCCACCTGCCTGCCCTTTTCCATTTCCCTTTTCCATTTCCCTTTCCCTTTCCCTCTTCCCCCTTCCTCCCCCCCCCCCCATACCATACCCACAAACCTATAGTGCCCAATACAGGCAGCGTGGTGGCCAATGGGCACCATATCAGAGAATTCTCGAGTCCGACGTATTGGTTTTGCAGGTTCACGGACGGCTAACAATGTGCGACGACGATAATAATAATAATAATAATAATAATAATAATAATAAAAGGGTGAGAGGGACTTCCCAGAATAGCTCTCCACCGCTCCCTTCCTCGTGTTGGTTTGCTGTCTGTCCGTTTCTCTCTCTCCCTGCTTCCCTCCTTCTATCTCACCCTCTCTCCCTCCACCCCAGCTACAGTATCCTAGCGAGGGGGAGAAAGCAGGGAAAAAAGAGGGTTGTCCAGACTTGTCTTGGTTTCTTTCCAATTCGCCTGTCTCCGACTGGCTTCGGCGCTTCTGTCGTCCCATTTTTATCACCAACGCACATAACGAGTAGCAATGTTCAACAAGGCTGGCTGCCACATGGAAATTGCTCTGCACCACTCTGCACCCTCACCCCCCCTCCCCTTCCACTAAACAATACCTGCGGAAGGGTGCAGTATAAGTATCTCCACCGTATATATTGAGCTGTGAAGGTACCTTTCCTCTTCAATTGAGGGGCAATCGAATAGTTCGAACATCACCCCTGAACGACTGGTTGACCGGGTGGGTTCTTTAGACTTGTTGACTCTCCTTTTTTTCTTTTTTTTCCCTTCTGTTATCCTGTCTATTTACCGTATCTCTCGACCATCTTCGCCGCTCGTTCTGCATCCTATAGACCCTCCCTCTCCTGTACCGGTACATTGCGCTAGCTCCTCTCCTTTCCATCTATTTATTGCTCCTGGGTCCTTCCACTCTTCCGTTAGAATACTCGTAGCTTTCGAGTGATTCTCTTCGGGGGGTACATTAACCGTACTCCTTTACCCTTCTCTATTCTACTCAACTCTATTCCCCTCTTGCCTTTCATCGCATACGCTCCTTTTGACTTGTTTTGATATCTGCCTCCCCCCCCCCCCCCCTACAGTAGTACCACATTGCCGGCGGTAGCGGAGAGTTTTTTGTCGTTTCGCCCACTTTTCTCTTCCATCTACTTGAAGCGATTGTGAAGCAGAAGCCACGGCTCCGCGCGTCCCCCGTGTTGCTCCTTTCGGAAATTTTGGCAAGTTGCAACAGCGGAGACCCTAGCCAGCAAGGATCGTCAATCAGCAACTCACCCTTCCTCCTTTTCTCCTTTCTCTCCCACCTCCTCCCCCTCCCCTCTTACACGGAGGGTTCCTCTACCCCTCCCCTTCATCGTCACTCCTCGAAGGTCCCTCCTTACCCTTCCCGCGTCTATTATCTTTGTCGACAACAGATTCCCCCGACCCTCACCGCTTCCGAACACCTTCCGGACATACGAGCTGCAACAGCAACCAATCCACACACTCTTTTTTTTTCCCTCCTTTCATCCTACCTATCTGTTCCCCACCTGCCTTCCACCAACGCTCCTTAAATCCAATACAATGACCGAAGAACCCGGATTTAAAGGCAAATCGCTCAAGAGAAAGAATGTCAAGGGGTTGAAACTCGGTGGAGGGGGAGGAGGAGGAACTCCCGCCCCGGTCCCTTCCGCCCCGGACGCCCAGGCTCCCGGCGGAAACGGGAGTAGATACTATGCTCACAATGACCAACTGAGTGATCAACTCAGCACCCTGGAAATTGGTGTTGAGTTTAAGCTGGATTTGCGTGCAGAGGATCTGAAGGTGGTGAACGAGTTGGGTGCGGGGAATGGAGGGACTGTTAGCAAAGTCATCCACGCTCCGACGAAAGCTTTAATGGCAAAAAAGGTCCGTTATCTCGACCCCGCCGCGGTGAAGATGTCCTACAGAATTATATTGACAGAGCGGTGAAGGTTATCCACATAGACGCTAAGCCGTCGGTTCGGAAGCAGATCGTTCGTGAGCTGCACATAATGCAGGAGTGTCACTCCCCCTATATCGTGTCTTTTTACGGTGCCTTCCTCAACGAAGGGGATGTCGTTATGTGCATGGAATACATGGATTGCGGGTCAGATATTAACCCCTCGCCGGGCCGTGTGCGCGTGTGCTGCGCCTTGCGAATACATCCACTGACATGGTCTACGATATCACAGGTCCCTTGATGGTATCGCTAAAAAGATAGGCCCGATTCGTATCGATGTTCTGGGCAAGATCTCTGAGGCGGTTGTTGAAGGATTAAATTACCTCTATAATGTCCATCGAATCTTGCATCGGGATGTCAAGCCCTCGAATATCTTGATCAACTCTCGGGGCTCCATCAAGCTGTGTGACTTTGGTGTTTCCGGAGAGTTGATCAACTCGATCGCCGATACGTTCGTCGGCACTTCAACCTACATGTCCCCAGAGCGAATCAAAGGAGCCAAGTACTCTGTCAAATCGGATGTATGGAGCTTGGGATTGACCCTGTTGGAGCTGGCCATAGGGAGGTTTCCTTTTGACGCGGACGGAACAAGCGCCGGGACCAGGGCCAGTGCTGGGCCGATGGGCATTCTTGATTTGCTTCAGAAGATTGTCAATGAGCCTGCGCCCAAATTGCCGAAAAATAAGGCGTTCCCCCCCAGCTTGGAGAGGATGATTGAGTGCTGCTTGATCAAGGATCCGGAACAGAGACCTAGCCCTCAAGAGCTGCTGGTAAGCTGCGATCATTGGAGGAGCCGCTCAATAGTAATTTGCTAAACCGGTTTTTGTGAACCAATAGGAGGAGTCGTTCATGAGAGCGGCCAAGCAGACCAACGTGGATCTTGAGGCTTGGGCTCATGTCATTCTCGACAAGCCCCTCAATCGATCATCAAGATCCTCGCAATTGATCAGCCCCGCTCCCGCTCACCGAGAGTCCCCGGCTCCACCACGCCCATCATCACGTGGCCAAAACACTCCCGGGCGAAGAACCTCCACTGTGGAGCGCAGCTCGAGTGAACGAGGCACTGAAAGAGAGAGATCTGATCGTGAACATCGCGCACCCCCGGCTCCGCTGCAACAGGCACCTTTCCCAACCCGCACAAGTTCACATGGCCCTGGCTCTGGAAGACTTGAGGAGGCGAACTACCACAGCTCTGCAGGTGATTCGTCCAGAGCCAACCAGTTACCACATTCAAGGTCCTCCCGCCAAGCTCAGTACCGATCGAACACCGAACCTGCAGGGCTCTCAAATTCAGACCGGAATGATAGCCGGGAGCGATATTCTCGTGGTCAGGGCGGCGAAAGGGAACGCGAGAGGGGACGCGAGCTGGAGCACCAAGGCACAATTGGGATCGCATTTGAGGGCCCGCACCAGCCGGAAATGAGAGAGAAGAAGAAGCCACCTATTGGCATTATGAGCTCGGGGATAGGCCTCCCATTTGCCGGATCTGGTAATGGCATTGGTTCAAGCGGTCCCAGCGGAATCAATGGTGGCCGGTAGAACAGGTTCAAAGCCAGATTTGCCTTTTTTTTTGATTGCTATATTCAGTAAATGGGGTCAGTTTTTATCTTTTTTTTTTTTTTTTTTTTTTGGTTGATATCGATAGGTTTTACCTGTTTCTTCTTTCTTCTTTTTTTTTTCCCCTCTCTTCTCTACCACTCGTAAGACCGATTCACATGGTGCCGCCGGGAAATCATTTCTCAAAACAGAACAAAAAGATTGGAAAAAAAAAAGCCCCTGTCCTGCCACTCCCCCCCCCCCTTTTCGCATGTGATGGGTTTTTGTTTGAATTTGCATTTGGTGGAGTGCCAACGGTTAGGATATTTTTACCACACGGGTGCTCAAGCTGGACTCTGCTCTACCTTACCTTGACGCTGAAAAAATGAAAGAAAAAAAAAACTCCCCCTGGCCGGGTGGATTGGAATGAGAATATAGAATTAAACAGATATACAAGTATTTGGCGTACTGCTCGTGGGAGTGCTGTTGGTATGAGAATTGGATTCGCGACTATAATACCGGTATGATATCATATCACACCCGCCCGGGGGGGATGGAGAGGGTTTACTCCATTTTTCCCGCCCATCCATTTTGTCAAACCCCACTTCGTACGTATTGTAAAGATCATATCATACCTAATACCTAATGTCCCAATCTAACGACACTGTGAACCGCCAGCAAGCGACAAAAAAACGTTAAACAAATACAAACATGAGGCGATGATGATAAAGATGCCATATCCAAACGCTCATTCGAAAAGACCCCTCTTTCCCTCCTATAAAACCCTCTTTTTCCCCGCCCCACCATGGTGTAACAGCATCGCTAAATTGACCGATGGGTACGGTAGGTCATAGCCCAAACCTCACCGTCAAGCAGATCATGCCAAAAACTGCCACCCCCTGAATCCACCCCTCGGCCCCATAAACCCACACGTACGCCGCGGCGACAACGCCGTGCAAAACACCGTTGACCGTCAGCCACACCGGCAGCCCCTTGATTGCGAACCACGCCAACCTAGCGTAGGGCGCCCCGGCGAGCGCCTTCCAGAAGCTTACTCCGCCTTCCACCCTGCGGACGGGTATGATCGGGTCCACATGTGGCGCCAGGAGTGACGCGCGGACGCGCGTGAGGGCGAGGTAGGAGGGGATGACGAGGAAGAGGGCGGAGACGGGGGTTAGGATGTATGGGAGGGAAGAGTAGCGCGGCGGGTACGTGAGGAAGGGGAGTTCGAGGGTTGTTAGGGTGAGGAGGCCGTTGAGGGTCACCGAGGGGACGGTTGCCAGCACTGAGGTGCCGGACGTGTTGGCATAGCGGGTTAGCCAGGTTGCTGGTTGGGGGTGGGAGATTTGGATGCTGGGGTTTTGTCAGTTGGTTAGTATTGGTTTATTCGCCCATTTGTTTCTTGTGCCGCATTTACGGGAGAACGAACTGGAGGATCGTCAAGCTCAGCCTTGAGACTGCTATCAAGGATAGTGTCCCGCCGAGAACCCTTCCGGCAACCTCACTTCCAATCCAGGACTGCAGTTTCGGGACGACAAAGTCCCCGACCATTCCGTCGAGGAGGGCAAGCGCCATAGCTCCGATAAACCCTCTCCAAGGTGCAGTCCGGCCGCCGATCCTGCGTAAATGTCTAATAGTCCCCACAATGCTGTCTGTGACAAACACTTTCTCGCTCCGGGGGATCAACGGCTGTATCTCCTCACCCCCTCCCAGTTCCCGATCCCGACGGGATCTTTGACTCCTACACCTCGGTGGAATCGGTGGCACTAGGGGCGAAGAGGGGGAGGGGAGAGAAGAAGTGGGTAATCCAACCACTGGATGCTCAACGACAAGTAACGCGATCAGCAACTCGACCGAGTAATTAAAGCACAGTACGAGCACTCCCGCAAGAACGGATATCGCGACCAGCGCGGCTAGCTGCTCTTCCTGGCCCTCCTCCGTGCGGGAGAAGGTGTACATTAGGGTAGCTTTGATGTGCCGTTCCATCTCTGCTGCTGCTTGCCGTTGTCGTTGCACGGTACCGGTGAGAGTCGAGCGGCGGTGGCAGGAGAAGGATGAAGAAGGGAAGGCGATGAGGTGAGGTGAATGTGTATATGCTAGATGAAGAAAAGTAGTGTAAGTTAACTGCCGGAGGAAGGATGAGATGTGTAGCCGCCGATCCTCCCCCCTGCGCTTTAAGCTATAGTTCACCTAACTTCATCGGGCGGGTGGGGGGCTGGCGGGGGCCAGGTGGCATTGGATGTTTCGGGTGGGTTGTGGCACGCGGGCGAGTAGGTGAGACCGAAGCTGGGCAGTGGACCCGCGCGGAATCCGGGGGGGGGGGGAGGGGTGCAGGGTATGTATCATATCATACTGTATATAGTTTGCGGTTACCTAGGGAATTATCATGGCGACTGGTTCGGGAATGTACGAGTACTCGAGTACTAGTACTAGTACCCGTACCGGTAATCCTGCCTGCACCCGTGTGCCGTAGCTGAGCCTCTGAGTCGGTGGAGGGCGAGTGAGAAATGGGTTGGACGCCGGCTTATTTTCCGGCTGGTGGGCGCTTTGTTAGTGGATTGGTCCGTTATGGAATCGAAGAAAAAGCATGGGAGGTGGAAGGTTCTAAGATCAAGTGTTCTTTTTTTGCGACGCTATGGTGCCGTGGTTTCCGAAGTGAGGATCACCAGGTGGATGCGGCTGATTTGTGATATTATCGGCACATGGATCGGATTGGATTCTCGAGTGAGGGGTTGTGATTGGATGGCTACCCGCATGGTCAAGGTTGGTTCTGTGTAACTGTGAAAGAGGGATCAGGTTATCTGTGGCGCGGTGAGCAAGTGGTATCGCGTCAGTCAGGATAACGAACAAAAGCTAGAGCTGAACTCGCCACGTCCAAATCTATCTGATTGGCGCCCGTCTACATTATGTACTGTATGCCCAGAAGCCGCCATCACCGTAGCTATCAGCCCAAAGCACCGTCTTTCGTCAAAATCCTTAGCACCTAACCTCGATATCGCCAGCTTTCGTTAAATACTTTACTCCTTTGTAAGGCTTTACTCCCTCTCCCAATCCCTTTCCACCAACAACCTTCAAGCTATCAACCTTAACACCACTAGCCAACCACCCCCTCACACTAAATGCCACTAGGGCACATCTCGGCATAGCCATTTCCATTTTCCTCTTTGCGTGTTTCTCTCTCTTTGCCTTCTCTTCTTCGTTACCGCCGTTGACGTTGGCTGTTTTTTTTGTTTGGTCGTCCTGGTATTCTCCATTGTCTACCGGCTCCTCTTCTTCCTCCTCACTATCATCTCCGCCGTAACTCTTGACGACCACGCCAGTTCGGAATGTGGCTGTTCCGGAGAATGCACCAGTTGTCGGTATCTTCCATGTTACTTTTCTGCCCTCATGATGGAACTCTCCTCGTGAGCACCGTGTGCTTGTGAGTGTTTTGACGGTCGGGGGAAGTGGGAAGGTGATGCTCACTTCCTCGACCGCGGGGTTATTGCTCGATCCCCCAAATGCTGGGCTCCGGCTGGATCTGGGACCAAATGGGTTTGCTGAGAGGGTATTAGTTGTAGGGGCTAGAGAAGCAGTGGAAATGAAAACCCGGGCCTCGAACTCGGATGACTGTGGCCCAATCGCGGTCTTGAGCTCTAGGCTAACAGGCAGCTGCGGTTGTGTTGCGCTCTTTGGATTGCTGGAAGGCAGAAGGTCGATCTCATAAGATGCGAGAACAAATTTGCCATCCGGAGGAACGAAAGACAGTTCCCCCGGGCGCTCCCTCCAGCGAGAGAGTCGAACACAGGGGTGGAAGACGGGGAAGCCTAGCCCCCCGGATGGTGGGGCACCAAGTTTTTGTTTGTGACTGCCAGGTGTTTGGAGTGTCATTAGAAGGTCAGGGATGCCGGATAGCTTGCAGTTGAACGCAATGGTACCGTTTGAGCGTGCAGATAGGAAGCGCCCAGAGGGAGCGATAGTTGCTGTGATCAATTCTATTAGATCCACGTAGAGTTCGTTGTTGGTATGACGAACATTGGAACGGCGCCAGGGGATTGTGGACAGAGTTTTAGTTGGTGAGGGAATAAAGGATGAAGGGATGGAGGCACTAGCCACTCAGTTTAGCAGCGGATGGGTAGGTATTGGAGGAATATAGGATAAACCAACCTTGGTAAACCAGTGACACTCCCTAGGAGTTTGCCCATTAGACTAGGCGGTAGTACCACATCCCTCAATGCATTTGGTTCCGTCGTGAATGGAAATCCATCATCGCACATCTCGTTCAGCAGCTGAGCAACTATATCATAGTTGGCCTCTATTTTGCTCCCCAGCAACGGGGATCCAAGGTAGTCTTCCAGGACATCAACCACCCGATGCAAGAACTCGGATACTAGCAGCGGTTCTATCTCGGAAGTTGTGGGCGAAAGAAACAAGAGGTTATTATGTATTATGTTGAAAAGCAGAGTAGGCGGTGAGGTTGTTGGCAGGTATATCAACGAAGGGCGCGGCGGCGGTTGAGCTTTGTAGAGGGAGTAGAGGGAGGCGGCAGTCGTAGCTGGTCGTGATCTCCATTCATGTTGCAGAATCGGTGTTGTAGCGGGAGAAAAGTTGTCGAAGACGTACAAGGCTTCGACGGCATTCATGTCTTTGCAAGGGTGGTAGTCGGTATCAAAGCTAAAGAACGGGTTTGTGGGACAAGTGGGGTTGAAGCGACGTCTGGGTCAACCAACCGTAGGGTGTTCTTGGCAAGATTTATGGTGTTTCTTTTTTCCCATGCGCTCGAGTGCCGGTACCGTACTCGAGGATGATAGCTTCTTGCAGGTAGCAGCCTCAACTCTCACCAGTCGTTTCCAGCATAGAAAGCAAGAGAGAAGGAAAAAGAAAAAAAATCCCATCCAAACATGAGCAAAGAGGAGATAAAATATTTGCCAGACGCCCCCGTCCCTCTGGAAAAGGCCCTCGCAGAGGATATGAAAGAGGACTGCTTGCCATGTAGAGCAATCGGTATCAACGCTTCGCCCTCTCTTTCTTCCCTTCTCTCCTGACTTGACAATCTATCAAGGCTCCACTGCGTTCATTGGCCTCGGCATCTACACGCTTTTCTCCGGTCGTTCTCAGCTCCGAGCACAGGAGGCAGCAATACTGAAATCCGGTACGAGGTGGGGGATTGGAGCACGGAGGTTGGGAATCCATGGGATAGCGGCGACTTTGGTGGGATTGGGGATTTACAGGATGGTCATGTAAGCACCTTTATATACGGTATAATACCGGTCCTTCCCCTGCTGTACCGTACTCGTATTGGAACGATTGCCGGTAGACTCGGATCTCTCTTTCTCTAGTGTGCACGGCTTCAATTTTCCCGGGACCTTTTCTCCAACCGGAGCATAAAGTCAAAGGTATGGTGATACAGACAAGCTACCACAAGCAAGGCCCCACTCGGGACCTCGAGGGTCAGCATTTGCTTTCCTCCAGGACAGCAATATGATATATTAATACTATGATACTGGTGTGGTAGTAATGATATTGTGATAGATACCGGTATCATACGGTATCAGACTGGAGTAGGCTGCTCAAGCCCTCGACGGTAGGGGTTGGGTCACAGGGAAGAAGGGGATCTAATGGGGGAGTTATCAGATGATCGGACCGCCTGTTTGAGATAAGTGGAGGGGCACGACACGATAGCAGATGGTGGGGTAAACTTACACAATGCCGGTACATATGTTTTGTAAGGAGTTCGGTTTCCCATACCCATGATACCGGCACCGGCACAAGTACTGTACGAGTGCAGCACTTTTACGAGGGGTCTGCGATACTCCTGTCATCGGGCACGAGTACGGTGCAAGTATGATCCTGCATGAACGTTCGGTGGTTAGTTACCGTATAGTATGATGGCCGCCAGGTCTGGCCAGCGGGCCACTCCCGAAGCTCGGAGCAACGGGGTGCCCGGAGATGGACCGGAGATGGCCAACATCTTTCCATCTGAACCGCGTAACATGACGCAGGGTCCCGAATACGCAAGCCCATTCCTCATGGAGCCGCAGGGCCGCGCCCCTCACTTTTGGATTGCCATATCATGCCACCACTCTGTACTCGTACTTGTGCCCCCTATCATGTCGTTTATCTTGTCGAGTATATACCAGCACCGTTCCCCGTTCCCCGTTCCCCTTCTCCCCCGCGTCCCCACTGCCTCCACTGCCCCCAAACATTTCCTTCTCCTCCTCGGGTTCGTTGGTGGTGTCTTTGTATCCTCTTCAAGATCAGTATCTACATTCTCTTTTTCACCTTCTCCTAAGCCATGGTACTCTCCGCGAGTTCGTTCAAGCACAACTGGCAAACTTTGAAGGATAATCCGCTGGGCGAGATCGCAGGCTCTCTGGGGGATCTGGGGACCCTTCTACCTCTTATGACAGCTCTCGCTGCTGGGAAATCAATCTCGCTAACCGCTACTTTGATATTTTCGGGACTTTTCAATGTGTACAGTGGTGCCTTTTTTGGCATACCTATTGTGGTATCTGATCCCTTCTGGTGCTTCTGTGTTTCCCCTGAGGTCGTAAGCGGAGGAGATTGGTTCTATAAGGCTGACCCGAGTAGGTGCAACCCATGAAAGCTGTTGCCTCTATCGCCCTCGCTCGACAGCTATCGCTAAAGGAGACTATGGCGGCTGGAATTGGTGTGGGCGCCGTGGTCATGTTGCTTTCGATCGTGGGAATGATTAAGAAGGCGGCCGACCTGATACCTCTCCCAATAGTCAAAGGGATCCAGGTAGGCGCAGGCCTATCACTCTGCCTCAATGCTGGCTCTATGCTTTCGGGCCTTGGCCTCAACGGGTCCAAATGGGACGATAACCTTTTTTGGGCTATCGGCGCCTTTTCAATCCTCTATGGCTTTTCACGGCTGCCCAAGTTCCCGTTTGCTCTTCTGGTATTCCTCCTAGGTGGTATATTTGCCGCGGTCGAGGTTGCTACGAGTGGCGGGAGTTTGCCAGCCCTTGGATTCTGGTGGCCATTCAACCCAACGATACCTACGCCAGCTGAATTTGCAACCGGGTTCGGGACAGCGGGCGTCGGCCAGATTTCATTGACGATATTGAATTCAGTGATTGCTGTGCGGTACCTCAGCGAGGACCTGATGCCCACTAGGCCCGCACCATCGGTTACTGCCCTGGGAATATCCGTTGGGCTCATGAATTTGACAGGATGTTGGTTTGGGGCTATGCCCGTCTGCCATGGTATGCATATACGGATCCATTGACTAGCTATATCTGGTTAACTAACCAACAGGCATCTAGGCTCGGGTGGATTAGCAGCACAGCATAGGTTTGGGGCACGGTCGGGAACTAGTGTGATCATTCTTGGACTGGTGAAAATTGGCGCTGGGTTGGCATTCGGAGAATCGCTTGCTAGCTTGCTCCAGAGATTTCCCAAGTCTCTACTGGGTATCATGGTATGTCGAGAGCGCTGAGGATTGCTAATTGTATTAGGTTTTCTTACTAAGATGGGTCTATATAGGTATTCGCGGCTGGGATAGAGTTGGCTTCAGTTGCGGAGAACCTAAACAGCTCAGCCAAAGACCTGCTATGCCCTAGCTCGGCGGCTCTAAGGATTGAGCAATCTCGGTCTGCCGTTCACGCCCCTTTGAGGGTATTGACAGATCGCGAGAAGAGGGAGCGATTCTTAAACATGATGGTCACTGCTGCTATGATGTTGGCCTCTAAAAATACCTTTGTGGGATTTCTGGCCGGTGTTTTCTTTTGGGCCCTCCTCCGGTTGCAGGATAGGATGGAGACTTTGGCGGAGGCAAGGGCATCGTATGCTCCATTGAATGAAGCATCTGCTCTCTTGGGACGATAGACGGTTTGCAGTGGAGCTCCGCTATGGTAGTTTTTTATAGACTTGAGCGCACTTTAATACTTCTTTGTTAGAGTAGAGTCGGCGCAGTTGTCTAAAAACAAACAACGCGCCATCAGTAGTCTAGAAGTATCAATTCCGATTATTTGAGTTACTGGTTTGAATGCTGAGCAATTATTGTGCCTGTTTACTGGTGCTAGTACGGTATACTCCAGTTCGCAAAGTCCTTGCTGATGGAAAGGTATGATACCGTATCATCCCAGTACGAGTGGGAAGGTCTTGGCAACAGCGGACGTATTGTATCATACCGTACGAGCACTTGGTATCATACCAAGACACCTGATGCCCCATACTACGTACTAACTTTAGTACATTTCCATCAATCTGATTCTGTGTTTTCGTTCTGTGAGATAGCGAGGCGCAACTACACGTACGGTAACAATAAATAAGGCCTGAATATCTACCATTAAATTTTGATGTGACCTCCTCCCTCCTTAATCACATCCTCCAGCCTGCTCGGCGCAATACCGTACTGTACTCGTACTGTACTCGTACAGAACTAGAGATGTGCAGCTATTGCTACCCCGTTGCTGCCAAGACCATGCCCCTCTGCGAATATCATACTCGTAGGGGGTGGGCCCTTTCATCAACGCCGACCTTGCGAACAGGATTGTAAGGGCAGTCCAGGCGCACCCGGGAGGCGTGGCGTCGCCAGGGCAACCGTGCCCGGTTGGGGTAAATACCCACCTCCACCAGAAAAAGCCCGCGTCCATCACCTTCCGAGCCGCAGTTTCTCTTGCCATCTCCCTCTCACTTACAGCCATAATTTTAGCTGCCACTACTTTTTGCTCCGATAATTTCCACTCCTGAAGTGCACACGATTCGACCGCCATGCCTCCCGCAGAAAGGACAAAGAAGCCCAAGACTACCGACAAGTCGGGGGATAAAGACAGGGTGCACAAGCTTTCGTTGAAAGGTGATTCTCTCCTCAGTTAGGGTCAATGTGGATGCAAGGAGCTAACTCGATCTTAGGCTCCTCGAAGTTGGTTACAGAATTTGTGAGTATTGATTGATTGATTGATTGATTGATTGATTGATTGATTGCCAGCCAGAGCAGTCGCTGTGAATTATCCGGTGCGCCTTTTGCTGACTCCCACATAGTTTGAGTACTCTATAAACACAATCCTCTTCCAAAGAGGGGTATACCCAGCAGAGGACTTTACTGCCATCAAGAAATATGGTCTTAACATGCTCGGTAGTTACCTCCCGCCTTCTTCCTCTCTCTCTCTCTCTCTCTTAGTGACCCTCGTCACCTAGTAGGCTAACGGACACCGTGAGAATAGTCTCCGCCGATGACCAAGTAAAATCCTACATCCGCAAGATAATGTCCCAACTGAGCAAGTGGATGCTCGGTGGCAAGATCTCGAAGCTAGTGATAGTAATAACCTCAAAGGATACGGGCGAGAACCTGGAGAGATGGCAATTCGACGTACAGCTCCAAGGTAAAGCCGCGAAAGCCAAGAGCCCTCCTCCCGCCGCCACCGACGGCTCCGGCTCTACCAGCAAGGAAAACTCGGCTCCCGCTGCCGCAGCGCCAGTCCCTGAAAAGACCGAGAAGGAAATCCAGGAGGAGATCCAGAGTCTCTTCAGGCAGATTACTGCATCCGTTACATTCTTACCCATGCTAGATGGGAGATGCACTTTCAACGTGCTTGTCTATGCGGACGGCGACGCTGAGGTCCCCATGGAATGGGGCGATTCGGATGCCCGCGAGATCGCCGGCGGGGAGAAGGTTGCGTTAAGGAGCTGGGGGACCAGTAGTCATAAGGTTGATACTTTGGTTAGTTATAGACTTGCTGACTGACCGACCGACCGATTGGATGATGAGGGTATGGGTGGTGGTTTCTGGTTTCCTGTCATACATTATGCTGTTTGGGTCATTGGTATTGGGGTTATGGTTCTCTTTTTTTCTTCTTCTTTTTCCCTTTTTCCCTCTTAATATTGTCTGATGCGGTTATCTTGAGATGGGTTGGAGTGGGACGGTGTATACCTGGTTCTTGAATTTATATAGATACCAACCTGCTCGACGCAGGTCTAATGCTAGGGATAAGATATATACCGTACCTTTATCGTGCTATCATGGTATGGACTAGTAGATTGATTGGCAAACAGCATAACTCGGATGGACTGCCGTACCATACCGCATCTCATCACAATTGCTCACTCGCACATGAGTCAGTATTGCACTTTCCTACCACTTCCCTCCTCCACCTTGATGCACCAAAGCCCGGGGTGTCCATCCATATACAGGGCATTGGAACAGCTTCCACCATCACCTACCGGTATAACAACAGCACCCCGACCTAACGACTTCCAAAAAGCCTACCGGTAAGCGATGTTCCACAAATCCAGCAGCCGCCCAAATCCCCCCCGGGCCAGATCCCGGGATAAAACCATGAGGTTTCGTGCGTAGGAGTTTCCCCGATCCCGATTTGCTATCGTGATTAACTCACCCTTCCTTCCTTCCTTCCTGCGCGTGACAACAACGGACATCAACGACAACCGTACCCTCGACATCGGTCAACCAACAATACACCACTACAATTTTCCCATCCCAGGCAACGGTACTCCCCCATCCCCGCTTCCTCCTCTTCTGGCGTAAAAGGCCTCCCCCCCTCTTCTGGTCCAAATGCTCCTGCCTTATCCCTTCCTCAGAGTAATAATTTTCCTGTCAAGTCTTCTTCTAGCATACTACTTTTTGCTCTCTTTCGGCATGGACTCTGCGGTGGGGGGCGGGGAGCGGCGGAGGGAGGTGCGGAGGGAGGTGCGGAAGAGCAATGTTGTTGGCTTCTTCGCGCAGGATCTAGAGGGGACGGATCCGGGGGGATTTGATTGGGTTTGTTTTCCTTTCCATTCAATCTTGTGGGGAGGGGCTGACGATGGGTAGATTGAGAGCGGGTTTGGGTTGTTGGATGAGTTTGATGTTCCTGGACTTGAGATGGAGATGGAGGGAGAGGTAGAAGGGGAGGGGAGGAGAAAGTGGGGGAAGTTTCGGGGGACCATCGGCAGGTTGAATGACCAGGCGCCGAGGAATACCGTTTACAAAGTTCTGTATTTGGCCAGGCATGGGCAAGGGGTTCATGTATGTTCTTCCTTTCTCTTTCATTCTTTCCCGATCTCATTGGAGATGGACTGATGTTTTCGGTAGAATGTTGCCGGTATGTTCTCTTTTGTCCCATGGGTAAGTTACGCAACTAATTGACGATGCCGGCGCAGAGGAGTTTTATGGAACTCATCCTTGGAATGTAGGGGTTCTATCTACCGGTAGCTATGTATTTTAGGTTGGGTGAGGGAGGCTAATTATATTGTTAAAGTGTCACTGGTCCTTGCTGGATGGGAATGGTACTTCTGTTTGGGTTGGTTTATCCATAGGGCTGAGCTGCGGGGATGCGGGGCTGATGCTGATAACAGGCTGATGCTGAGCTTACGAATATTGGCATTGCGGAAGCTCAGCGTGCGAATATTGCTTGGAAGGAGCAGATTAAGGCCGATGTCCCATTGCCGGAGAGCTACTATTCTTCTCCATTAAGGTGCCCGAGATCCCCCGCTGGTTACGGACGCGGCTAACCAGGCCAGGCGTGCTGCAAGTACCCTCGAAATAACCTGGAAAGACATCACTCTGAACGAGTACAAGACTCCCAAGCCCATTATCAAGGAGGTTTGTAGCCCAGTGACCGATAATTGCAATTTCGAGCTAAAGAAACATAGAAACTCCGCGAGACAATCGGTATTCATTCGTGCGACCGCCGGAGCCCCAGAACCGAGATCGCTAAGGAGTTTCCCGAATTTGTCTTCGAGGAGGGCTTCGTAGAGAATGACCCGTACTGGACGCTCGAATGGAGGGAGCCTAACGATGTACGAGACATCAGGCTAGGGGAAGCCCTGAACGACATCTTTGCCCACGACCATAGCACTTATATCAGTATTACCGCACATAGTGGGGCTATCACCAGGTAAGGCCCTGCCTGCCTGCCGGCCAATGAATGGAAAAATTTGCTAACCAATTCAATGGCAGTATGCTGCAAACTCTCGGGCATAGGCCGTTTAGACTTCAGACCGGAGGGATGATTCCAGTGGTTGTGAGAGTCGAGTTTGTTCCAGAGCCCGAGCCGACACCGACTAGCGTATCGCCTTCGTACGGCGCACCAAGCTGCACAGTGAACCCGACAGGAACAGTATAGGCCCGGAGGTTGTCAGTGAAAAGCTGCATGAAAATCATACCGTATCAAGGCGGAAGATTTGATTTTTAATACAGTATATGTGGAATATAAAGGCTGTCCACCTGTTACCCGTGTACGGTGTGTATCATATGAAGATTATTTTTAATCAGTGAAGGGTCCCCCCTATTGGAGGCTTTTGAAAAATTGTCTGAAACTGAAGCCGGACCGGACCCCTTTCGGTAGAAAACTGTGGAAAGCGGTAGACGCCCGAGTCCAATCACTCAGCCTCGACTCCACGAGTTATTGGGCTTTACGCCAAGATTTACTTATGTTGGGTGCCGCCACACGTCCGGACGCTGACTCTTAAAGAACGCATCCAACCTCAATCTTTTCTCCCTCGTCCACCTGTTCCTGAACCCTTACTGTATCCTCCTTATACTTTCCATCCCCCAGCTCTCCGTCACTGTGACATTCTCCCCAACACTCTTACCCACATTTTTCCACCCTAGGAAGCCTCAACCCAACCAAAGCTCAACACAAAATGTCTGACGATTGGGATTCCGTTACCAAGATCGGTTCCAAGGCTGGCGGTAACGCTCAGCGTACAACCGTCGCCAGAACCCAGTCCGAGATCAACGCAGCCAGAAGAGCGGGTGCTGTTGTTGCCACCGAAAAGAAGGTATTTGAATGCGAAATGTTACGAAATTTTGACGGTTGGAACCTGAGTGCTAATGTTTCCGTAGTATGCGACCGGGAACAAGACCCAGAGCACCGAGGGTCAGCGCTTAACAAAGGTCGATCGTGAGAACGAGGTTGCTCCGCCACCCAAGATCGATCAGGGCGTTGGAAAGGCTATGTCTAAGGCCCGCCTCGATAAGACTCCCACCATGACACAAAAGGACCTTGCAACCAAGGTTAATGAGAAGCCATCCGTGATCAACGATTACGAATCCGGCCGTGCTGTTCCCAATCAGCAGGTTCTCGCCAAGCTTGAGCGTGCACTTGGCGTCAAGCTGAGAGGGAGGGGTCAGTGTCATCATTTCCATCATCCAAATTTTCTCATTTTTTTAAGACTTTCATATTATCCCCGCGATATGCTGACGATATGCGACAGAAATCGGCTCTCCCCTCGGTCCCAAGAAGAAGTAAAATTCGACGGTTTTTTTTCTGCATGATCAGTTTTTTGTTTTCGCTTAGCGGCACAGGGTCAAGGGGTCGTTGGACGGTTTGAGCTATATAACGTTGAGCTGCAAAAAGTATTTCGACTGGTTGGTTATGACGCATTTGTCACCTTTACCACCGAATGCTTTTCCCCCCTTTTGCTTTACTTTTTGAAGTCTCGATGATGAGAAATGAAGCGATGGGGCAGCGGGGCGTTTTACTTTGTCTTTCTTCAAGTATCTAGATGTCATTACGTCTCCTTGAGTTCATCGATAGAAATACCTTTCTTTTCCTCGTTCCCGGAGGGGCGGAAAATCCAATGATGGAAGGTTGACGGTTGGAACGGTCAGTGAAGCCGTGTGTTGGTCCGGTGTGATTGAATCCTTTCAATGGAAACCAGCCAGGATCGTACCCACTGTGTTATACCGTACCGGTTAGCAACGCTTAGTCGCGCAGTTATCCGATGTCTTGTGCCCAGTGACCATTTTGATCTTGTGTGGGGGGGGGGGACTGTTGGTTGTGACCCCAAGTCACTCTGCGTTGGCTTTCTGTGAACCCCTACTGGTATGATATATCAATACTTGGAACAAAGGCCTGAAAAAAAAAAGGGAGCGTGGGACAAGGTGCAAAAACGGCACGGGACAGAGATCTGCTAAGCACAGAGCTAAGCTGCTTTGTTATAATGCCTAGTGAATTTGGCTGCATTTTTCTAATTAGAGAACAGGTAGAGTGATTTTTGGTGACGCGGGTATATGACGGGAGTGTCACACAAAATTTCTCATCTGTGATACTCTCTGCTTTGTCCCACTGAATAGTATGATACTATGGCCGCATCTGCGGGGTTATCATACCGGTGCCCTCCCGGGTAGGAGTACTCGAGTACTCGTACAGTACCCCCGGTCCTTGGAAACGCTTCGCTAGCCCTCTTCCTCGTTGTTCGGTATCGTCGGACAGGCGGATGAGAGTTTGCGGTTTCCCTGGAGACATATCCGGAGGTAGATATCTTATAGATTCTCGCTGTTCCCTTGTTGTTAGCGGCCATAACCCTTGAGACACCACCGGGAAGGATGCGGCCGTACCAAGCCGGGGCCGGGGGGAAGCCGGATTTCATTTTTTCACTTTCAATTGCTTGGGTTTGATCCTGGCGTACTGTACCTTGCGGCGGGTCATGCTTCGGGTCCCCGAGCCGGTCCCCGGAAGGAAATAAGGCTCGTGTCGTAATCTCATAGCGTAAGAACAAACCCGAATTTGTTAAAAGGCTGTCCACTCGAGCTTGGAGTGTTGGACATGGGGCACTCGTACATTGCGGAGAGGAAGTGGTAGAAAAAGTCATCTTCCTCCACCTCTTTTCTTTCCCTTCTCCCTTCCCTCCCATTCCCCCCCCTTGCCCCCCCAATATCTGATCATCTCTCTCCGTCCACCGATATCTGATTGCCTGCCCGTCGGCAGTTCCCTCCTCCCCGGTCGTTCACCTCGCCCCATTTGTGCATGCGAATCGGCATTCTTCAACCAAAGGATTGAGGAGAGGGGGAAAAAAACAAAAGGAACCCTCCCCCAAGAAGGAAAGAATCAAGTCAAAAAGTCAGTGTTTTATCTGTGGATCCGCTTACTAGTATCTCTCAAAGCACCCATAAGTTACTTGTACAGTACACCCCCTGCTGAAAACTGGAGTTATTTTAGCTATCATACGCACTGCAAGGGAAATTAATTAATTAATTAATTCTTTTTACCACTTTCTCCCCGCCCCTCCCACACACACACTGAGCCGCATTCGCGTGCGACTAACCCCCTTCCCTAAACCGTCATCTTGGCTTCCTCGGTACTTTTCAGGGCCGCCCTCCCCTGCGGCAGTGGTCTGTTGCTGCGACGATCAGCAACACACCTCTGTTCTGGGGGGAGGTTAGGGGCTCTTTTACTCGGCCATCCTTATAACAACGACAAGGTTCCCGCCATCCGACGACCATTCACTAGAAATTTCTCATCCACCAGGTTCAAGATGGTTGCTGAGAGAATCGACGGTACCGCTGTTGCGAGAAAGATTAGGGATAGAATCAATGAGGAGATTAGGAGGAAGCAGGAGACCAATAAGAGGTTTAGACCAGCCTTGACAATTGTGCAAGGTGAGTGACGCTGTTTATTTTTGAGGGAATATTTACTTTCCCCCCCTCTGGAAATTGCCTTATTATTTGTGGTTTGATTGGTGTTTGTTCGTTTGTCGAACAAGAGCTCATTTGGAGTACAATTGCTAACATTACTTTTGATGTTCAGTTGGTGGTAGATCTGACTCATGTATGTGTTATGTGTCACCGCTTTCCCCTTGCGAGTTTGCAACGGCAAGAGATGTTATCATCCGCTTTTAATTGAGTACTGAATTCAGCCCGCTATCACAGCTACATATGTGCGCATGAAACTGAAGGCCGCTGAAGAGGTTTTTCTCACAATTCTTAACAACATGCAATCGATCCTGCTAACACATTTTTCAGGCAAACATCACATGCGAGATTGTCAAACTTCCCGAAGGGATCACTGAAGCTGAAGTACAAAGGTCCAAACCTTGGTTCAATTGGCTAGAGCTAATGACTGGGGCTATATAGCTGTTGGCCAGAATCGAGGATCTGAATGACGACCCTTCAGTCCACGGCATCCTGGTTCAATTGCCGGTTCCAAAGCATATTTCGGAGGCAGCGGTCACGGCTGCTGTTGATCCCTCGAAGGATGTCGACGGTTTCGGTGCTGTCAACGTCGGTGATCTTGCAAAGCGCTGCGAAACCCCAATGTTCACCCCCTGTACGCCCAAGGGTGTCATGGTTCTTCTGGAAGAGTATGGAGTGGATCTGTCCGGAAAGCACGCCGTGGTTCTCGGGAGAAGTGACATCGTTGGCTCTCCAGTGTCATACCTCCTGAAGAACTCGGACGCCACAGTCACGGTATGCCACTCGAGTACAAGGAACCTGCAGAATTTCATCAAGCAGGCAGACATTTTGGTGTCCGCAATCGGAAAGGCACAGTTCGTGAAGGGCGAGTGGATGAAACCCGGCGTTGTGGTCATTGACGTCGGTATCAACTACATTAAAGATGAAACACGCAAGTCTGGTGAACGTCTTGTGGGAGATGTCGACTATGAGTCTGCCAGGGAGGTCGCTTCCTTGATCACACCCGTTCCTGGCGGGGTCGGTCCCATGACTGTTGCGATGTTGTTGGAAAATGTTGTTTCCTCTGCAAACCGGTTTCATGACCAGATGGCGCATAGGCAAGTCACGCCTTTGCCGTTGAAGCTTGAGAGGCCTGTTCCCAGCGATATTGCTATATCGAGGGCACAAACCCCCAAGAATGTCAAGGTAATTGCCCGCGAGCTTGGTATTCCCGAGAGGGAATTGGAGCTTTATGGGGCCTATAAGGCGAAGGTCAACTTGGACCTTCTGCAGCGATTAAGTCACAGGAGAGATGGAAAGTACGTCCTTGTTGCCGGCATCACTCCCACTCCTTTGGGAGAGGGTAAATCTGTTAGTCTTCTCCCCGTTGCGTTCCGACCCCTTCCATGCTGACTCCGCTCAGACCACTACTATGGGATTGACCCAGGCTCTCGGCGCTCACTTGGGTAAGATCGCGTTCGCCAATGTCAGACAGCCCAGTCAAGGCCCTACCTTTGGAATCAAAGGTGGTGCTGCAGGCGGGGGTTATAGTCAGGTCATCCCTATGGATGAATTCAATATGCACTTGACTGGTGATATCCATGCTATCACTGCTGCGAACAATCTCCTCGGTACTATATGTGCTTCCCTCTGATGTAGAACGCTGTTAACGCTTCTATAGCTGCTGCCATCGAGACTAGAATGTTCCACGAGAACACTCAGAAAGATAAGGCGCTTTACAACCGATTGGTCCCGACGAAGAATGGCGTACGAGTGTTTTCTCCGGTCATGTTCCGCCGCCTCAAGAAGCTCGGGATCGACAAGACCAACCCGGATGATCTGACTGACGAGGAGATTGCCAAGTTCGCAAGACTAGATATCGACCCCGATACCATTACCTGGCGCCGAGTCTTGGATGTCAACGATCGCCATTTGAGACAAATTACTATAGGACAGGCACCCTCGGAGAAGGGCCACACCCGTGTCACTGGATTTGATATTTCTGTTGCCAGTGAATGTATGGCTGTGTTGGCTCTATCCAATGATTTGGCTGATATGCGTGAACGGTAAGATTCGAGATGTGTTATTTTGAGTATGATGGCTGACTGTGCTTTAGCCTTGGCCGTATGGTTATCGGTTCGAGCAGGCGTGGGGACCCGGTCACCTGTGACGATATCGGTGCCGGCGGCGCTCTCACAGCACTGATGAAAGATGCTATCAAGCCCAACCTTATGCAGACTCTGGAGGGAACTCCGGTCTTCGTGCATGCTGGTCCTTTTGCCAACATTAGTATTGGCGCTTCATCTGTCATTGCCGATAAACTTGCTCTTAAACTCGCAGGTACCGAAGGAGACGAGGTCCACGAGGAAAGGGTTGGCTACGTTGTCACCGAGGCCGGTTTCGACTTTACTATGGGCGGTGAGAGGTTCTTCAACATTAAGTGCAGATCCAGTGGACTTTGCCCCGACGTCGTAGTCATTGTTGCGACTGTTAGGGCTTTGAAGGTTCATGGTGGCGGTCCAGATGTTACCGCAGGAGCTGCGCTCCCAGAGGCTTACCGCACCGAGAATGTCGAATTGCTGAGAGCTGGCTGTATCAACTTGGCAAAGCACATTCAGAACGCTAAATATTATGGCGTCCCCGTGGTTGTTGCTATCAACAAGTTTGTCACCGATACCGAAGCTGAGATCAACTGCGTTCGTGAGGAAGCAATTAAGGCCGGTGCTGAGGATGCCGTCGAGGCCTCTCACTGGTCTGATGGTGGATTGGGTGCTGTTGAACTGGCTAAGGCTGTCATCGCGTCGTCTCAGAAGCCTAAGAACTTTAGACTTCTCTACGAAGCCGACCTCTCCATTGTTGAGAAGATGGAGGCAATTGCTAAGAAGATGTACGGAGCCGCTGGGATTGAACTTAGCAAGCTTGCCAGGAGCCAGGTTGAGACTTATACCAGACAGGTGGGCGTCCGTGGGTTTCGACACCGGGCATACACTGACTTTATACTAGGGTTTCGGGCACTTGCCAGTCTGCATTGCTAAAACCCAGTACTCTCTATCCCACGACCAGAGCCTGAAGGGGGCCCCTACAGGCTTCACTGTGCCAATCCGGGATGTTCGCTTGTCCCCTGGAGCCGGATATCTCTACGCTAAGGCTGCAGACATTCAGACTATTCCTGGTCTTCCGACTGCTCCCGGATACCTCAACGTTGATGTCAACATGGAGACTGGGGAAATCCAAGGTCTCTTCTAACTTTCCCCTTTCAGTTTTCCTTCTTTGTTTCTATTTTGCGCAGATTTCTAGGGTTGCGGAGTAATGCCGCAGTAAATAGATAAACTATTCGAGGGAGTGTACAGCTTCAACAATTGGCGTATTAGAGGGGTACAAAATGGGAAATTTTATTCAATGGTACACAAAAAAAAGCGAACGAAACTGGAAATCTCTATTCGGAACCTATACCATACTTGTGATGTGATGTGATATCTGTGGTATTCTGCGTATATCGTGCGAGCGCAATGAAAGAGATGTCGGGGAAGCTAGAAAGCCAAGAATCCCGGAATTAGGGAATGGCATAACGTAACTGAGGGACTCCCTTCACCCGCGATAGGCAGCCCAAAAACTCTTTTTCCCTCGCCCTAAACCAAAATATTAACTTGGGTTAGGGAAAGAAGTGGGAGTTAACCCTCAATACGGTATAATAGTAAGAGCCCACCGGTGAGGCTTGTCGGAAAAACTCAGCACTAGACCTCGTCTTACCACCCCCTTCCCCCACCACCAACCATCGGGCATTATGGAAAAAAGTCGACCAGTCCATTCGCCGCAAGGAGGGATTTGGACCCTGCTTTATTGGCATGATATCATACCATTCTCCCCTCTCCCCTTCATTCCACCCCTCCCACCATGAAAAAGGGCCCAATTCCTTCACCACTCCGTCACTTTCTCAATACGGTACGCATTTTCTAGCGCGCATCACAGGAGCATACCGCGCACCCCGCCCCTTCCTCCCATTGCAGAAGGGGAGAAGAGAGATACCGGTATTTCCTTTCCTCAGGGTCTCCTTTCGCCCATTGGTCCGCCCCCGCATTTTCCTTTCCATTCATTGCCGACTTTTATTTATTTATTTCTTCTTTCACGCTTCCCCCCACTTTCCCCCCTCCCCCCGGATATTAGAATGCCTCCCGTTGCAACTACTAGCCGTGGGTTGTTGTTGCTTCGTTCCCGAGCGATTGCTTCTTCAACTGCTGCCACCACTGCTACCCGGCATCCGTTGCTACAGTGTACTGCCAGAGTTGGGACGAAGAAGAGCAAAACCGGTCCTGGTATAAGGTTTGAAAGCTCGCGCACGTTTAGTGTCAGTATGGAAAGGCAGGATTGTATGTTCCACCCCCCTACTTGAGGATATTGGAAGGTTTGGTGGGCTTGCTGTTTATTGAGCGGGAAATAGTCCAGAAGATCAAGGTCAAGAATCCGATTGTGGAATTGGACGGGGATGAGATGACGAGGGTGATTTGGGATTGGATCAAGACCAAGGTGAGTTTTTGAAATCGATTGTGCTGGGTGGAAGTTTGGAGTGGTAGTGGCTGACTTTGGGAGCAGTTTATTCATCCGTATGGGAATTCCTTTGGGTGTTTGGTGGGGGAGGGGCTGTGCGCTGATGGTAATAATCTAGCTATCTTGATATCGACCTCAAGTACTACGACCTAGTACGTGTTGTCCCACATTCTGGGGATTATCTAGGGGTTAGCTGATGGTGGGTTCCGTGACTGCGTAGGGAATTCTGTACCGGGATAAAACAGAAGACAAAGTCACAGTCGAAGCAGCAGAGGCGATCTTGAAGTACTCTGTGGGTGTCAAGTGCGCAACGATCACTCCAGATGAGGCGCGTGTCAAGGAATTCAGTCTCAAGAAGGTGAGGTGACTTCTCTCCGGGGTTTACAACAGTTATTAACGATTCCCAGATGTGGCTGAGTCCCAACGGAAGTTCGTACACCAACAACCTTCCGAGGCCTGCCGGATTACTGACAGTGCTCATTAGCAATCCGTAATATCCTCGGCGGAACCGTCTTCAGAGAACCGATTGTGATCCCTAGAATCCCCCGCTTGGTGGCCGGCTGGAAAGAGCCTATCATCATTGGCCGTCACGCCCATGGCGATCAGTACAAAGCCCGGGACTTTGTCGCTCCTGGCCCAGGCAAATTGGAGCTGGTCTACACTCCCGAGAACGGCGAGCCGGAGCGCATCAAGGTCTTCGACTACAAGGCCGGTGGTGTCGCACTGGCAATGTACAACACCGACGACTCAATCAGTGGATTCGCTCACGCCAGTTTTAAGCTCGCACTTCAGAAGAAGTTGCCGTTGTACCTGAGCACCAAGAACACAATCCTCAAGAAGTATGATGGGAGGTTCAAGGATATTTTCCAGGAGATCTACGAGTCGACCTATAAAGCTGAGTTTGAAGCCAAGGGAATTTGGTACGAGCATAGGCTGATTGGTGGGTAACCCTTCAAACCCGTTGAGACTGGGGGGGAGGGTGCTAATTTTATTGTGGGTGATAGACGATATGGTTGCCCAAATGGTCAAATCTAAGGCGGGTGGTCTTTGGTGATCCTACAGCGCTAGAGGAAAGATGTGCTGATTAGAATTATAGGGCGGCTTCATCATGGCTCTGAAGAATTACGACGGAGATGTCCAGTCCGATATTGTTGCGCAAGGTTTCGGGTCACTAGGACTGATGACCTCCGTCTTGATCACCCCCGACGGTAAAACTTTCGAGTCCGAAGCAGGTAATAACCCCCCGTCCCCAACACACACACACACATGTTCACCCACTTACACCGCACCGACCGCAATAGCCCACGGAACCGTAACGAGGCACTACCGCGAGTATCAAAAAGGTAAAGAAACCTCCACCAACCCGATCGCTAGCATCTTTGCTTGGACCCGCGGTCTGATCCAGCGCGGTACGCTGGATAACACCCCGGATGTGGTCGCCTTCGCCGAGTCCCTGGAGTCCGCCATCACGGACACTGTCCAGGTCGACGGCATTATGACCAAGGACCTCGCACTCGCGTGCGGAAAGGAGGATAGGGACTCCTGGGTCACAACAAGTGAATTCCTAGAGGGCATAGAGAAGAGGTTTAAAGCCTCGCTCAAGGCCAAGTCCCTTCTATAGAGCTGGCGTAAAGCTGCATTAGAGCGGAAGGGTGTGGAAGGGTGTTGGGTATCTGTGCTGTACTTTACTGTAGATTTGCGGGAAATAAATGCGTTATTGATACCATGTATCACCCCTTCAGTAAGAGTGATATATATATTATGGAAGGTGAAAGCATGGTGGGAATGAAAAATTGTGACCACGGTTCTCAGGATTCAGGTGCTCGGATGTGACTGAGCGAGGGAGCCCAATGGACATATCCGGAAAGTGTAGGGCCTTTCTAGGGATTAGGGGAATTTGTAGTGCTAAAGGGTGCTAAGGTGACGGAGTCATGGGATGGAGGTGCGGGTACCGGTATGATTGTACCCAAATCGCGGCATAATCGGGCAGGAAGGGCGGTATATGCGTTTCATGGCTGAATAAATTAGACTACCGGTAGGCAGGCACTGGGCTTGTCAGCAATTCGCAGCAAGAAAACGCAATAGAGAGACTTGCAGTCGTTTATGATACAATTACCACCCGAAATAAAGAGTGATGAAAAACGTATAGATGTAAAAAGGATGATAATTTATAATATCTTATGCCCTGGTTCTGGTTCACCTGTTTGTGAGTGAATCTCGTATAATAGTAAGCGGTTGTCGTCGCTGCTGCCCAATCAAGTGAGGTCCCGCCAACCCGGACGAGACCAGATGGGGACAGCTAGACTATCCTGAATTGAACTCACCTCACCACAACCTAACGTTCATCCATCGGAGGAACAAACAACGAACCAACCCAACCTACCTACCTACCTACTCTACCTACTCTACCTACTGTACCCGTCCTTCACCACCACCACCAAACAACACCACAATCCCCAGCCCACATAAATGGCACCAAACCTCTCCCTATTCTCGGTACTCCCTCCCATCCCTGCCACCCCCCCACCGCTAACCTCCCGCCTAGGTAAACGCGATCTTAATCCTCTCCCCAGATGGCACCCGAGTCCTAGCAAAATATTACCACCCGCCCCATAGCTCAACCACTGCCAATAACCCGACGAGCAACCCCTACCCAACAGCGAAGGAGCAAAAGACCTTCGAGAAGGGCCTCGTGGAGAAGACGGCGAAATCCAACTCGGACATAATCCTCTACGATAACCGCATCGTGGTGTTCAAGGCGGAGTCGGATGTGATGCTATACGTCGTTGGCGGCGTGGAGGAGAATGAGATGTTGCTGTGGCACACGCTGCTGGCGTTGAGGGATAGTTTGAATATCCTACTCAAGTGAGTCCCGATGTCCTCCTCCCGCTCTGCTGCAAGCCGGGGGTTGGGGATAGGGTTTGAATCGGATGGCTGATGAGGGGATGGATAGGAATGCCACGGATAAGCGCACGCTACTCGAGAATTACGACATCGTCTCGCTGGCTATCGATGAGATTGTAGATGATGGGATCATCCTCGAGACGGATCCTGCGACGATTGCTGGCCGCGTATCGAAACCGCCGATGCAGGAGGTTGGAGGGGTTAAGGGATTGGATCTGAGCGAGCAGGGACTGTTGAACGCTTGGGAGTTTGGGAAGAAGCAGTTGGCGGAGAGGCTGAGGCAGGGTCTTTGAGGTGGATGTCATCGCCTGGGAGGATTATAGAAGAGGGAGGAGGCAAGTTCCTGTGGGTTTGTTTTTTCTGAAATACAGAAAAATAAGTTATGACAATATAAATATTCTGGTTTAGATGCTACTTTTACTATTATTATTATTATTATTATTGACCGAACCACGTTAACAAGGTGTGTTGCTATGGTAATGATAGCGGTAAAGATGAGATATACACCATCAGCTCACTACGATGAGACAACCCTCCTCCTCCTACCGGCACAATACTGTACAGTATGATGTACGATGTAAACAAAAAAAGGGTACATTCAACCTACAGTACAGTATAGTACCAGTACACTATGAACAGAAAAAACAAAAACAGAGCATAGCCTCCCCTCCTTCTTTCATTCCTCCAACCAACCAACCAAAACCCAAAGCCAGATATAATACCAGCAACCCAGTTACTCGAGTACAGTACAGCACAGCACAACTATAAATAACAACCCAATCCAAGCAGGAACAAAAGAGATAAAAAAAGTATAAAAAAAAATACCCTTCCCACTCACATAATACAGTGGTAGACAAAAACAAAAAAAGGCAACCAATCATCCCCACCCCCGTCCGGCTGCCCAATACCGACCCGAACCCGATCCATGGCCCATCCTCACCATGTCACGCATGACCCGGGACACAAATACTCGAGTACAGGAAGGAATATTCCAACCATAACGCTTCAATGGACGGAAGCAAGAAAAGGCTCGTGATAGGATAGAGAGGGCGGGGAGTCTGATATAGTGGAAACATGGCAAATGGAAAAATGGACAAGTATAGGTTGAGGGGATTCTTCCCACCGAACAAACAAAAATGAAAGTCACATTAACTTGTATAATGAAACAAACGGGACTTGGACTTGACAACAAAAAAAAAAAAGACTTCAGATTCAGATTCAATCAATCATCCTTCCCTCCTACACACCAGCCCGTAAACAAAAAATGAGGGAAAATTCCCTACCAAAACTATTATCCGGCACAATCCAATAGTAGTAAACACTGTCTATGGGAGAGAGAAAAAGATAAAAGAAACATCTCTCCCTCTAGGTTTGTGTCAGAAGGTATGCTACCGGTGCAACTCACCTCCCTATTGTTTCTCCTTCTTCCCCTTCTCCCGGGTGCCTTATTGTCTCAAAATACACAAGAAGATAATAGAATTTCAAATAGTATAGGGAAAGAAACGAAAAGTGAGACGAAGAAAAAAAAAAATACTCCAGACTTTGGCACAGGAAAGGGAAGAGGTAGAAAAAAAAGCAAAACACCGCGCAGTCGTTTATTACACAGGCGGTACGCCCCGTTTGACCGCTGTATACAAAGATCCCCCGCATATACACTTCAATTACCACGACCGTCATAACCAGCCCCTGTATGCCAGTTCATTGATCCACCAGTGTTGGATCGTTGTACGGGTTGGCTGTAATCATATCCTCCCGGCGACCGCGCCGGTGATGACGGCGATGGTGCACCACTACGGCTTGGCGATCGAGGGGCACCCGAAGTCGTCAGTAAAGGCAACTGGTTCGAGCGTTGGGCCATTTGACTGTTATATGGTCCCCTAGAGTTATCATGGCCCGTGGCAGGGAACAAAGGTACCGCTGGATTCAATGGTGAATGTGGTGCATCCATGGTGCGATGGCTTGGTGCATGAGAGCCGGCTGTCGATGGCGGCAGAGGAACCTGAGAAGCTTCTTTGCTCATGGAATGAGTGGTGTATGAATCATCATCCTCCAAATCCCTAGTCTTGTATCCTTTAACATCACCGCGAGCAGTGACACCAAGGGCATCCAACTCAGTTGACGTGGCCATCTGGGAGTTGGACTTGATGAATGATGCTCTATCGTCGCGCATGGGCTGGTAACGAACGTCCGGGTTTTTCGAGATCAAGGCATAGACAGATGAGATAAGCACCAATACCAACAAAACAAGGGCGAAGGCAGCATTAAGAATGAAAAAGATAACACCCATAACGCCAACCACGATTCCCTGGGTGAAATGTCAGTCCATCCGTGAATGGGGCATAAAAAAATAGGAAGTTACTCACTGGACCCCCAAAAACATCGGTGAAAACAAGGAGAAAGACGGTATTCAGGAAGTTTATCGCACAGATAGAAATGTTGAAGATGTTTGTTCGCTTGTCCATCCATGGCTTCATAATGCTCACAGCAATCAAGTAGCCAACTTCAACCAAGAGCAAGGCGATAGCCTGGACAAGTCCCTTATTCTGGGCAAATGCGATAAACATTGCCTTGACAAGCGTGTACAGCAAAACGGGAACGACATAATAATAGGCGGTCGCACGGAACTGGACATAAAGGAAGCCCCATCTGTTTAAAGCTGCCGGGTCGGAGTAAAGGATGTAGGCCGGATTCTTGTGAAGGGTAACCGAGCGTTGAGCGATACGAATAACCTTGAAAGATGCCCAGGCGAGAATACCAGTCATTGAGAAAAAGAAGAAGATGGCCAAAGTAATAGCACCACCAGAATCCCTAACAGTAAGCTCCCAAAGACAAAGAATAGCCATTTGAGGGTAGCCGATCAAGACCTACAGCAAAGTTAGAAAGCAAGCCAAATGGCGTATACAACGATACATACCAAGCGATACATGATTCCTTTAAGAACCGTCATCCATCCGTTCCTGAAATCCTGGAATTTGGTTCCCTTGATCCACTGCATTTTAGACGCAAACTCGCACAATGCCTTGAAAGCACAAACACCGAGAGCAACAAAGAACAAGAAAGCCACGAAAAACGCCAAACCAGTCATGAAGAAGTTGGTAGCCTCAATTTTGGCTTTGAAGGAAACTCGCTTAATTCCCCAAACTTTAAGGGTCTCGGTATTCTCGTTTAGTCCGTTATCATTGTTAGATCTCGGTTCCAGCCCACCGGCTAGGTCCCGGGGAGCAAGCGGCGAAGCATAAGTCTCGAATCCATAAGCCGCTGCCCTGCTAATCAAAGAGCTGGTCTGCTCAGGCAAACCCCTCTTCATGATCTGGACGGAAACCTCCGAGAGAGATCCAAAGATATTTGAAGGCTTGCCTCCAGTGGCTTGAATATACCAATGGAAGATCTCTTGCATAAAACCGACCCTAATTATACCCATACTCCAGTCGAAATTCTGGGTCCACGCAGCGACAATCGGAGGAAGAGTTACCCCAGTCATCCCAATCATTGCCTGAGCCTGGAAATACCCGAAGAGGGACAACGCATTCGCAGCGACATGAGCAGCAGTGTTGGAGTGACCAAGTCCAGAGGTGACGGCAGAAGCGATGAGGCCCATGCCGGCGATGATAGCCGTAGCCCATCCCACGCCCTTAGTGTCGACAGTTTTTCCATTGCTGAGGGGAGCTTCAACGCAAGCGATCATCTGCTTTGTATCCGTCTTGTTGACCATGATCCTCGCCTTTCCATCTATATCTGGGACCTGATAGGCGATAGCTAATAAATAATACTATAACGTTAGCAAGCACCTCTTGTAGAACACCAGCGCCAACGGATCATAGAAGCTCCATACCAGGAATTTGGGAGGCAACTTGAGGTTCGATGGGCGTATGAGACTCGAGCTGAATCAGCCCCTGCTGCATAGGACACATTCCCTGGAAACCCTCTCCCATATCGCAAGGATTCAAGTCTCTTGTCAAAGCATTGTATCCATAAGCAATAACAACCAACGTCGCCGTGACATTACCATCGATAGACGAAACACCGTTAATGCTGATATGGAGCGTGTTGGTATCGGGAGTGAAGGAAACATTGAAAAGCGAGGCCGTAAATTTAGACTGTTCCATACAAGGGTTGAGAGACGTCGATTGGATTAGGCGGGCGGCGGAGGCATTATGAAGGAGGGCCGAGAGAAGCAGTAGGAGCGAGAGAACGGAGTTAGACGATCGGGATAATAACGAACGACTCATGGCGGGCGAGTTAACGAATGTGGTGAACGTGAAAAAGCTTGGTCGGGAGGGGAGAATCCCCCGGAAGTTAAATAGAACTCAGCCCTGATGGGATACGGTTTGTTAGAATTGGAACAATGAACCCAGCAATCGTGAAGGCGTATGCGAAGCGACCCCGGGAGCAAACGGGTATGAAATACGGATGGCTGAGGGGGTGAAGCGGAGAGGTACAATAGCAGGTGCAGGTAGGTAGCGAGTAAGAAAAAAAGGAAGGGCAAAGGGTCGAAAAAAAAAGAAAACACCCAAGAGAAGCACAAGACGAAAAAGGGAGGTTGGAGGGCGGAAGTGAATACAGTGAGTGAAGAAAGCGATCGTGTGAATAAAAAGCGAGTGGTGAGAAAGAAGGGCAGCCCGTTCGTGGAAACCGATACACACAGCCGAGCAAGCAAGCTGTCTCCAGGCTATCTAAAGTTGGTAATGGGAGGAAAGAAGGGTGAAAAGGGAGAGAGAGCGAAGGGGGGGGGGAGGCGACATGAGAAAGAAAGGGAGCGAACAAGAAGGGGTGTGTGTGAGGGGAGGGGAAGGGATTGAACGTAGAGAGGCCACTTGAGGGAGGGGGGGGGGTAACAGACGATTGCTATTTGCTTGCCGTTGCCCCCAAATGAATTTAACGCCCTTCTAGATGTACAAGGTACTTGTGCAAGGCAGCTGCTTCGTTAATCCTCAGTTACCAATGTAGAGTACTTCCGTGGGGTAAGGCACAGCGTGAAAGAGTGTTTACTGCAAGAGAAGGGAAGGGGAAAGGGAGGAGAATGGGGTGAAGACAATATGCGCGAGTCTCCAAAGTAGCCGACAATATCATAAGAACAATAACACTACAACAGTAAGGGAGAGGTTTGAAGAGGGAAGCAGAAAACAGACACGCCTTACCGTGCCGAGAATGGAAACGAAGGTGGACGGGGGGAGAACTTGGAATTGGGGGTGAAAGTGAAAGTGGAAAGGGGGGATTGACCTACCCTTCACACACACACACCAAGCGACCTGGGGATGGTGGTTGGGACAAATGCGTCGCAAGCTGGAACTTCCTACCTATTCCCAAAGGAGAAGTGTCAGAAAAAAGGGAAGGGCGGCAAGGGTGCCGCGGACCAGAGGGCTGTGCACAAAGCAATTTGTATCGTTACGGTACAAAAGCGAAATCCCTCCACGCCAAGTGAGGATTACCGTTGCCGGTATTGATGGACGGGATGAAGCGTTATTATCGTTGTCGACACCGAATCAGGGTTTTGGTATACAGAATACCGGTGCTGTCGCATCCGTGAATGTCGTTCCGATAATAATAGAGGCACTCTCGTTTCGCCTGCGATACCGTCAAATTTTGCTCTCCTTCTCTTGAGCGAATACCGGTACCAGTGCAAAACAAAAAACAACAGAAGGAAAAAGAAAGAAGAGAGGGAAAAAAAAGAAAGAAAAAAAAACAATAGGTTGCTGCCAGGAGTGAAATGGATAACAAGTACGAGTACAGTACCGTATGATACCGGTTCCGCACGTTGCAATGTACTTCCCTGTTCTCACAGGCCTGCCGTACGGGAACAAAGAGTTTGGATGATGGGAGGAGGGAAGAGAGATGGACAAAATGCACAGTCCATCGTACCGCACTCCATACAATCTCGTCATAATAAAATGGACAGAAACATCGTGCAGAGATGGATGAAGAGGGCGAACCGTAACAGATAACGGATGTCTCCCGTTTATGAAAGATGATTGCCGATTACTACCGGTATTGGTGATGATGGTGATGCGAGTGGGTTTGACGGGGATGCTGAGTGCGGGATTGACAGAAAAGCGGCGGCGGATGTGACGGGCTCGCGAAGTACCGGTGCTTAGGCGAGCACAGCAGCGATGTACGAGTACCGTACTGTGGTACGGGTGTCACGTCGTGACTGGGGATGGTTCGTGTGTTCAGAGGAACGAGAGGAAAGGGACCAGATACGGTAGTCTACCGGTAAATGATAGACTGTGGTGTGATACAAGCACTTGGCCGAGTAACGAAAGAGTCTTCTTGGTCTTCTTTCCCACCACTTTCTCGCCGAACGGGAACAACCACGTTGGAAGGAAGACTGCGCATGATCATCTCGACGTCAGAAGGAACCTTCTCTGCGTCCAAAAAAGAAAGCTCTTTTTTCTTATGCCGCAATACCGTACCGGTACGAGTACTCGAGTACCCGAGCACTCGTCGAGCCTGGCCCAGAGTACTCGTACGGTTCTCGTACCCGGCCAGCCTATCATAAAGGCACACACACCTTCTCAGCCAGCTTCAAAACAAATGGCTGATGGTGACAAAGCGACACTCTCACCAGCCTCCAAATCGTTATCGACTGGGTCAACTGGTCTCCAGCCTCAGTTGACCCTCACTTGCCCGAACCAGAGATTCCCGCCACACCATAAGAATCGATCGCGATGAGCTAAAAATGAAACTGATCTGTCACAACTCTTGCTCCCCACTCCCCAGGTACACGCACATTAACTGTAACACAGCGGGCCAGGAATATTGCCTCTACCGTGCTCGAGTACACGCAGAGCACCGGCAGCCTGCATGTAACTTAGGGATGCTAGTAAGCTTCCATCCTCCCAAATAAAGCATTTTATCCTGGTTACGAGTACGGCACTGTAAGCCAAGCTGAATATGATACCGTGCTTGATACTCGGGCACTGTGCGAGTGCTGCTACTACCGGTAGTAGAGGATCGTAGGAACTCCCCAAAAGGGATGGTTTTGCTGATACCTAGCCAGGGCGAGCGGGACTACTTGTACCGTATTCGTACGGTACGGTGCAAATCGTACCAAAAGCTGATGGGCAATGGAGCAGAATCAACGCCAAGCCGCACCAAAATTGTTATTATCGTATCATACCTGTCCCAGTCCTGAGCCAGTCAACCAGGTACTCGAGTATGATACCGTATCATATGTACCATGCCAACCACTCTTACCTGGTACCCCGTGCTGCGAACACCTGGGGACTTGTCGCATGCTAACCCAAAACCTTTAATCCTCGCTTCTTGCAAAAAAACAAAACCGCTCCTGCATAGGGCCTGATCTACCGTACCTATTTCATAGCGGTTTGGTATTTGTAAATTTCAGAGTCCTGGGCACATCTGGATTTGGGTTTAAGAGGACAGGCATTCAGGGATTCGGACTGTTTCCAGATTTAACCCCTGTGTCCTTAGGGCTAGGGTTTCTTATTTTCGCCAAGACTCCTCACACAGCGTTTCAAAAAGAAAGAAGAAAAAAAGAAAAGGTTGGTCCATCTGTCGTGAGGAAAATCTCCCCTCCCTCTCTTCATCCTCCGGACCCTTCCATCCTCACCCTGCCTCTGCTCAATCGCATTTTACTCAATGGGCGGGTCGGTTAACTTAACAAAGAAGAGGAAACGGGTGGAGGAAGAGCGGGGGGAGAAGTTGTCAAAAGCAGGCCCCGCAATTGGCTCTTCAAACTCCTCTGAGGTGAAAAAGGTCAAGAATTCATCGAAACCCCGATCGAAACCACCAACGAGATCAGCAAGAGCGCAGCCTCATTCCAAGCAACAGACAAAGGGTCAAGGCGAATTGGGCTCTGATATTGGTGAAGATGGGGATGTTGGAGGCTCTGGGGATGAGGATGATACCTCTGCTCAAGACTCTAAGGTCTTCACGGATTTGAAACTGTCAACTGAAATACTCAATTCGATATCTTCTATGGGTTTGACAGAACTGACCGGCATCCAACGTAAAACTATACCTTTGCTGTTGGCTGGAAAAGATGTGAGTTTGAAATTTTCCCCACCCGCCAATTTTTTGGTCAACTCTCCCTCAACCGGCACCGCTTATGCATTTGGTAGGTCATAGCGTTATCCAAGCCTGGTAGTGGGAAAACTCTCGCCGTGCTTGCATCAATTATCTCCCTGGTTACATCCCGCAATGTGAAGCCACGTAATGGCACTGTCGCTATCGTCCTGACCCCGACCCGTGAATCCGCTCTTCGACTGCTGGGCGTCGCATCAGAACTCCTCTCCAATGCACCTCAAACTCTTGGTATAGTAACCGACGGATCAAACATTCGTCCCGAGATCGAGAGGCTGGCGAACGGGGTGAATATCTTGATAGCCACTCCTCGCCGACTCTTGGAGCATCTCAACACTACTCCTGCTTTCGTGATCCGAAATCTCAAGAATCTTGTCGTTGACGATGCGGAACGTATTGCGGCTCTGGCAGGGGTACAAGATATCTTGGCCAATATTGGCAGGGTTCTTCCCAAGAAGAGGAAGACAGCATTGTTCTCTGCTGACACCATCGATGAAACCGTTGTTGAAACCTTGCATTTCAGGTCCCCGCACCGGGTGCAAGCTGATGATCAAGCCGAGCAACAGCCTGAACCCGCTGAGGGTCAGGTGCAGGGGTATGTTCTGATAAAGCCAGAGAAGCGCTTCCTGCTTCTTCACTCTTTCCTGAAGAAGTTTTCACGAAAGAAGATTATTGTTGTCTTCTCATCAACATCTGCTGCCCGATACTATGCGGAGCTTTTGTCCATCCTTGGGTTGAAGGTCTGCCAGGTTCATGCGAAACAGACCACACAACAACGAGCGAGTAACTATTCTAGGTTCAAAGCAACCCAGGAAGGTGTTCTTATCTGCACTGATGCTATTTTTCGCTGTCATGAGGTGGCTCCATTTCTTTTGCGGCCCGGATCTCGCTTCCTTGCTGACCATCTTTTGGCAGAACCCTGCTGTAGACTGGATAATTCAGTACGACCCTCCCGAGGATCCGCGAGAGTATATTAGTCGTTTGGGCCGTTCTGGCGGGAGCCGAAGTGTGATATTTCTACTACCTGACGAACTGGTGTTTGTCGGACATCTTAAGGAAGCGAAGGTAGAAACCGAAGAGTTTGAGTTTTCGTCGAAACAGTTGGTGAATGTCCAGGGTCAGCTTGAGAAGCTGGTATCAAAGGATTACCAGCTACATTGTTTGGCGAAAGATGCCTTTAGGTTTGTATACGCCTTTATTTCCATCTATCTGCCTATATTCCTCATATCTCCTGCATGGTTCTCTACCCTTCACTTCTTTCCTTGGAGTCCTAAGTGATGAGAAAAAATTGGTCCGTGTTGATGAGGCGGATTAAGACCCCGCTACACGATTACTTCCAAAATAGGCAAACGCTCTGATCCTCCTTGTTTCCTTTTCCCTCTCTTCTCTCTCTTTTCGCCAACTGCATACATGCCTAGCTCCCTTCCATTGACATACACCCCCAGATCATACCTTAAAAACTATGCCTTACACGCCCTCCCCTCCATATTCGACTACTCAAAATTAGACGTTGCCAAAGCCGCAAAAAGCTTCGGCTTCGACACACCGCCCAGAGTAGACGTGCATCCCGACGAAGCCAAAGACAGGGATAAAGGGAGGATGACCTACGCGCCACCAAAGCCCGGCGCATTCCCTGGTAAGGTCATCAGACGGAGAGCTACCGCTGTATAATTTAATCATGTAAATAATGGCGTTATTCTTTTTACTTTTACCCCACTTTTTTTTACTTTTTCCTTGCTCACGTAAATGATGTCTGCACGAGTATTCAGAAAGCAATTCGTGACCGGATGGTCGAGTGACGATTCGTGCGAAAATGAATGTCTGGCTAGCCACCTGTTTTTCCTATCCACAATAGCCAGCCCCCCGTCACTATTCCGATTGACAGCCCCGCGGATATAAAAAATCACTCCAACCCCCCCCCCAACTTTCCCAATTCAATACCGGTACAGTGCCGGTATTTCCGTCAGGTTGGGGGAAAAAAAAACGAAAACACGGGCACAGCGCACAGGGCGAGTGAATGAACAACGACGATAAGGCGACAAATAGATCAGTAAGTAAATAGGCGAAGAATAGTGCACTCCCACAGTAACTGCAGCCTACTGGTAAGACATTTCGAGCTCCATAGTTGGTTAAATTTACAATAACCTCTCCCATTCAAGCCCCACCGCCCGGAAGGCTGGAGGCGGGAGCGGCCAAGTGCGGAGGGAGGGTTTTTAACCGCAGCCAATATACCAAAAAAAGTTCCCGCAGGGCGCTTTATCTGGATCACCTATGTATGATATGATCTCGGTGATTAAGCGTGGGAAAAACAACCATATTTCCCGGCACGACGTAATATAATGTAATATAACAGGCTAAAAGCGACACATACTGTACATCACACTATATACGCTACAGTAATCGCGAAAGGTGAGAGAGACTGGAGGAGAATATCATCGTCGTCATACATAAGTTTCTTTCCCCCCACAACCAACGACTGTACGGTAAAAGCCGGGAGTCATGGTACATCACTCGTAGAATGGTGACGGTCCCAGTACGGAGCGGACGGACGGACCTGTGAGTAAGTGAGATGTGCGGCAGTGATGATTGCGCTCTCTCTCTCTCGGATGTGCTCCGAGTGGTATATATATACTGTGTATATATATCGTACGGCCCGACGAGGATGGGATTTTTTCCTTCTTTTTTTTTTTTGGGGGGGGGGGATCGGTGGGGAACTATCTGGGGATGTGAGGGCTGTCGTGAGGGGACAGGCGGTCGTGTTCTCATCATATTGTACTCGTACAATAAAGTACCGTACTGCGGATATGACCGTTCGTGGGTTTCGTGGTGTTCAATCTGGCTGGGTCGTGTAATCCCTCTCGCAACCTGCCGGACGTTGCGTCCGTGGTACCCATGATAATATACCGTAATAATACCTACGGCTTGCATGACGCCCCGCCCGCTGACACGTCGGATGGAGTTCCCCTTCACTTCATATGTTGCCGGGGCCCAGATCCCAAACATCGAGCGGGTGATACTGTGACGCATGCTCCGGCTCCCCACCCACTCTGCTGCGCATTGCGTAAGCAAGCAACGGCACACAGCGGCTGTGCTCTTCCTATCGCTTCGTCCCTTCCTTCAACGACCAATGTGCAGAGCATCACACGGCATACAGTGCACCGTTTATGATATTTACATGACCCACTAGGCTGGGGCGCGAGCGGACGAGCCGCGGGGCAAAGTACCGGTAATGTACCGTAACGCAACCTAATAACCGAGAGTGTGAAAGAAAAAAAAAGCCAACTACAAATAAGAAAAGAAATAAATAAAACACGGAAAGGGGAATACAAAGAAGGAAGAAAAGCAAGGCCATCCCGGAATCTTTTTTTACTGTAATACATTTATATCATGGTGGCACCGTATCGTAGTGGTATGATAGAGCTAAAGGGTTAGGGCGAATGAGCAGGGCAAACAGAAAAAGGGGGCATGATATGATGGATGAATGGTATGACATGACGTGAATTGAACTGAATTAACAATATAACATCGTTTCTCCTCCTGCTTGTCTTGCCCTTCCCCTGTCTGGACAATTCGGGTAATCGAAGAGGGAGATTATACACCTCGGAACTAGTCCCAAGTTAGCAAACCAACACCAAATCCAAAAAAAAGAAGAAAAAAAGAAAAGAGTGCTCACCATCCGAATGATTAGAAACCAGGTGGCCCCTAAAAACCTGAACGCTGACAACCCCGCGACGGACCAGAGCACAACCGCAAGATAAATCTTGCTCCTCTCCTGCTCACTCTTCTCGTCATCCAGACTAACCCTGTCGAGACCGGCACTGTTCAAGATCGTCGCGGCGAGGGCAAAGTTCGAAAACATCCACACGAGCACGACGCAGGAACGCACACCAGCATAGTAATCCTTTTGGACCTGGGATTCGCTTGGCTTTTCCGGCTCGGCTACGAACTTTTCGGAGAGGACTTTCATTTCAGCTTCGTATTGCTCATCGAGATCTTTGTCGTCTGTTGGGACGTTCATATCGGCTTTTCCGTCAACGGCCTTCACCGCTCCGTTCTTGATGGGCGGGGGGACATCGGGCCCTTTGGTACCCCAGGATATATCGTGGGTATTGCAGAAGGCATAGACGTTTAGGACGTTGATGTAAGAGGGCGAGAGGAGGAGGTATTGGACAAACTGGACCCTGGTTAATCGCACAATTCCAAGCCTCTCGATGGCCGGTTGGACTTACACTGGTGAACATATGCCATGGCTCGAAGAACATGAACGAGGCCACAAAGTACAGCAGGTACGTTGACGACAGCGAGATCAACAGATCTCTAAATAGTTGGTTCTGGAAAATACTACTGGCCGAGAATTTGCCCCCGTTATCTGCCAATTCCTTCGTAACAGATTTGACAGAGATGAAGACAGCAGCAAACAGTAGATACCTACCGTGAGATTAGCAGGGTCCTGGGATCATCCGGAATCAATCGGAGGGGACATACAGCATGAGAACAGCCCAGAAGACGACAATAGACATATAAAGCTTCTTAGTCCCTTGCGGGGTATTTCCGAGAGATAGGACGAAGCAGGTGAGGAGAGTCCCAAGATACAACCATTCAAACACAATACTGAGCACATTACCGGGTGGAAAACCGAGAACCGGATCCGCCAAACTGACCGTTAAAATCCTAAAAACCAGGAAAAAGTTGCCGATAGCGAACCACGAGAATAACATAAATATTGTCTGGTAGAAAAACTCAACGTGGAACATCATTTTCCGCGCCAATGAATGGTCACTTCTCCAAATATCAAACATGTGCACGAGAGCATAGACGGCAGCGAAGAATGAACCGTTGAGCCAACGCCTTCGCTGCAAAATCAGCTCCGACATTTCATCCGGCACATCCGTCTCGGCGTTCGACGACTTGACGTACTGCAGGACCCAGTTCGCCTTCCGCTTAGCGACAAGCTCAAAACAGAGAATACGGTCCTCAGCAAGGTACATATTGGCAGTGAATATACCGGCGTCACCGCCATGCATCTTCTCTCCCTTAAAGTATTTCTCCAAAGGACCTTCGCCCTGGGCGTCGTTCTGTAGTGCGGTATACCTATAGGCGGAGAAAGCACCGGGAAGCACACTGATAAACCCAAACACACTCTCCAATGGTTTGTCGAGAATGTTGGACATCTTGTACTCGAAGTTTTGAGTCGCGACGAGCGGATTGAGTAAATATTTCCCCCCCGGCCCCAACATGGCCTTGATCTCGCCACAGGCACCCGCGCACCGGGGATTGATGTCGAAGGCCTTCCACAAGTGATAGATGCTCGATCCACCGGGCCTGGTTCCCGCATCAATGAGAATGCAAACATTCGGGTCAAGGACTTGGCCAAAAGCCTGGAAAAACCAACGATGCGAGTTGATCTTTTTCTGATTTCGCTCTTTCAAGCAGAAGAGCATTTGAACCGGCCCCTGTTTGCCGTTTGGAATAAGCTTTACCATATCTCCTTTAAGATCGATACCAATCTTAGTGGTGTACTGCGAGTTGCATATTAGCCAAGAGTATTAATTAACCGCTGACAAATAGTTGAGCAAACCTCGTAGATATGGGCCGTAACGTCCTTGTCGTTAACCTTCTGTTTAGCAATGCCCTCCTGATAACATCCCATACCCGCCAGAACACTCCGTGTCCTTGGATTGATTTTACCACGGCCATCACTGACGACACAGACAACCACCTTTTTCCAAGCATCCGTACCCCACGTCTGCGAGCGAGACCTAGAACTCAAGTAGTGGATATTCTTAAAGACACCAGCCATTGTCCTAGCGAACAGGATTTCGTCCTCATTGTACATGGTAACTACGATAAAGAGTTCGGTATGACGAGGTTTCTGGAAGAGCTGTTGTCGCAATGTGAACTTCTCGTTGACAAACTCGGAGGGATCACAAGTAGCAGCCGAGTATCTTTACCAGGCCCGACAACAGTCAGTCTTTTCCCTCCTTAAAAAGGAGGAAGGGAGGAAAGAAAGAAGGTGCAAACCTCATGTGCGTAAATTCGCGCTCAGATTTTGACGGATCCACGTCGAGTACCTTGAGCAGCTTATTAGGTACTGGACAATCCAGGACCAAATTCCCTCTGAACAGTTCCACCTTCTTTACCGTTTTCCATCTTCTCAGGCCCGGTCCCGGAGTCGGGGTAGACGAAACGGGCGATGGGATGCTTCGTGGAAAGTAGGACGCATCGCCAGGGGCTCTATGAGGGGATTCCGGCTCTAGAATGGGGCGTCGGTCGTCCTCGTCGTGGTAGGTGGTGTATTGCGTCAGAGGATAGCTGTCATCGGAGGGATGGGGTTGATAGGGGTCGGTAGAGTAATTGTCACGTTGATCCTCCGGATAGAGACCTTGCGAATAATTTATAGATTGGCGATGGCCAGTTCGTGATGGAGGACCAGGCGGGGCTGTATTGTACGAATGCTCAAGGCCCGTGACGGAATACTGCGTACGTTAGCTTCGTTTCAGGGGTCGCGCAAACGCACAGAATCTTGTCTTCCATGTCACGGACCGGGCCCGCGGCCAAAAAGGAGACGGGGGGAGGGATGAGAGAGAGATAAGGGGGAGATGGAGATGGAAGTAGGGATGGAGTGAATAGGGAAACAATCAAATAAATCCGACATGTAGAAACTCACACTTGGTTGATATGTCAAGGTATCATCGGGCATGTGAGCAGTGCCAGCAGGATATCCACCAGTATTCTGTCGCTGAGGTCTATACGGAGCTTCCTCGCGCTGGTAGCCAGCCAGTGGGTGGGCGGGCGAGGGCGTCCGATATCGGGGATCCATTGTGGGCGGCGTAGCAGCTACTGGTATGTGCGGTTGTCGGTGTTGTTGTTGTTGCTCGAGAGGTCCTGTCTCGTCGTCGGAGTCGGAGTCGTGGTGGTGAATGGGACCGTTAAAGTCGAGGCGGCTGTAAGCTTCGCTGTTCCGGCCTGCCATGGCTCTCTGTTCTGTGTATATATATATTCTATTTAGCGGTAGTTTCTAGGCTATTGGACGGCCAGTCCCAGACAAAGGCAAATTCAAAAGCGGATCGGCGTCGCAGCCAAGTACCGGTACGGTGCAGTTAAAATTAAAGCTGGGAAGCGTGTGTATGATAACAATGGGTGCCTAGCGGGGAACCTCCCAGAGAGCGAGACGGGGAAGGGTTAGGATACTATGTAACAGTTAGATAAAACCCCCTGTGCATTTCCTCTCCCCTTCCCCTTAACGGGTACCCCAAGCACAGTAATGAAATGGCATAACTGACAAGATGATATTAGGGTACCGTAGCTGATCGTATCCTCTCTCCCTCCCTCTCTCACGCAACCTTGACTGTGTTGTAGAGCCGTAATATTTTCCCTCTGCCTCTCTTTTCTTTTCTTTTTCCCGCTCTAACAAGACGTTGAAAAGGGCAAAATTGTGCCTTTACTCCCAACCTCCGCTTGGCACTCTCTAATTCAACCCTCACAATAAAGCCGGGTATGGAATGTTTTTTTTTCTTTTCTTTTATCCTCCCGATATCCGGTAATAAGTCGGCTTTTTCCTTTTGAACTTGTTCCCCCTTTGGAAGAATTCCCTATTCTGCGTGAGACCAATGACGAATTCAACACGAGGGGACGCGACGACTCCAAGTCGAAGAAACTCATGCGGAGGGAGGGTACGGCAGGTGAGGAGGAAACCAACCAACAATAGGAAAAAAAAAAAAGCTCCGGCTCACCTTTGGATGGAGATTACCACACTTTCCCTATCAATCCTAACGTTTATCTCCAACCAAGAAGTAGTACAGTAGTACCTACCAGTAGCGCAAAGGAGAAATCGAACTCGAAAAGCTCTCCGGGAATGTATAAACCACTTTGCTCCCACCGCACCTTGAAAGGGATGATGTCTCTTTTCGAAACCCCGCTCTGATGGACCAACCGACTATACCACGAGCATCCGAAGGCTAGCCAAGGGCGAGCTGACGATGACGATGGCGATGACGATGAAGATGAAGAGGAAGATAAAGATAAAGATGAGTGAGAGAGGCGGGAGAGGAAGGAAGAGGAGGAGAGAACAGGAGGAGGAAAAAGTGACAACACCAACCCTCCAATAAAAGAGAAGCTATGCTTCCTCCGACAGACTCTATCGACTACGAGTTTTATCAAGCACTTTAAGAATCCATCCTCCGCCTCCTCCTCCCCCAGCAGCAGCGGCAGCGCAAGGGTCCTTTGAGACCCTGGATTCAGCTACCGCCTTGGCAAAACCGACATGTCAGCCCCCATACCTCAAGGAAGAACCAGCCCCAAGGGATCCTAGTTAACGTAGGCCACGGTGGGTCGAAACACACGGTGACGCGAAACAGCCTAAGTAAAAAGTACCCTTAGTAAGCAAAAGCTAGTGTATTTGCCACTTGTTTCGTATCACCGTGTATTTCGGCTCACCGTGGGATACGTTAGCTATCATGGCCAAGATCTAGCCAAATTTGCTACCGTGCCGTACTGTATCGCCCTGCACTCGAGCAACCCACTGTTTGTGCCACGTGAGAACGGGCAAAAAAAATAAGCCTCCGTCTCGAAATAGACTCCTGAGGCGTTTCCTCACAGGGGGTCGCTCGTTGTGTTCATGTTGCTGTGGTGCTTCACCTCCCGGTAAGTGTCCGGCGGGTAGGCCTGATTTACAGTACAGTGGAGGGGGAGCATTGATAGGATGGCGACCGCTTGTGGGAGGGGCGATGCTATTGTACTAGTACCGTATACTCGAGTATGAAGAGACGAGCACACGGTGCCGGTAGCTGCAACCCACGGCCCACACGGCAGGGCGGGATACTCCCATGGTATGATAACTTTATGTTTCAGGGCCAGAAACCCCACGACGGTAAAGTGCCGGTACCGGTATAGTATCGTGAATCTCCTCCTCCTCCCTCCAAATGGCCAGGCCGGTACCGTAGAGCGCCGTGAGTGGCCATCATAGGTATGAGCACAAGTACTGTACAAGTACCGTGCAAAATAGGATCAACCAAACACCTCCCCAGCAATGGAAAGGCGGCGCTGAAACAACTGCAACTCGCCCAGTGCGGACATCAAACCAGAGGAACCGCCCAACGTCTCCCCCGGAACCAACCATGATTACTGTGCTCAGCCACGGCACTGTGGTCAACCTAACAAAGAGAGCATTCATCCCTCCCTCGCTAGAAGAAGAAGCAAATACAAAGCTGCGGGCAGAAAGCTTAACGCCACGATTCCCACCCGTGCACCCTGCTACGGTACGGTATCCCGGATGGTCAAATTTCACAGATTTCGTCCGGAGCAACCGGGTACCGTTATTCGGAACAACGGGGGAGAGAGGGAGAGAGAGCTATCCGAAGAAAGGCAGAGCATTTGTATTCCTATTCTAATGGGAAGCATACCCTCCACAAATTGTCATAGGTGGTATTAACACTATTTGTCATCCAACTGGTAGGCGTAGATATTCCATCTTCTTGACCTCCTCTACGGTAGGTCACTACCGGTACTATAGAAATAGTAGTATCATATACTCTGCCTCTCTATCTTGGCCCAAACCATTTTTCCTCATTGAATTGACTGGGCTGGCAACAGGGGTTTGGGGTTTGAAGATTTTGTCTATTGGGATTCTCAAGAATTTTCAATCCTGACATTCTCATTATTTGTCCTCCTCCTCCATCCTTCCTCTTTCTTTCCCTATCTTTAGTAACCCTTTACTGTTTTACCCCACCCCTTTTACCTTCACTCCTGCCTTTTTTTCTTCTTCCTCTTTTGGGCTGGCTTTTCGGCCAGCGGATAGGACCTGGTTCTATGGGGTAGTTCCTGTGGGGAACTAGAAGAAGCCAAAAAATTCCATCCGGTTCAGCTGGACCCGTGATAGCGGGGCGCGGCTGTAAAGCGCCCAGAGAAGCCTCTAAACTTTTACCCGCATTTCCGCATCTCAGCTTTCGGAATGAGGATGGGTTATTGTTCGGCACAGTACTCGAGTACAGTGGGTGGTCGCAATACCCATGCTTGTGCCCGCTAACCGGGAACACTAGCGAAGAAAACAAAAAGGAGTTCCAGCTTCCCATCGTACGGTGCTCGTACAGTCCGGTGCGGTGGAGTGCAGTGCAGCGCAGCGCAGAACATGTCGTGTTGCCATAAATACAAGCAACTGGCCGCGCGAGTGCGATAAAACATTCAGGGGCTTATTATGCACGAGTATGATACGAGTTATGGTAGCGGTACTGTGCGCATGTAACTTACCGAACGGTACGGTACTGTACTCGTAGACGCCCAGCTCAGTACAGTACTGTAGACTACAGTACTGTACCAGTATATCGGGTGCTCACGCGTCCGAGTTGGTCTGACACTTTGTAACAGTTACCGGTAGTATCATACTACAAGTGGTATTTATTTACCGTATGGGGATTGCGATCCGGACGTCCAACATCATCATCAACCATGATATATACATACATACTGTACTGTATGCCCTGCACTCGTTATGGTACGATTACCCTATAATACGGTACCGTACTTAACGTATGATACAGTAAAAAGCACGATAACATAATATCATATCTTATCATACCCGAGCCCTTACCAAGAATAACTTAACGGCAGGCACTGTACGAGTACAGTGCTCTCCTACTAGTACAGCATTCTACCGATTTCTGTTGATAAGATAAGTTAGTTGGAGCTTTACTCCCATCTTCTCAACCAAAATTCGCTATTGTACTGTACCCAGCGTTATTCTTGGCAAAGACGCGCCAGTACGGTACTTGTATCATACCGTACGATATTATGATAGCGATAGTAGGGCGTCGGCTTATTTACCTGGTTTTACTAGAGCAGTATGGTACGGTAACTTACTGCACTTTCAGCCCTGGAAACAAAAGTATCTATGCTGTGGAAACTGTTTTTTTTCTTTTTTTGTGCACCCGTACGGCTGATGAGGCTCTCTTTTTTTTTTCGTCTACGGTTGGGGCGCGATATAATAGAGTAAATGATACGATAGCTACAAAATAAAACATGTGGTTGCGTATGTGCAGGGCTGATCACGGGCGTTCACTCGGACTTGGCTTACGAGTAAGGGTGTCTGGTGTCGTGTCCAAGTGTGGACCTATGATAATAATTATTATGATATCGATACGCTATCGAAATCACCATATCATAACCGGCGATTACTCCCCCTCTACCCCCCCCACAAACAAAAAAAAGGAAAAAAGGAAAAAACACCTCTGCATTTATTCCTTCACGGTATGATGCTCGTGAAAAAAGGATTGTAAAACGGACTACTGGTCCATCGTCTCCAGCAGAAAATCTGTCGGAGTCTGAGAATCTTTGGTGGTTGGTGGGGTGGTGAGTGCGCAAAGGTCCGTTATCGTACTAGACTAGTTACTGTACTGTAAAGCGGGGTTTACGAGTTGCCATCGGGTCATCCTCCGCACCCCCCCACTAGACTACATGCTATGATAGGATATAGCCCCCCCCTCTGCGCCTCACAATCGTATCCTGCCGGGACCCGACTCCGGCACAGTGGCACAGCCACAATGGGCAACGACAACGATGGCCGATTGGAGATTGAATGACGCGAGTCTCCCGTACTTTGATGGAAGGAAGGAAGGAAGGAAAGGAAAGGGGAAGGATATACGGTGCTGGTATCTGGGGTCCTTCCGGGCTGGGTTGCTCTCGCTGATGTGGTTACTGGATTATGTTGTGGTGTTCGGTGCATGCTTGTGGTTATCGAGCGGGTGAGTGTGGTTGTAACGCTGGGGTATGATGGACAAACTTGAGTGGAGGAGAGCTAAAGCTGCATCACAAGGTGCTGTTCTGGTCTGGGGCAATACTGAGGTCTATTTGTGAATGGGTGGCGGAAGGGCGGACACAGCACGTCGACTTATTTTCTGGGCTTGTCATGGAAGGGCAAAAGTATGATAACGGGCGGTATGGTAAGCCTAGGCTAAACTTGGCATACACGGCTCTGCATGCTATTGAATGACTAGATTTTAACAAAAGATATATTATTGCGGTCCAAAATGTGATTCCATGTCATTTCCCTAATGGCCGCCAAAAACTCTGCCCTTCTGGGTTATAACAGCATCTCCCTGAAAAGCTTAACTGTACTCGGCAAGTTCCATCAATAAATCACATCTTTCAGTCGCCCACGGATCCCTCACAACTTCAATTTCCGTAAGGTTCACCAGAATAGCATTCGCGGCCCCCCCATATTGGGGGAAGCAGACACCCCCGTCGCAACCGGGTTCCCCGCGAGTGACGTAGTCGGTGATGTACTCCTGATGGATGACAGCGGCTGTCTCATTCGCAATTGCCGCGTCGGGGCCGATATAGAAGGTGTAGAAAATGTCCAGACCGTGAATTGCCGGTGGGATATTGAAGATGTATCTGTAGGACATATTGAACGATTTTGCCAACCATACATGGTTGCAGTTGAAGATTGTATCGCCCCAGAGGGCGCTGGCTCGCAGCCATTCGGGGGTGCCGGGACCTTGATACGGGTATAGGGCGAGTGTCTTTTGTTTTAGAGCTTCTGGAGCTAGCGGATAGAAACTGTTGAAGGAGTTGTTGAACGTGTCCTGGGTTACATTGTCCGGGGTAGGGAATACAAATCCAGCCTGGGAGAAGAGTTAGTTCCGCTGCAGTGTAGGTGGTGGGGATGCCGGCATACCTCGAACCCGGTGTTGCTCGCAACCAGGCTTTTGAGCTCATGGTGGTACTTCCCTTGAGCTAGGAGTCTCATAGCAACATCCGGGACATAGTCCCCATCAACTGCCGGGCCAAAAGATCCAATTTCCCCAGTGAAAATTTCCGTTATAACGTCGTCATTTGCTTTCAACAGTACCTCAGTGGGCGCATCACGAAGGCATTTCAGGGTGGTGCAGTTTGCACTCCTCCTAAACGTGTCGTACTGAGCATTCCGTTCATGGTGATGTGTTCTTTTGGGGTCGAATCCGGCTGATTGGATGATTGCCTTTTTCAGGCCATATTAATGTTAGGCGGTTCTTGCCAATTGCGCATTGGGATGTACGAGAAGTGGATATACCTGTTGAAAGGGAAGTTTCTTGCCTTCCCCTCCGTAACCCGTTATTGTGTGCATGATAACTCCGCCTCCCGCGCTCTCACCCATTACGGTAATCTTGCCCTTGTTACCCCCAAACTTTGAGATGTGCTCTTGGACCCATTCCATTGCAGCCAGGCTGTCATGAAGACCGATATTTGCATCGATGTCTGTAACATTCTGCGGAGACAACCACCCAAAAGCTCCAAGCCTAAGGTAAATCATGAATTAGCATTCGTGATGGATAGTTTTGGTGCGGCCACGTTTCAGAGCAATGACTGACCTGTAATTGATGGATACGTATATCATCGGCTCATCAGCGGATTGAATCAAACGCGCCGGATCCCCCCACATCTCTTTAGAACCGATGGTATAACCACCACCGTAGATCCAGATGAGGACCGGCGCATTACCGCCTGGCCTGAGGGACGCTGGGGCGTAGACATCCAGGTACTGACCACCCCCCTCTTGTTAACCAAGGGGAAGGGAAAAGAAAAGGCACTGGATATCGGAGGCCATAAACTTACCAGGCAATCCTCAACGCCGAAGGTCTCTCCGAACTGGGATGGCGCAAAGGGGATAGAGGCTTGGTGACAGGCACTCTCCACAATGGGGATGTCTCCATTTTGTATCCCAGACTGATTAAGTGGTGGTTGAGGTTTGCGGAATCTAAGATCACCGAGAGGTGGCGCGGCATATCTTATATTGCGAAAGTGGTAGAAATCGTAGGTTTGGTTGTAAGAGGTGGCCTGCTGTTTGACGTATCCAAGGTCCACAATCGGTAGGGACGAGTTATCTGACGGGGTACAATTCCCACCCCCAATGAGGAGTAAGGAGAGAAGCGTTTCTTTCAACCCAACGCGAACCATGTTGTCACGAAATGTGCTTGTGCTAGAGTGAAGCTCGAAGTTGGTGATGACTCTGTTGCGAGGGTCCGTAGCTAGGTCCTTTATAAGGCCTGTGTGGGACTACACGTTAAGGCGTGCAGGATTTCCGGAAGAGAGGCACAACGGAGAAACTGTCTTTGAACCCTCAGCTGAGATAAGTTATATAAAAAGAAGAAGGCGATGGAAACTTGGAGGCAACTCTAATGCCCTAGCGGGAGGTCCAACTATTATATTCTAGTTTTTTTCCTTCGGTATCCCATCCGTGTCGGGTCAGCATTAGCTCGTATTCAAAGTTTAGCCTTGGCCTAAGCAACTACACACCTGGCGTCGGGAGAGCTCCCACAGGCGGCTCCTGGCAGTCAGCCATTGAGTCTTCTAGCCGTTATCACTTCAAAGTGGGAATACACGTGTCCAACACGTATCCTGTATCCGAATGCCCGTGGAGCTCCTCTTGCGGTACTGTACGAGTACTGGTAAAGAGGTACCGATATCCAGTGAGTATGATTTGGTGACGGTAAAAGGTCGGGCACTCTCCCGAATGGGAAGTGGCAATTGCCGTATGTAAGCTGAAGGGGGGACGGAAAGCTTGGCCGAGGTCCGGAGGTTATGGTTACTAGTAGTCTAGTAAAGCGAAGTAAAGGGAACAAGTTAGATGCACCCTCTCTACTCCAAACCTTACATCTGTCTACCCTTTGGCGGGTTCTCCTGTTGGTATTTAGGTGCTAGTTAATCTTTGTTAAATCCCATTCGCTGGTACCCTTATCATGGAAAGTACCGGTAATGACCTGAATACCGTATACTTTTCTCGGACTATCGCTTTTTTAGTGTGCCCCAACTCGGGATGGTGGGTTTCACTTGTGGATACTATTATTTTGTTTCATGATTTTTGCAATTTGCTTTCATGATGGAGTCTACCCGGGTAAAGGAGATATAATAGGATATATGGCATATTTCCACCTGTACGTAAAAAGTGCTTTATTGCTAGAAAGTGATAGCGGGAATGAGGACTTGTGTTGCCGTGCCAGAAGTAGCCTATCCCCCGAGAATTCGTGCGATAATTGAACGACGTTTGTGAACACAACCGCTGTGAACTTTGGCTGTGTGCAATAGCGTCCGTGTTTACGGACGCCATTCAATTTGGAGTACGAGTGCTGCGGTGGAATAGCACTCCCCCTCCAACACGTAGTGCAAATACTCGTAGAACAGCATCAGCTGAAACCCGGATCGAAGGTGATCTCCACTGATTTCGAGCGGACCCAAGGGCGCAAAAAGCAACTATTTAGGGCTGTATGGCCTCCCCTCCGCGGGCTCGGGATGCACCCGAATCCTTGGCGCCTTCCGTCTAGCCAAAGGCGATACGGGTACCGGTAACGGCATTTTAGCATGGAGCCATGAGATTACGCCTTGGATTCCTCCTTGGCGCCTTTTGGGAGCCTTTTCTCTCCAACCTTTTGTCTAACCGCGCTCCCCAGAGCTTGGTCCGTAAGCACACCGTATTCGTACTCCGCGGATCAGGTCCGCCCTCGAGAGGCTGGCTGCCGGATCCATTTTGCGTCCACTCGTATTTCGACCAAGCTTTCACCAGGTGCATTTTTGAGGGCATGGTGCCCGTCATTATTATTTTTCCGGCCTCTCTAAGCTCCGATCAGGTAAGCAGTAATCCTATTGCATCGCACAATATTAATAGAGGCATTCAGCCTTGGGATTGAGAAAGGGTTTTTTGGGGGGCTGGTTTCGGGTTGATCCGTTGGGCACATAGACTAAATGGGTTCCGGTACGCGGACCAAAGCCGAAAAGCTTGCAGAAACGTTTTTTTCAACCCCAGGGCTGAATGCTTCTATTACCGGCACGCTATAATCGTCGCTTTCCATCAGTGACTCCAAGATCGACTCCACGCAGGTTATTAATAAATCTCTTCCGCTTGATATGGTCTAAGTCATCCCTCCGAATGCTCGAGTAGGTATGATGGACTATCATATGATGGCCGGAATGAAAAACGCCCTGAAGTTTTAACTTCAGGGCCTATCAGGAATCTCAGTGATGCAAGCTAGGTTGGATAAGGCCTTTTGTCAGCAGGTTCCAACCTTCAACCAAGTTGCCTGCCCTGTAACTTAGGTGTTTGACAGCGCATTAGGTAAAAGTGATATTTGTTGTTCAATCAACTTCTACAGGCGTGGATACCAGACGTATGCCGTGCAGGTATTGAGAAGGATTTATGACTTACCCGGGGGTGGGTTTGTATCCTGGGAAGTTGTTTGCCTTGACTGCATTAAAACTCCTCTACACATTGCGAGTAGCTACCGTGCCATAAGCCGGCTCTTGTATCATGCGCAGCGTGAGAGGAGAGGGGAAATGGCCACAGAGCGGCCTAATGGATCGACCTTTAATATGAGCAGTATCTCCGGTGATTAGACAGAATTTGTCACAACTTCATTGGGCGTATCCGGGTAGGGAAGCTCTAATACTGGCACTTGTGCTGTGCACATCCAACTTCTCTTCCACCTTAGGGTTAGGTTGAGCAAGACGAAACTCGTGCATGATACTCGTACTCTAATTTTCATGGGGACCGGCCAAGCTAGAGCAAACAAATTCCAAAGAAACCTCTGGCCTGCCATTTGGGCAACATCACACATCTCTGTACGGTACTAGCCTCCACCGATCGAGCAAGAGAATGCACAAAAAACTGGCGATTTGGATATAGCAATTGGACATAGCAATTGGACATAGCGATTTGCCCAACCATACCCAATCAGTGTTCATCCTAGCAAATACCGTGAGTACGAACCTTATTCTATCTCAAGGAGGATCGAAGGTAATGCAGCCTCTAGGAATCTAACCCGGCTGCCACACAAACTGAAGAGGGACCCTCACAGGAGTGTAGATCCTGTGTGCTCACCAATTTGTCCACGTCTCTCACTGACCAAGCCATGTTCTTAGAGTGCGGGTGGTCTCGGGTGCATGGCTACCGCCCCGCATTCGATAGTTATTCATCTGCTAGCATTCAGTAGTATTGTTACTGGTGGACCTACTTATCCTGTTTGCTGACTCAATTCGTTTGGGTGGCAATAGAAGAAAGTTGATTGGTGTTCCCGGGTGGAAAACAGTAAACTCGTATCATATTCACAAGCTTTCCAATCGAAGGGCTGAGGAGGAAGTAAACATAGTCTGAGGGGGTGAGTGGATGGGTTTTTAAAGCCAAATGGGTTACCTCCTTAGCCTCTGCTATCTCATGACAATCACCAATCCTCCAGAGAAATTAGATGACCCGGCCTGCTTGCCTAGCTAGGGGAGCATCGGGAATCAAGTAGTCAAGTTTGCTCCTGTTTTTAACCCTGGACAGAATTTTGAAGATTAGGTTGTGGACCTAACTTGAGCTCAGCTTTGCCATGTTGATAGGCTAAGGAATTATTTCCCTCGTTGATTGCCAGCTGAGTTTTCCGATATGTTTTCTCTGCGATCGATCACAATCTCGTTTCCTGACGATGGACGGCTGAGTCGTTAGTTGGTAATCGTCCCGCTGAACCTCGCACCCGTTATCCCTAGACTGTCATTCCATGAGCAATTGTGATGGTGATTAATGGTCAGAAAGTTGATTCCTACTTGAAATGTTCCCAAGAATATGGTGTGCTCAAGTGTGAAACGCTCCTAGATTGATTTTCTTCCTGCGTTCCCTATTCCAGAAACTACTTGTAATTCTCCGATGTTTGTGCGAACATAGTTGCTTTTGTATGAGCACGGGATTGGCTGGAGCCCCAAAACTTTGGTGGTATGGAGGAGTATTGCATTAGACCGGTCGTATTCACTGACGTCAGGGAACTACGAGTATGATACTAGTAAAGACAGAACTAGGGTTGGCTTTGTGTGTATAAGGTTACCGTATGAGGCATGGCAGTAGCCTTTGTTATCCGGGGTTTCACCAAGATTGGGCATTGAATGCCGGTAGGGTTGGATAGTACAGGTATGATACTGAGCATCAGGAATCAGCCCTTTTTGCAACAAAAACCACCCAACGGGGTGAGCAATGAACCTATCCTAAGCTGATAAGACAATTGAGTAGAACACTTAATAGGACTACCTACACCCACTCTTCATCATTTCTATAATATCAAATTTGTCCATTTTTCTTCAGTTGGGGGGTTATTGGGAGTGAAATGTACAAGCAGTTTGGGTAGATACCGGGTGCAGGCTCTTTATTCTAAAGCTAATAAGATAGTAGCTTGGTAGCTAGTGTATTGTGTGATACCAGTATCATACCACTTCTACAAATTTTGTAGTACCCTAATGGTTTAATTGGATCTATCAGCCAGCAGGACTATATAAACTAACAAGGAAGGAGCCTCTGTGAGCAGGTTTTATGCTGTGGCCGGTGAGTAGTAATTCACTCGCAGATGTTTGAACAGCTTGCTAAATTACTCATGAATAGGTATCTCCTCCGTTCAACTTAATGCTACAGGTGCGGCTAAGAATAAGGGAAGTATAATATGATATCAAGGGAATTGTAGGTTTTCTTTAACCTCCTTAAAATCTTTACTGATATGCTGCAAGCACCATAGATACCAGTAGTACTAGTATAGTTGGCTTTTGTATGGCACAAAATCTGAACGCAGGGAGATGGGTCAAACTGTACTTATGAGAAGTAATCCAGTAATAACTAGGACTTGATTTTTCATAGTTTATTAGGCACAGATAGGTACTAGACTAGGACCAGCACTGCACTTATCTGGATACATTTTCACCTCAGAGCTAAGTAGGATGCAGTAATGCTTATATGTTCTTATGCAAGTACAACTTAGTAAAAAAGATATCTTATATTAACTTTATTTAAAACTAATTAGACTTGGCCGGTGCCTGAAGTTAGCTCAAAGTAAAATGTGTAAATTATTTTTCTATAAAGGCTAGCAAGGGGACAAAGATAGTCTACTAGTAGTTAGGAGAGTCAGGGCATGGCAATTGCTCTATGAATACCTTTATGACCTCAAAATACTGTACTACCTTGAGAGACTTTAGACTGTAAGCATTATTCTCTAATTAATAAAGTAATTTTAGGTAAGATTGTTTTAAAACAACCTCTAAACATTTTAGCAAAATGTAACGGACAAGGTCCAAGCAGGTAGTCCCAGGCACACCACGGTCAGGCTCCGGAGATATGAACAGGCTCGGCATCCTACTGAGGGTCTAGGTATCAAGGAGCCGGTATCCCACCGAGGGTCTAGACAGGAGACTTTGGTATCTAAGGTGAATCCGGCTTATTGGTGTGCGGCTGAAGAGCAAGGTCCAGGGAGGTCCAGTATCCCACCGGAGGTCTAGGCAAGAGACAGGTATCCCACCTCAGAGGTCTAAGCGTCAGGACAGGTTTCTACCTCCAAG